GATTTACCATGTGATGAAAGCATTATATGCAAGAGGAAAGTTCAGAGCCATTTTTAGAACAGTAGAATGAGATACAATGCAATAATGAAGTGTGGCATGCTCTATTCACTATTTATTTATTTAGAATATTTATATGACTACCCAACTCCCTAAGGATGACTAATTATATTAAACAGTCAGCTATATCTTTTTATTGGTAATTTTATTAAAAATTACAATGATAAAAAAGTAATACAAACTAAAAATAAAAGTTTTCTTTTATTTTTATTTTCTTTCCAAATTTTTATTTCAAATCCATCTGGACCCTTATTCTATTTGTAACTTTCCAAAATCAAAGTTCTAATGATTCTTTGGCTGTTTATTCTGAAGTCTTTTTAAAAATCTTTAAACTTATATTTAAAACCTCTTTCACTAAAAAATGAAGGAAACTCACCCGGGGTTTTCAGGTCTGTCGATCCAAATGTTCCTAATAGCTGAAAAGCAGTTTATCCAGAGAGGAATTAAAGAGTCTGTCTACTCATTAGAAAGAGTCAGTCTACTTACTGGTTCTTTATTCCACTACAGTTGGCTCTACTTTTAGTTGGTCAGCTATATCCAATTCAACGTTATACTCCAATCCATTCCGTTCCCTAGCTCAACTATTTTTCCATTTTGTTGTTGTCAGTTGGCAATCCATGTGTGCTGCATATATATAATTATATAATGTATAATGTCCAATGAGCTGCCCCAGCACAATTCCATACTTTTCCCTAAATACTTTTGTACTTCTGCAATAGTGAGTTACTACCAATCACTATATTACACCAATGCCTCAGTTTTGTTCATGATAATTCTGTGGCTACAAACATGCCTGTGTATCAGAAATTGAGAGACATGTTCATAACATAGTAAAAAGTTTGGATGGCTTTTCTGTCACGTGATGAAAGAGTTTACAATAACATTCAAAGGGTAAACTTAATTCAAAGTTTCAAACATTCCAAGGCTTGATGTAGGAGATGACCAGGCTGAGTCCAAGGGAGGGGTCAAACGTGTCATCAGTCATGAGTCCCTTTGTGCCCAAGAGATCTAAGTCCAGTCCACTTTGCATTCCTTATCTACTGCCAAACTGCTTTGACTGTTAGTTCAGATTCCTGTAAAGCGCTTAAGCTTGCAATAAATCTTTATATCCATTTAAACTGCCTGGATCTCCTGATTTCCCTAGAGCTTGACACTTAAAATAGAATTTCAGATTTAGAAACATTAACTGTAATATCTTGTCTAACATTTTTTCCTTTCATTTCCAACCAGCTATTTCACTTCTTTCTACATAAAGATGGATTCAGCATTAGAATGTACACAAACTAACAGATTTCCATGAGTCCTATATTGCAACTACAAACTTTTTTCATTATACCAATATAAACTCCTAAGCTACCAATTTCAAAAACATTTCAAGATTATCCATAATCTCCAACCTTCATACTACTCTAGTTATTCATTTAGATGGCTAATTTCAGCCTTTTATACCATCCTCTATCTTATCTAGTAAGATCTATATATTATCTTCTATCCTATAAATGTATAGATGCACCCATGTAAAAGTGTCACTTAATAAAGCAAAAAATGAAAAGCTAAGACAATGTCCTTTAAACTTTGGGAGAAAAGAGCATAAACAAAGAATATATAAACCTGAGTACTCGAATAAAATAAAAATAAAATGTAAAGAACAGTCTAAATGTGCTTTTAAACAACCAAAACTTGTTATCTTTTATTCAGATCAGTTTATTGTATCTGTACAAAATGATGGTAGTGAACATCACAAAATGCAAAGGCCCTCCCTCCATAATAATTAAATGAATTTGTTACTTAAAAGTCTATTCTGGCTATTTGTTTTGTTTTGTTCTAATTAGAGCCACAGCTAATGAGCGACCTCTTGTGTTAAAGTTTTAAAACTATGCTTTCAATAGCCATGTTAAGAAGAAAAAAACAGTAAACAGGCTGAGATCAACGACAACAATCTAAATAAAAATTATTTTATCTTTTGCTCAGATCACCTGTGAAAATATCTCCAATTTCATGACACTACAATTATTTATGGTAAATGTTGGCTGCTATTACAAAACTATCTTCTTCTTACTATTCTAGGGGTTGCTCCTACAGCATTGGCAAGAAACAACATTTAGCTATTTTATTTCTTCCTTAACTGAAGCCATAATTTTTTTTTTAAAAAAAGGATGCATTGGTGAAAATAAAGGAAATGGCTACAAATATAAGATTATGTTGTCTGGATCTATTTCAAGAAATTCGGGGGGGGGGGGGGGGAAAGAAAACAAGATGATCAAGCATTGCCTGGTAGATTTTCAAGGTAACCTGGTTGGTCTGTAAACTGAGGTTATAATGGTCACCTCTATCAAACCAAGTGTTGTTTTCTTTGTGGATATTCTTTCCTCTCTCTTTGATAGAAGTGGGAGAGGGGCCTATTCTAGTTTCCGTTTCTGTATTAGTCATCCCATGTCTATCGTTATGTGTCCTCCTGGGTCCTTCTGCAATGTTTGTTTGACTGCTGATAAACTTGCACTGCCTGGTAGTGTATGTTACACACTTCCTAAATTTGTGGCCAAAACCCCATATATGTAATCTATGTTTTAGGTTTGATTTTCAAGAACTATACGTTTCTCCTCAGTTTACCCCTAAAGGCTATGAATGCATCTTGTATTTTGACTCTAACTTGGGTCAAAAGTGAAAGTTATATCCCCAACAATGTGCAGAAATATTTGTGCTTTTTTTCTTTTTAACTGCGTTCAGAGGTGTAACTTTTTCTGCAGGATCATCTCATGTGAAATCAACTTGGGCCATGAACAAATTAGTTGAAGGTAAAATAAGCAATCTGACAGGGGAGGGGGGGGGTAACTTTCCATTGCAGCAAATATCTCTAAACAATTGTTAATTGGATTCATTTAGCCCGCTTTGGGTCTCAGTAAATGCACATGATCTTCCCAGGATCATATTTCTTTCTCATTAAAGAATATTACCTGATTTTTTTAAAAAACTAAATATACACAAACATATTTATGGAGATTCCCAGTCATCCAGGTATGGTTGTCCCAAAGATGCTTTTTTCCTGTAGCCAGGAAGGCTCCACACACATTTGCACTTCTCAGGTTATCCTGAGGACACAGGTAAACCTCCGAAATGTTTTCAGTGACTCTCGAAAGCACGGGTGTCAAACTTGCTACAATCATGTGATGTGTCGCGACATAGTGTGACTTTTTTTGCATTGCCAGAGCTGGGGTGGGCACGGCCTCCGTATGATGAAACCGTCCCACGGGCCGGCAGTTTGCTCTAAAGGAATGCAAATGACTATCTGTCTGCAAACAACATAAATCCTTCCATTACCCACTATCTAGTCAGAGCTAAAGAAGATTCTTGGATGAGAAGTGAAGTCTTCAAAAGAAACACAAGAAAGTCCATTTTCCTTCTGAAAAAAGCACCTTTGGGACAACTATACCTGGATGACTTGAGAACCTCCATAGACATTTAGCTATGCACTTTGGGATTGATGAGAGTTGGACACCCCCTCCCCAGCCCAATTAAGAAATAATCTAGGAACACCCCAACTAAACTGGGTCAACAGCAGCCTGAGGCTAAAACAGCAAACACTTGACACACACAATGAGGAACCAGCTAGCAGCAATCAAGACACAACAATAAAAGTAATTAACACCTTTTAGGCAAGAAAAAGGAACTAACAATAGTCACAAACCAGCAAATCAAGAAAGACAAATTTTAACTCACCAATTAGAAATGGTAAGTTTGTTACCAATCAGAAATGACAAGTTTGGAAACCACAAAAGGGTATAAAAACCCCTGTTTAAAGATCACTCTGTCTAGCTAGCCGGGGACTCGAGCTGAATTGTCACTCAACGCTGATCCTCGAAATAAAACCTCTTTCTGGTAGCTGGCTTCACGATCTATTTCTTCTGCACTGTGCCGTCAAGGAGAATCCCGGCTGGAAGAACCGAACGGGGGAGTTCCTCCCAACAGGATGAACACCCTTCGAATGGTGAGAGGCTATGAACGGATTTCCAGAAAATATTGCAGATCACAGGAACCATTTGTGCTTTAGTTTGAGATTCAGACAGCACAGACTCATCCCCAGTAGCCTGTGCCTGTTTTCAACAGCGAAGGGACCTAGGGAAGAAAACATCCTGCAGCCAGGAAGACTCCACACACATTTGCACTTCTCAGGTTACCCCGAGGACACAGGTAAACCTTCAAAATGGTTTCAATGACTTTCTAAAGGAATGCAAATGACTATCTGTCTGCAAGCAATAAAAATCCTTCCACTCCCCACCATCTAGTCCAGTGGTTCTCAACCTGTGGGTCAGGACCCCATTTGGGGTCGAACGACCATTTCACAGGGGTCACCAAACAACACAGTCCGCCACTTTTTCCCCCCTTTTCCTTAGCTGTGCTACTCCCTTTTATACTATTGGCTTTTGAAAGCCAATAGAATAGACTCTCTTGAATAGAGTCTAATTCTATTGGCTTTCAAAAGCCAATAGGAATTGTCCAGGCTGTCTCTGCCCTGCTGAGCCCGCCAAAAGTCCCATTCTGCAAATGGTGCTGCAGCAGTTGAGTAGTCCTCGACTTATGACCGGTTGAGTAATCCTCGACTTACGACTGGTTGGGGGGTCGTGGCATTAAAAAGGTTGAGAACCACTGATCTAGTCAGAGCTGAAGAAGCTTCTTGGATGAGAAGCGAAATGTCTTCAAAAGAAACACAAGAAAGTCCAATTGCCTCCTGAAAAAAAGCACCTTTGGGACACACAAACATACGTATATAAAAAATAAGTATTTTTGCAAAAGTAGAAACATCCAATATTTTAATAAATTTCATCTGTCCATTAGATGTCACTCTTGTCTTTGAGATAACCATGCAGAGATTATGGCAGGATCCTTTATTGAAAAGCAAAAGCAGATTTTGATTATGAGAAGCAGCAATTTTATAAAATTATTACCTTGTTATGTGTAAACATTATTCTCAGTTCTGGTTTTATAATGCCATATGCCATCAACAGCTTCTGAGTTTTTTTCATTTCTTCCTTACATTTCTTATCAGTAGAATAAAACTGTTTTCTTACAGGCAGATTCTTGAACAGCTTTTGAACTGTTACAGTTGTCCCTACCAAGAAGAGCAAGTGAGAAAAAAAGCAAAGAAAATTAACTTACAGAAATGTTCTTTCAATTCTATTCATACATCCTTTTATTCTTTTAAATTGCCCGGAGTCACTGAGAGTGAGGTGGACAGTGATATAAGTTTTCTTACATAAAAATAAAAAAATATGCTGCAGGACTTTTCTGCATTGGTGTTTGTGTATGTAAACCAAATAAAACTATACTACCATAAGATTATATCACTGAAAGATTTACAGGTAATTCTCAACTTACGACCATTCATTTAATGATGGCTAGAACTTACAACAGAACTGAAAAAGTGGCTTATTACTTGTCCACAAAGTCATGACCACTGAACCACTCCTGTGGTTCCATGACCACAATTTGGTTGCTTGCAAACTGGCTTGGATGTACAAGGGTTGCTGTGCCCTGCGGTTATGTAATCACAATTTTTACACAATTATATAATACAATTTTTTACCAGTTGCTTTATATGACCTCAAAATGAACAGCCAAATATCTGTTCGCTCAGAAAAGCAAGAAAAAAAGAAGTCTAGAATTCAATCCCTAGAACACTGTTATATATACAGTCACTGACAGTGTTTCATTTTGGCTTATAGAGACACACCATACAGATGGTCTTCATTTAGCAATCACAATTGGGACTGACAACCTGGTTGTTAAACGAAGTGGTCCTAACTGAAACTGCGACTGTATTTATAATCTTACTTCAGCTTTCTTTTGTTTTACAGACCTAGGAAGGTCATAAATATGAAGATTGGTCACAAAGTTACTATTTCATCAGTGTCGTAACTGTGAATGGCTGTTAAATGAGGCAGTTGCTAAATAAGGATTACCTGTACATATAACGAAATAATGCTGCTTTGTACTAGATTTGGATAAAACAAGATTGTTTAGTCAGAAGTGCTTGGGCTGGGGAAATACGGCAGGAAGAAACCCATGTTGATAGGTCTCTTTAACAACAGCATCTACAGACTTTGACCTTGGCTTCATCAATCAGTTCTGATGATAATTTGTCCTTTTAGGTCTTTAAATTGAAAAATATCTAAGTAGTTGTTGTTAAGGTATACCAAAAAGAGCTATGGTAGTGCAGTGGTTAGAATGCAGTATTGCACAGGCTTACTCTGCCCGCTGCCAGGAGTTTGTTCCTGACTGGCTCAAGCCTTCCATCCTTCCGAGGTCGGTAAACTGCTTAGAAAGTTCTGTAAAGTACTATGAAGCAATATATAAGTCTAAGTGCTGTTGCTATTGCTAAAAGCTGTATTATTGCAACAAAGTTAAAAAACACAGCAAGGTATAACAATGCAAATAAGGAGAGATTCTCAAATTTTGTAATCCATAAGTCACTAAAATTTCAAAGAAGACTGACCCTTTTCATCACTTTGATGCCATAAATTCAGAGGTTTTCTCTAAATGCTTTAACTAATGTTAAATTTAAGCCCCTCGAGAAATGCAGTGATTCTGGAATGTAAAGCCTCTGGATAGAGGAAAACAATCTACCATCTTCCATTTTGAGCTGTGTGGCATTTCTTGGAAATAAAAAGTTAGAAAATAAAATAATAGTTTTATTCAGAGAACTGAAAACATAAGAAGAAATAGTCAGACATTATTCTTAAGTGTAGATAGTGAAAGCACGAATGCTGAACAATTAGACTAGATCAACCTTGAGATCTCTTCCAACTCTACAATTTTGATTCCTATTTAAAACAATCATTTCTGTTGCATAGTTAATCAGGTTTATCCGAGACTATATATGACTGAAACAATCAGAAGTTGCTTTCCTATTTAACACAACCTCGAGGGCACACCTGATCCTTTGCTGTAGTTTTCCTTGTGCTGAATTTTTCATTGCAGAATCCTTCGTGTCTAGAACCCAATTTTATATTTTATAAAGAGTTATATATGTTGAGTGTATATGAGTACACCTCATCAGTAAAATCTCAGTTTGGTGTGTGTTTTGATTTTTCATGTCTGACTCATCTAGTCTTGTTATTCTGAAAATCACAATTTTAATTATCAGTTCAAATTTTAAAATGTTATCCAATTGTTGTTCTGTTATCTGAAGCAGAAAAATCACAGGGACTCATAGCCATGAACTAATGATTCAAAGATAGAGAGTAATATAAAGTGACTAAAAGCCATACCTGTTCCAAGATGAGATGGCTTCTGAGAAATTATATGACCGCTTATATCAAAATTGTACTGGGTGCTAAAATCATCAGCAGCTGTCCTTGTTGTAATAGAAACCTAACAATAAAGAATCTAATGTCAAGTATTTAGGAAAAGATATATGGACATTCTATTACCTATTTAATTCTCACAAACCATGATGATGATGAATTGTTATTTATTAAACTTGTATCTCCCCAAATCTCAACAACTCTGTGTGGTTTACAATATCATGATAATCAATAATGATTGTTCCTAGAAGAGTAAAAATCATTAAGAGAAGGCATTTTGACAGATTTATCTTCTGGACATGTAAAAGGCAATGGTGGGGGTGGGGGTGAAAATTGCTGCCATGGACAATGCTGCAGTGGGTGGGGGCTTCCCATTTTAAACTCTTTCCACTGCTGTTGCCTCTATAGCTGGACTCTGGCCTAAAACTGAATGGGCTGCCTCCCCAGGCACTCCCAGCAGCTGCGCTTACCGCCGATGGTCTGCCACCCCCTCTAGGCACTCCCAGCAGCTGGGCGCAAGCAGCATTTGCCTGCCACCCCTCCTGCAGATCTTGCTCTCTCCTGTAATCTGTCACCAATCACATCCCCCTTGCAGCCCCTCAGTCACTCTTCCCAGCACCATCATTGCTGCCTGCCACCTGATTGGCTGGCGGCTTCTTGTCCTATGGAGTGAAACACCAGGGACAAACTGTGTCTGGGTGAATGGGCTGGGTCGAAGGGTGAGGGGCGGAGGGCCAGGGAGAATCGCTGGGGGAGGGCCAGAGAAGGAAGAAACCTGGCAGTGAATGGGCTGAGGAGAATGGTTGGAGGTGAAGCGGGCATGGCCAATGGTGGGAGCCTAAAGGTTCCATTCCGCTTTGAAACAGCCTCATTTGATTTTAAGGAGAAAATAAGTACTTTGATGTTTCAAAGTATTGCCACAAGTCAAGTAATCCTCAAATCACACACAAGATCTAATTGTTTTATGAGTCTTCTAGGAGCAGAAGCAATAGACTTCTAAATACCAACTTATGGAGCGTCAACAATGATTATTGATCCTACAAGAAATACAGTTTTCTGCCTCTGAATAAGGATCTTTTAATATTCCTCTTCTGTTTGAAACTGTACTGTGCTTCAGTTTATATACAAATGTGTTGCTAGATGGTTATGCAGATTGTAAATGTAAAAAGCATTTTTATGTTGGCTTGTCATACTTAGATGTACAATTCCATTCTTGTGCATTGTATTGTGCTCAAATTTTAGGATGCCTTTGAAAATGAAGAGAATTGGAACATTTAAAACTACTCCGAAAACCTGACATACAAAAAAGCATTCACAGCCTGTCCAAATACACCCAAGGCCAACAAGCCAAAAAAAAAAAAAAAAAAAAGTGTCTTTTCAAAACATTATCTATCTTGGCTTGGTTAGCTGCTTGGCACATATGCACTTTGCCTATGATCATGTGCCCTTGATGCAGTTCATGATAACAGTTGCTATTATTGTCCTAGCCTCTTTGTATGTTAACTTGCTTGGCTTGTTTGCTGTTGACTTTTCTCTCTTTTGTCCCACCGACTTTTCAAATTTTTTTTTTTTTAACTAAGCAAAAATTGTCCCTTTCTGTTCTTTGCTGAAGTTTTTAAAATGGAAATGCAGGTAGGGCTTATTCGGCTTGAACAGAGCTGCTTTTTTCTTATTTCACTAAAGTTCAGCAAGACTCACGAAGCAGCTGTATGCAAACTGCTTTTGTTCTGGCAAACATTCATCAAAGTTGCCTCCCCGGAAAAACATGTCAAGTTGTAGAAAAATCGATAATGAAAGAAAAAAAGAAAGGAAGGAAGAAGGAAAACCCAGTATATTGTGTATATTGGGATTTTGTTCCTCCTTGAATTTCAGACAGCCTACTCTGAAAATAACTGAACAAAATTTGGGAGATGAGCAGTGTGTTTTTTTTAGAAAAAAAAAAACAAAACAAGGTTTATTTTGTATTTTCTCAATTAGCATCTGATCATTGCAGTCAGAATTCAGCAATGCCTTCTTCTCAAGTTTTCTACTTAACCACTGGGCAAAACCTGTATCCTCTTCATAAATTTACATCCCCCCCCCAAAAAAAAGTTAGGAGCATGGATGTCATCAATAACTGGAGTTAAAACAGCCAAGATGGAAATGTAACCGTGTGCCCCAAGTTCCTTTTCATACATGTTCCTTTTCATACATGTGTCAACTTTGCAGGCAGGGCTGTGACCATTATCTTGTCATTTTTGAACACCCCCTGCAGATAACTCTCTGCAGACACCCTAGTTAGAAAGAAGTGGGACCGTACGTACAAACCCCAGCAGATATACTCTCCCAATAAGGCTATCTGGATTCTGGATACATTAAAATCAAAAGGGTTAATGTTTCACTTATGCAGAATTGCAGGTAGAGACCCAAACACCTGTAACTGTATATAGCCTTTTACCTGTGATATGCTACAAATGGAGCCCAGAGCTTCGCCACGAAAACCGTATGTGCTCAAGCTTTCAAGGTCCTCCGAAGAGCTTATTTTTGATGTGTAGTGCTTCATTGCCATCACAGGAACATCAACTGCCTTAATCCCATCACCATTATCTCGTACTTCAATCTTTTCAAAACCATAGTTCTCCTACACAAAGAAGACATTTATTAATCTCAAGTGACACAGAACATTTTATGGAGTTGTTCGATTCCAAGAACACCTTTACAAAAAGTGTAATTACCAATTAATCAGGGACAATTCAGTTTTCCCAATCCGGAACTATCTCATCAATATTTATTGTCAAGTTATTAAATACTGGAAGCCAACAATTGGTGTCAATTTTCCAACACAGGGAACTTTGGAATATTCAGATTTATCACTTTGATTGGAAGGACAGATTTTAGGATCCAAATGTAATAGAACTCTAGTATATCTGGGAACATTATATCAGTTAGAAAAATATGGAACATAATAGCTTAAGAATAGCTCCATGGCGAGACAGGTGCAAATAAATGTAATAAATAAAAATAAATGAATAAATATCTAATAAAAACAGATTTCATTCTTTTTCCCATGCTCAATTGACTTTATGGAAAAAATGTGCTAGACAGATTCATGGAAACAACTTCAGGAGGAATTGATTCAGTGGAAGGAGTGCCATTCCAGCTTTAATTCAGAAAGTAAATGGCTTGAACCAGCACCATCTTAGATAGAAGAGCCCTTCATGTACATACAGTATGTGGGATTATGCTCTATGTCAAAAGTCCCAAACCCAGGCCTGAGCCCAACAGAAAACAGATATGTCAGGATCAAAGGAAACCTGGTTTATTCAGGCACACTTTGGCGTACGAGATGCAAAGCAATCGCAAAAACAAAGTCAACACTGGGCTGGCTGTGGAATTCTGGGAGTTGAAGTCCACATGCCTTAAAATTGTCAAGGTTGAGAAACACTGAAATAGACGATTCTGCCCGGACCGGCCCCCCCCCCACCTAACCAGCATCTGGAGCGATGATTGTGAGCATCCAGCTCACAGCAGCAGTTCCCCGCCTCCAGCAAGCAGCTCGGCTCAGGCTCAGTTCCGTAGCAGAAAGGCAAACGAGGTTCAAATCTTCTGTTTTCTGCACCGATCAGCTGTGCAGCAGACCACCGAACAGCTGATCCGGCAAATCCGGAAATCCTGGCCACAAGGGATTCACTAGCAGTAGCTGGTTCCCAGCTGCCTGACCACAATCGCCTCTCAGCTGAGCCCCGATCATCACAGACAGGTAAAGGGGGATGGCTGTTGCTGCTGCCAGCCGCTGTCGTTCTGGCCACCGAGATACACACACGGTAAGTGGCAAACCCCGCAGGACTTGACACTCTAATCTTTTTAAAATTTTGGACAGAATTCTTGAGAATGGAGTCTTGAATAACTTCTTTAAAGTTATTGAAGAAAACGATACAGAATTACTGAATTGGCATAGTATAAGTGCTTAATTCTAGAATAATGCTGCATTTGGATCCAAGGCAGTCAAAGTTCAGCATGGACACCCATATTGTGTTTTCAAGAATCATTATGAAAATGGTAATAGCATGACTGTACTTTGAGGGCTGGTGTGGTTATTATGTGAGTGCAGGAAAAGGTGTGTCTCCTTTAAGGAGTTGTTAAAAGTACAGCGAAGGTGCCCATGTGTGATGCAAAGCACCTCTCTACTTCAGACACAAATATTGCACCCAACTACTTGTCCTGCATACCTTATCCATGACTGCAAATCAGCTCACAGTATATCCTTAAAGATTTTTAACGTTATAAAAACTTTCAGAAATCCTCATTGGTTTGAATTACTGGCTGCTAAATATCTTATACAAGTTAAACCTGATTGTCCACATTATTCAAAATGAAAAACAAACAAATAACACAGTCACCCAGAAGTCCAAAAACCATCTTTTCTTACTTTCATTTGTATTCTAAATACTACTACTACTACTACTACTATTACTACTACTACTACTACTACTACTACTACTGTTAGTCCTCGAGTTACAAGTATAATGGAGCCGGCGAACGCTTCTGCACCACCACCACCACCCCACAGCCCGATCGGGCTTGGAAAATTACTCTGGAGCCCAGATCAGGCCGCGGAGGTGTTCCCTGTCCTCAAATTCGGGCGGCAGTGGCTTGGAAAAGGCTTTGGGAGCCCCTATCCAGCCTCCAAACGCAAGTGGAAGCATCCCCCAGCTTCGGTTCCATTCTCTATTGCAGAGAACAGAGGCCTAAAGTACAATGAGATCACACAAGATCAGTAGTGTGAGATCTCGCGTGATCTTGCATTACTTTAGGCCTCCACCGAGGGTCTGGAGCAGCCAAGGAAACGAAGAATCTCAATCTTCGCAGGGTGAGTATTGAAGGCCTGGTGCCTAGGGAGACCTGGGGCAGGTATGGGGAGGGAGGGAATAACCAGGGTGAATGTTGCAGAGCCACTGTGGTCACTCGTAAGGGCAAACAACTGCCATGGTGCTGCAATATTTGTAACTTCGGAACTTGCTCATAAGCACTAAGGGACGTTCATCGCGTAACTTTGATAAGGATTACTACTACTAGTAGTAGTAATAATAATAATAATAGAGTTGGAAGGGATCTTGGAGGTCTTCTAATCCAGCCCCCTGCTCAGGCAGGAACCCTATACCATTTCAGACAAATGGCTATCCAGTTTCTTCTTAAAAACTTCCAGTGTTGGAGCATTCACAACTTCTGGAGGCAGGTTGTTTCACTGATTAATTGTTCTAACTGTCAGAAGTTTCTCCTTAGTTCTAGGATGCGTCTTTCCTTGATTTTTTTCCCATCCATTGCTTCTTATCCTGCCTTCAGGTGCTTTGGAGAATAGCCTGACTCCCTCTTCTTTGTGGCAACCTCTGACATATAGGACTGCTATCATGTCACCCTAGTCCTTCTCTTCATTAAACTAGACATATTCAATTCCAGCAATCGTTCCTTATATGTTTCTCCTTAGTTCTAGGTTGCTTCTCTCTTTGGTTAGTTTCCACCTGTTGCTTCTTATCCTGCCAAATAGCTTGACTCCCTCTTCTTTGTGGCAGCCCCTGAGATACTGGAACACTGCTATCATGTCCCCCTTCGTCCTTCTCTTCGTTAAATTAGATATAACCAATTCCAGCAACCGTTCCTTATATGTTTTAGCCTCCAGTCCCCTAATCATCTTTGTTGCTCTTCTCTGTACTCTTTCTAGAGTCTCAACATCTTTTTTACATCGTGGTGACCAAAACTGGATAGAGTATTCCAAGTGTGGCCTTACCAAGGCATTATAGAGTGGTATTAACACTTCACGTGATCTTGATTCTATCCCTCTGTTAATGCAGCCAAGTACTGTGTTGGCTTTTTTGGCAGCTGCAGCACACTGCTGGCTTATATTTAAGTGATTGTCAACTAGGACTCCGAGGTCCCTCTCACAATTACTACTATTGAGCAAGGTGCCACCTATACTGCACCTGTGTATTTGGTCTTTCTTGCCAAAATGTAGAACCTTACTTTTTTCACCACTGAATTTCATTTTGTTAGATAGCGCCCAGTGTTCAAGTCTGTCAAGATCCTTCTATATCTTAAGCCTATATTCTGGAATGTTGGCTATTCCTGCCAGCTTGGTGCCGTCTGCAAATTTGATGAGTTCCCCATCTATCCCCTCATTCAAATCACTGATGATGTTGAAGAGCACTAGGCCCAGAACAGAGCCCTGAGGCACCCCACTACACACTTCCCTCCATGTAGATGCAGATGCAGTTCCATTGAGGACCACACGTGGAGTACGACCGGTCACCTAGCTGATGAATCAATCTGGTGATGACGCTGTCTAACCCACATTTTTCTATCTTATCAAGTAGTAGGTTATGATCTACTTTATCAAATGCCTTACTGAAGTCCAAGTAAATTATATCCATAGATTCCTCTGGTCTACTAATTTCGTCACCTGGTCAAAGAATGCAATAAGATTTCTCTGGTATGATCTGATTTTGACAAACCCATGTTGGCATTTGCTAATGACTTTATTTTCCTTTAGATGTTTGCTGATTAATTGCTTGATTATCTTTTCCAGAATCTTCCCAGGTATTGAGGTCAGTCTGATAGGTCTGTAGTTTCCTGGATCCATTTTTTTTCCTTTTTTGAAGATGGGAACTACATCAGCTCTTTTCCAGTAATTCCCCAGTGCTCCAGCATTTTTGAAAGATATAGTTCAGTGGTTCTGAGATCACATCTGCCAGTTCCTTCAGAACCTTGGGGTATAGTCCATCTGGTCCTGGTGATCTGAGCTTGTCTAGGCTGGACAGATGCTCACTTACCATTTTCTTGCCTATCTTAACTTGTGTTTCTAATTTGTTTTTTACAGCACTGTTTTTGATAGGTTGGACTGTTTTTTCCCTTTGTGTAAAGACGGATGCAAAAAATAAGTTAAGTAGTTCTGCTTTCTCCCTGTTGCTTGTCATCTTCTTGCCACTTTCTCCCACTAATGGACCAATAATTTCCTTAACTTTTTTCTTGTTTTTTACATGTTGAAAGAAGCTTTTTTTTTTTTTGTTACTTTTGACTTTTGTCAGTGTTTAAACTACAAATCAATCTCATGTATAGGTACCTAATGTTATTTACCATATACACACAAGTAAGATGAGAAGATGGATATTTAGAAATTAATTAATAAATACATAAGCATTTCCTTTGTTGCTCTTTTTGGAAGGATCTACTCTCTTGACCTAGATTTAGACTCTAAATCCTACTGAAGTTCATGGAAATAATTGCCTTATAAATAACTAGACAGACAGACAGCCAACATTCATAATATATCTTTTAGAACAGTGTTTCTCAACCTTGACCATTTTAAGGCATGTGGACTTCAACTCCCAGAGTTCCACAGCCAGCATTGCTGGCTGTGAAATTCTGGGAGTTGAAGTCCACATGCCTTAAAATGGTCAAGGTTGAGAAACACTTTTTTAGAAAAATGGAGTCTTGGACTTCGTTCCGGTATAACTCAAGCTCCTGAATTAGAATTGAGCAAATTTAGGTTCAACTCCAACCTCTGCTCTGAAAGATCATTGGACCTGTCATGACTTCTCTCAAGCCAACTTATTTCACAAAGTTATTGTGAGAGCGAATGCTACTCAATGCTTCTAGAGAGAAAGTGAACTGCATATCAAAATAATAATCCTAAACTATTCATTAAATGACTACTTTTCAAATTACAATTGTAATTCTATCACTGTGCGCAACATTTTTAAAGAAAAGGACTACTTCCACTTAGTTCTGTTGACTCAAGTTGTGGGAAATGAATATTGTAAACATATTTCTAAAATGCATTTATTTATTTATATTTCATATTTCTACACCTTCCATCTTCCTCTAAAATCAATCTCTTTTTTTCTTTTGCAATTACAAAAGTCTTCAATTAAGAGTATTTAAGTGAAGCAAGTCCTAAAAAATTAATGTGTTTCTGTATAGGTCATGTAGAAACATATTGAAAATATATGAAGGCTATTTTCTGCCATTTTGATTAAATAGCTATTCTCAGACATTAAAGCTTTAAAACAATCTTCTAGTCAAAAAGAATAAACAATGAATGTAGTACATTTTTATACATGAAAAGTAATATTTAACTGTATGATTATTATCAATAAAAGATCGTATTTGCAGCTCAGGGTTGGACTGTGGAGGTTTTGGTGCTCTCTGAGCTTGGTTGTTTTCCTGCAAACATTTCATTACCAAACTAGATAACATGAGATGTTACCATCAGATGTATATGTTGTTTATCTCTGAGACTGATGGGTCTTTCTGTTTACTTAGGATGTTGTGGAGTGCTTTAGTTTGTGTACTATGGTTATGCCACGTGATTATAATATTCCATTGGTAGTTTCTTTTTGATTTATGGCAGTGTTATCTTTTTAACAGCCTATGTTGGTTGGGTTGTAGTGGTTGAGATAATGTCCAGCTGCCCTCTATCTACTACAGAACTAGCAATATTCTAGAGAAAAGTCTCAGCTCCAATACAGATGATGCTAATAAATTAGAATTCTTTACAGGGTTAGCATTTAAGAGATCCAAGAAAGCATAAGACAAACTGTCATAAATCAGAAGAAGAACAGAACCAACTCAAAGCAGAGGAAACAGGAGTCCTCAAAAACCTACAGAAGAGCAGATAAAGGCTGAACCACAATTATCATGGACAGATCACAATATAGAAACTAGACAGCTGGATCAAGAGAACTCTTAGTAGTTTATCAAAAACAATGAAGTCACAAAAGGAGGACAGCGGTGGATGAAAAGCAGTGGACCTGTCCTTCCATGCTTCTATGGATGCCTCAAAACATAGAAACCACACATACTTCTCTGCCCAATTGTATCATTACCAGGTTCTCCAACCTATAATTTTGCTAAAGAATTGATAAAAAAGCTTGGACTTCTCACAGAGGGAGGCAAATACTCCATCAACTCCCTACTACAGTGCCTCCAAAGAATCAAAGACTTGACAACAGATGAAGATGAAATCATGATCTCATTCAATGTCGCAGTACTCTTTCCATCCATAGACCTGGGATTAGCAAAAGAATCCACAGCAGCACTACTTACACAGCACACCTGACCTAAATAAATATACCAAGATTGAAATATCCAAACCATGAACTTTATCAACTCTGTCTGACTACATACTTTTAGTTTGATGGCCAAATATGCCAACAAATCAAAAGAACACCAAGGGGACGACTGCTTTCATGATTCACAGTAGAGACTGTAAGTGACTCCTGCAATCTATATGGCTTCATCATCATCATTAGTTCCTTTTGTACGAAGAGCATAGAGGCCAAGCTTCTTCCAATGAAGAAGAAAAAAAATCCACCTGTAGTGGGCACTAGGGGGATTCAGTAGATCAGCATCTGCAGTTGCCAGACCCAAGCTCAGATAAAGGAGAAGGAGGGTTAGGCATAGGTCTAGCAACCCTACTCTGAAAAAAACCTGACTGCTACTAAAATAGCAAGTAGAAACCTAATCTGTATAGCACTTCCCCACATATAACCCAAAGTATGGATCTGATATGTAAATGACACCTTTGTCACAATAAAAAAATATTCAACCAGAGAGGACACATGAAACTATCAATATCTCAGAAACCAACAGATTATTACAACCACATGACATTACTGTAGCACAAAGCTCCCCAACCTTTCCAGCTCGGCAGCCCAGAGGGAAAGGGAGGAGCAGGGCAGTCTGGGTATGTGCAAGCGGGTTGCATGCACTTACGGCGGCACTGGTGTCCGTGCACATGAGCAAATGGGCCACTAGCACTGACGCATGTGCAAATGGGCCACTAGCACCCACGTGATGCTGATGGTGGTGCTAGCACTCCTGCCCATGCACAAATGGGACCGCTAGCACCCACACGGTGGTGCTAGTGTGAGTGGGGGCACTCGCCAACACGTGCGTGCACTCGCCAACAATTCCTGCAGTCCAGTGGCTGAGATGTACTGGGCGGTGGCCCATAGGTAGGGGGCCTGTGCTGTAGCACACAAACCAACTAAAGCCCTCCGCAACATCCCTGGTAAACCAAATGAACTCAAAACAAAAACCAGACGTCATCTACAATATATAGTGCAAGGACTATAATAGCCACTATGTAGGACAAACAGGCAGAAGACTAGTAGAGCACATCCATGAACACTAACTAGCAGTCAGAAGACATGACGAAAACTTAATTTCACAACACATGGACGGACTTAATCATAGTTTTAACTGGGAAACTGTGACCAAACCAAGTCCAAAAACGCTAGAGATTTCCTGAAAACCTGGCACTCAGACAAATCAGCAATCAAAAGGCACATGAAGATAAACATCTACATACCATTCAAAAGAGACAGTCAAAAAGCCAAAAAGGACACAAAAAGATTAAAACACTCCTCACCAGCAATCAATCCTCAGATAAGCAGAGATTATTACCAAGATCAGGGGTCTTTAAATTGGCCCTTTTATGACTTGTGGACTTCAAGTCCCCGAATTCCTCAGCCAGCGTGCCTGACTGAGGAATTCTGGGACTTGAAGTCCACAAGTCATAAAAGGACCAAGTTTGAAGACTCCTGACCAAGATTAACACTAGACACACAATCAAGAAGTGAACAATCCCCAATCAAGAAACTACCAACTCAGACAAACAAGCTAAAAGTAAACAACAGCCTGATCAAGAACTTTCTCACCAACACTGAAAGGGCAAAATCACTAATATATATATAAAGAAAGCAAACCACACTCCCTTCTAAGGCTGTTGATGTTACCTAGTTTGGTGATGAAATGTCTGCAAGAAAACAACCAAGCTCAGAGAGCACCAAGAACCCCATAGTATGATTATTCTTTAAAATGAAGCATGAATTCAATAGGAAGCCCCATGTAATTATGTTTTAAAATCAAGAATACATTTGCCAACACCAGCATTTTCCTAACTGTTAAGATTATCAAAAGTAATTTTTGTAAAAGCACAATCATTTTTCAGAGGCAAGTTTAAAGGAATCTTTCATTCTTTCATATAGAATGCATATGTAAACTCATTTTAGATGACTAGACACAGGCAAAACTGAATAAACGAATAATTAAAAAATTAAAACAGAATAAATTCAGCAAGCAAGGAGAATGTTTAAGTCTTTCATCAGTTTTACTTTCCAAAGAAATATGGTCTTCTCACCCACACTTTCATCCCAATTTTAGTCTTGAAAAACTTACCAACTTAACATCAATACTGGTTGCATTAGCGTCCAAAGAATTCTCTACCAGTTCTTTAACCACATTGACAACTGATACAATGACCTGCGAACTAGAAAGAAGTCGAACAGTTTCCGCTGGTAGCTGTTTCATGTTTTGGCTTTCAGGAACGGGATTTCTAAAAAGATAAAATCACAATTCAAGAGAGTATGATACTGTTTTTTTTAATTGTTTTTTCCCCTGAATAGTTGATGATAAAAGAAGTGTCATGTCAAATTACTGACCAATAATTTGGCGTAGCATTTAAATATACTTTCATCTGGAATCTGTATGAGCGGTTTGAGGTACCTGAGATAGCGTCTTGCCATGTTATCTCAGACTCATTTCAGTTTCTTCATTCTGAGAAAGTGGATAGGATGACTGATGGAATGACTTCTACTACACCAGTGGTTCTCAACCTGTGGGTCGGGACCCCATTTGGGGTCAAATGACCATTTCACAGGGGTCGCCAAACCATGCTGTCCACCATTTTTTTTCCTTTTCCCTAGCTGTCCTACTCCCTCTTACTGGTGGCCACACCCACTTGGGGGTCACCACAACATGGGGAACTGTATTATGGGGTCACGGCATTAGAAAGGTTGAGAATCACTGTACTACACCTAGTTTACACTCGAGTCCTACCTGGCTACTTCTGCAAGCATGTATCTGTGTGAGAGGGGCTGAACTTAGAAGTGGTCAGCATCTCGGGTTACTGTGGTGTGCCTCTTCCTGAAGAGACCTCCTTGGACTTAGCTGATTTAGAAACTCTCACCTGATTTCCAGCATTTCCACTGTAGAAAGGATGTTAAGTGGCAAGATTGCAACTGCAGCATTCCTTTGCATGGATTATGTAGGTCCTTTCAATCAGGGTTCAAGCCTGAGTATAGATGGAAATATACTGGTGACTGTGGTGTATGACTTTCATCAAGACTTGGATGGGGGAGTCCACTCCTCCTGGGCCTACATACTGGTTTTCAGTATTTTTTGACCATGTTATCCTGCTGGACCACCTTTATGAATTGGGGGGGGGGGGAACACTGTTTTGTCCTGAGTCCTGCAAATGTGTCAATCCTCTTCCCTGTTATTCAACATTTACAAGAATTAATTGGAGGAGTGATCTAATGATTTAGGATGAGGAATGATGTCATATCCAATTACACAACTGTGTCCAAGCCAAAGCTAGGGATGCAGAAGCCATGGCCAGGTTTCTGTAAGATTAAAGAAGTAAATGAGAAGAAACAAACTGAGACTGAATCTCTGCGAGACATACGTATTGTTTATCTGGAAACCAGCTAATGTTTTGCCTCTCCTATGATATGTATGGAGGGAATTACTTGCCCTGAAGGAGATGGGAATCCTTCTAATCCACAACTATAGATAGAATGGAGATTATGGTTACTTGGGGAATCTGTCTAGCTTTGGATGGTTTGCTTATTGCATTTCTTCCTGGAACATGGGGACATGTCAGGAGTTACCCAAGGTCTCACAAACTCCCAAATTGACATCAATTATGTTCTACTTGAAGCTGCCTTTAAAGAATGATTGAAAGATTCAGTTGGTGTAGAATGCAGATACCAGATAGGTGAGTCACTGGTGCCATCTGACGTTGTTGAGTTGCCTAGGCTTCCACATAGAAATTTAAGTGCTGGTTTTAACTTGGAACTTTTATGGCTTGGCATGCAGATACTGCAAAACTGCTTCACTTTAGGGTAGCGCCTTCATCTCTGCAGTTTGCAAGAGCATGATGATTTTCTTGTATGCTCCATACTTGTGGACCAGTTTATCCCTGGAGATCCAGATATATCCTGTTTAGCAGTATTTTAATCAGAATGCAACTTTACTACCCAATTTTAATTATTATTTAAAAGGATGATTACTTATATGTGTGGTAATTATATTTGTTTCATATTTCAGATTTTTGCATAAAATAGATGCACATCAATAAAAGCATAATTTTGAAATTACAGCAAGTAACCCTTCATTTACTTTCATTTCACTCAACTGCAGCTACGTATAGTTTAAGAAGGATTTCCAAAAACTGGAATGGATCTGCAGCCAAGCCAACAAGGATGCTCAGGAATTAGAAATTAAGCTGAAGAGACACTGAAGAAGTTAATAAATTTAGCCTTGAGAAAAAAAAATGGGGGATATGACAGCACTCTTCAAATATTGGAAATATATCTTCTTAGAAGATCAGGACTTATTCTCTTACAGTTTTAGAGTTTTTCATTGCCTTCCTGTTATTAAAATCCAATATTAGAAATTAACCTATCTCTGGATAATATCTAATCAAAATGTATCTCTATGTTTAGCAGCACAACTACACAACAACCACCTTTCAAAATTTTCTTTCAGAAATCTGAAAACTGCATACTCTTCTCATTACAGAAAGAAAGCTACGCTCTTACATCATATGGGTTATCTTCAAAGACATTATTTCGGCTTAGGCATGATAGAGAAGACTTAGAAGAAAGTTTCAAAGGCAGGTAATCAGATTCAAGGCTAAACTGCAAAAATTCAGTATTTTTTAAGAGTATAGCAAATTGCACTGTTTTAGTATCTGTTATTCAAAAGGTCAGCTTTAATGCTACGTTATAGTTCAGCATTATAAGAACAACCTACTTAGGCTCATGTTCACATGGAGTAGCTGGCCTTCTTTGGACTGCCTAGCTGGTGATGGTAGAACAGACATGTCAAACACAAGGCCCAGGGGCCGGATGCGGCCCGTGAAGTGGTTTCATGTGGCCTGCAAAGCCATCCTGGAAACAGTAAGGAAACGGCCCCCACTGCCTTGGCCCTGGCTGGCCGGGAGCCAATGTACAATTTTTTTGGTGGCCATCTATGCTGAAACGCATTCAGTCTTAGCTCCACAAGGCTGTCCGGAAACAGTGAGGAACCAGCCCATGCCGCGTCAACCCCACTCCCTGGGTGCACGCTGGGGAGGTGTCACCCTTTGTGAGGAATGAAGAAATGCACCATCACCTGGAAGTGGCCAGCAAATGGCCCTCGCCTACTTCACATATCTGGCTTGATAGGCTCTGGGGGAGGGGTTTCGTCAGGCAGCAGGGTGCTCTCCTCAGTGCCGAAAGGCTGAGCCGGGCAGCACAAATCCCAAAAGAAACACAAGGCCGCCCAGCTCCCAGCCTGCCCGGTTCTATCAGGTAGCGGGGCGCTCTCCTCACAGAGCCAAGAGCTGAGCTGGGTGGCGCAAATCTGATGAGAAGTGCAATGCTGCCTAACCCCCAGCCTGCCCAGTTTCAGCAGGCAGCAAGGTGCAAAGTTAGCGAGCTTCACACCGCCTGGCTCAACCTCTCGGCGCTGTGAGGAGAGCACCCTATTGCCTGCTGAAACCAAGCCCACCCAGTAGGCCACACCCACTCCATCCACGCCCACCCAGGCCACACATCCCCGTCCCCCTGAGGGCAACCGCAATGCTGATGCAGCCCTCAATGAAATTGAGTTTGACACCCCTGTGGTAGAAGTTGCCCTATTTGCAAACCATTCACAGAAACTGAAATTCCCCTCCAGGTGATCTCCAGACACTGCTAGTGTACAGCAGCATAATATAGTTTGCAACAAGCAGTGTGTGCAGGTATTTGTGGGGTCCTGACCTACAAACAAAACTCCCTCCAAACTCTGGAAAGAATGGAGTAGGTTAAAGAAAACTGCTTGTGCCAAATGGAATTGAGGAGATGTCTTTCTCCCTAGGCAGCCAATCAATTGTTTAGACTAGAGTAATTGTGAAGAAGTTGAGGGGAATATCAAGATGGGGCTGACCAGCAAGACTTGCCACAATCAAAGAGGAACAAATGCAAATATTGTATACAGGGAATGTATGGAAAGAAAGAGTAGGAGGAAGAGCTTGGGGAGGAAAAGGATGATTATAGGAACCTAACCTCTCCACTCCCTGCTATTCCCTTAAAACTCATTATCTCAAGTTTCGTTTTCATGCCAGATTAACATGTTCTTTGAATCCAAGCAGTGACTTGAAGGCTTTAATCCAGATCTAGTATTTTCTGTGTGCAACACACAGCAGAATGTCTCCAGGGAATGTTTTCAAGTGGCTTTTCTGAGAAGCAGATCCAAAGAGGAATCTCATCTGCGAGCATAGCTTTTGCTTGAGTAGTTGGCATAGGCCTAATATATAATTTAGCTTGTTGTGCAAACACACCCTAACGTAATCCACAGTATTGGTATTCAGCCTGCGCTATATATTGTCTAGATAGAGTTACCTTTAAAAAATAGCTTGGAAACTAGTAAGTTGTTAAACCTAAAGCAGATATATTATACCTGCTGCACTGCCATGGTTTCTCTGGTTCAATTTAAAATGCTGTCCCACCCCAAGTTTCCTGCCCTCTTAGACCAGCATTATAAACCTTATATCGGTAGTTATTTGTGCAAGAAACTAGATTGAGAGACATAAACACATTTTTTTTTTTGCAAAGGTACTTTCTTTTGAAATCTTGCTCCAGCTAATATATTAAGACTCCAATTATCACAGACTTTCAAGCAAGCCCCAAACTTTAAATAATTTATAGTTGATGGTGTTGTTGGTAGTGGCCGGTTTCAGTTTTCTGTTTGCACCATAATTCTATTTATATTCTATAAATATAAGATTATCATATTCTTTGAAGTATTCTTTGCTTTTTATCATCTTAATTGGGCTGTACTGGAAAAGCAATTTAAAAATAAATAACTGGAAACACTAAAACTCTTGCTCAAGTAGAATTCAGTTCCTAATGAATGCACAGGCATGGACATGCACAGGAATGTTATTTTCTTTGCAATAATAAGGGAATGATTTGCTATTGTATCCTTCAGGGATGCCTTTTCAACTTCTCAATCCAATCTAAAGACCTGGCATTTCCTGTGGTTTCCTGTCTAAATAGTATGATAGTGATAATGCTATGATAATGCTAAAAATACAAAATATTTTTAAACGACAATGAAGTAAACATTATTGACAAATAGAGTAATATAGGCAAGATTATATGGAAATAAATCCCAGAGCTCAGCAAAGTCCTCAGTTTTTACCAGGCTGCTTGTTTAGAAACGGTGCTAATGCTCCTTATAACCACAAGCCTTCCAAACTTTGATTAGGGTGATTTTGGATTTAGTCCCAAACCAAACACGCAACCCTGTACAGCTTTGCCCAACAACTATTTCACCTCATTTGCAGCATGCATTCACGGTCCGTAACTCGCCCCTATTTCATAGAAGCATGCAGTCATTCAAAAAATTAAAATAAAATAAAATAACACGCGGCCTACAACCGAGCAAGCCGGAGAGAGCTCAGCCTCTGGTTTTGTTTTCGTTCCTTGCTCCAGCTCCAAACTGGGACTCGCCTGAGCCACGTGACCTCCCCAGGCCTATCGCACTGGAGCAGCAACGAAGAGGGGGAGTGGAGGGCTATAAATAAACAAAGCTGTGCAAAAGGACCGGCCGAAAGCCATTACCGCACTTCCTCCTCCGGAGCGGTCAAAGGACTCCCTTCGCCCCTCTTATACCTCCTTTGGAACCTTCGGGCCCCGGACTGGGCCAAAGCAGCTTTCCCCGCCGCCTGCGTGCCTGAAAGGGAAAGGGCGGAGCTATAACGGTGGTCCAAGCGCCTCCCTCCCTTGCTCACAGCGCAACACTTCAGAAGAGCCGGAGCAGCTTTGGGTAGCAGGCGGTTCGGCGCGGGATTCTTTTCCCCCAGTTAGCGAGAAGGTGCAGTAGGAAAGACGGAAAGGGGAGGGAGGGGGGCTGGTCGGTTGGTTGTGTGCACAAACGTGGTTAGGGCCGGGTTCCTGGGCTAGTGGCAACTGGTGTGCGTGGCGGAAGGTGTGTGCAGCGCAGGGACCGGCCGAAGACAAAGCGGCTGCGCTCGTTGGCAAACGATGCCGTAGCGTGGAATCCTAGAGCTGGGGGAATTGGGCCCTCCGGTTTCTGCTAGATCCGCCGCCGTCGCCCCGAAGCCCTAATCAGAATAATAATAAATAAGGAAGCGCCATTGCAACCGAGTTTTTTTGCACGATTACGGTTGGTTTTTGCCCGATTGCGCCTGCTTGGCGTTTTCCGAACAGGAGCGTCGCGTGCAATAACGCACAAATTTCTGTGGTCTTGTTGTATCTGCCGCGATTGTGCCTTGGTGTGGGATTATGCTGGAGGTATAAAAAAAATGAACGTGGACCATCTGAGGACATCTGCTAATTTCTGTAATTTCTGACTCGGTCGGATGTTGAAAGCTATAGGGGTTCTTTTGTTTAGTTGTAGGAGACCTTTCCTGGTTTGTTACCAGCGGCATAAACAAAGAGCTTCTTTCTGATTATCTAGGCTAGTCTACTATTCAGTTGATTAAAGGTTAAATTCCAGCTTAATTTTAACGCGGATTTTTTTTAAAAAAAAAAACTTGGGAGAGCTGTGTAGATTACATCCAAATAATAAATATATGATACTTAGAAAATTAAGGACAATGATACACTAAATAATTAAAGATGAAGGATATTTGCCGTTCACTTAGTTTATGCTATCCTTGATCATATGCCAGACATCTCTGATTGGATCCTGAACATACGTAAGCAATTATGTTTTAGATCTCTGATTGTACACAAGCTGTGCTGATCCTATGGTGACTAAATGACTAATTGCAATTACTGAAAATGACTAATTTTCAAATAGTTGTAATTTATATTATAGTGTGAATCTTGGGTGTGTGCGGCTTCGTGATTTGTGTGTTACTCTTGTTTGACTTGTGTATCTTATTTTTAAATATTGTTTTCCTTTGTACTGGATGCTCATGTTAAACATTCTGAATTGATTCACTAGGATGGATAAGTGGGTGCGTGCCTACCACAGAGATAGAACTTATTGAATAGCTTATATTGCCTTCAGAAGTCAGAGAGCCTTCCTTCAGTTATCTGCTTGTAACCAGAATGATAAAAAAAAATATTGTTTTCATATAAAAACAGGCAGTGGAACCTTAAGTGCTAAAGTATTCAACCTAGGTGTTATGTATGAGAGATGATAGGAGACAGGTCAGAAAATACAATACATATCAACTTATGAAAGGCTCTGGGTTGACTTGCAGTCAGTTGAACAAAGCTAATGTAACAGAAGCTTTGTTTTTCATATACAATTTTGGGGAAGGGCTCTTTTTTCCCCCCATTCTGAAATAGATAACAAATCTAGCAGTGATACCTAATTGTTATTGACATGTAAGATATTTTCTACCTATAAAATATTCTGTAAATCCTCCATGAAGCTGATTTGTTTTTAGCTTGATATTTAGGATTTGTTAATTGCTTTTTAGGATTTGTTAATTGCTTTTTAGTGGTCCATGTACCCAATTATAAGAATTTGTTTTTTAAAACCTTGAACAGCTTTCTCTAGTATAGAAAAAAATAAATAAATGGAAATATTCTGTGGAAAGATATAAAAATTGAGATTGTATTGATTGCAATTATATAAATGCATGGAACTCTAACTTGTATTAATTCTTTGACTGTTATTTTTATTGCTTTAGAAGTTTAGATCATGGGTGTCCAACCTTTTGGCTTGCCTGGGCCTCATTGAGGAAGAGACATTATCTTGGACTGGATATAAAAGATATAATATAGTTAATGTATATAAATCACATAATAATGTTAAAAGTGTATGATCTTATGGGGCTTTGTTACTAGCTGTTCAGGGCCACATATGTCCTCCGAGCCATGGGTTGGACGCTGCTTTAGATTTTTAAGAAGTTATTTGTTTTGAATTGCCTTCCAACAATATCAAATACTTTGTACTATTAATATGTAAGATGCTGAGTTAGTCTTATGCAGTAGTTGATGACCTCCCCAAGTCTGACAGTGGTATGACTAGTCCTTATGATGAACATTTTCTTTTCCAAAATTACTTTTCAGAATCAAAGCAAAAAGATGAATGTTGGGGTTGCTCACAGCGAAGTCAATCCCAACACAAGGGTCATGAGCAGTCGAGGAATGTGGCTCACGTACGCCCTTGGAGTTGGTTTGCTTCATATTGTCTTGCTCAGCATTCCTTTCTTCAGTGTTCCAGTGGCTTGGACCTTAACCAATATTATTCATAATTTGGTGAGCATCCTGAACTGCAGAAGTGCCAGAGGGACATCTATGTCTATTTATAGACTGAGTTAAACTCTGGGTGGTTCACAGTTATAATAGTTATTATATTATAATAATTATATAATTGTATGATTGGTTGCACTGTCAACTGGATGTTTAAAAATTTGCCATTTTTATCCATATATTCTTTCCCAAGGACCTGGGGTAGGCAGATGTTGTTTGACGGTATTAAAGATATTGTTATAGGAAGCAAACTGTTCCACTTAAAGTTGCCTTTTACAATTGGCTGATGTGGATTTTGTCAGTGCTGATGGTATTCAAATGGTGCTCCAGATGTTTTGGGATTGCACCCCGGGCACCTATTACTATTGGCACTATCTTTATTTTCTTTCATTATTAATTATCATTGTAAAGGTATACAATTATAATAGACTGCATATCATTCAAAAGAAACAAAGTAACTAAGAAGAAAACAGACTAGAACACATTATATGCAGCAGCCAGCACTCAACTAAATAGGGATTAACACCAGAAAACCTAGGCAGAAAATAATAATCAAGGAACCGCCAAGGAGAAAACCCACCTCTGCCAAAAACTGGCAGGGCAAGCTATTATATATAAATAGGCAGCAAACCATACCTTCACTTGCACCGATGATAGTTATTTATTTTTATTCATTCAATTTCTTTATGAGCCCAGCTCAACCAAGTGATTCTTATGTAGTTGGGTAGTGAAACATCTGCAAGCTAGCAAGTAAGCTCAAAGAGCACCAAGAACTCCACAGCTTAATCCTGAGCTGTATAGGTAGTCCTTGACTTACGGCCACAGTTGAGCCCCAAATTTCCATGGTTAAGTGAGACAGTTGTTGAGTGAGGTTTGCCCCATTTTATGATCTTTCTTGCCACAGTTGTTAAGTGAATCACTGCAGTTAAGTTAGTGAGACAGTTGTAAAGTGAATTTGGCTTCCCTATTGGCTTTGCTTGTCAGAAGGTCACAAAAGATGATCACATGACTCTGGGACACTGCAGCCATCAAATAGGAACTAGTTACCAAGCATCTGAATTTTGATCACATACTCGAGAGGATCTGCAATGGTTGTAAGTGTGAAAAACGGTAATGTCACTTTTTTCAGTGCCATTGTAACCTCAACTGGCCACTAAATTAAAGGTAAGTCAAGGTCTACCTGTACATAATATTACAGTTATCATCTAATGACAAGAGAGCCGCTTAGGTGTAGTGGCTAAGGTGCTAGGCTAAAAACCAGGTATGAATTTCAGACCTCTTTTAGGCATGGAAGCTACTAAGATGATTTGGGCCAGGGACTCTCAGCTGAGAACCACCTCACAAAGCTGTTATATGGAAAACAGGAGGAGGGAGTATAATATACTCTGCTTTGTGTTAGACAAAATTAAAGGTGGGATATAAATTTAACAAAACCAGTGTGCTATAGCAATCATAGCCATTGTCTTAAACTAACAGAAATGGACAAATATATTGTATAAAGTTAATATCCTTTAACACTAAAATCTATTAAAGATGACCAGTTGTGCCTACATTACTGATAACCAAAGAAGTAGAATGTTAATCAAATTTCCATTCTCGATTATCGCTAAGAGTGGAACATTTCCTTAAATGTTTCCTTAAAACATGTGTTGTGACCAACTCATCCATTTTGGATTAGAATAAGATGGAGAACCTATTACGACGTTGTTTATCTACAGTTCCCGGGAGTCATGAGAAAGGATACTCATCTGTTGCAATCCTGTTGCATCTAGAAAGCCTTAAGCTTTCCACTCCTGAATTAGTGAATGAAACTTGGCACAAACATGCAGCATATACTTAAGCATAAATTTAATCATATTTCTCTGGCATTGGACCAATGATACACAAATAATGCTTCCTTGAATGATTGGCAATTTGTTTTGAAGTGGGGGGGGGAGAGTGTATGTCATAAACTTTAAGTAGGTAGCTACCCTGTAAGGCCCCATTGTGTCTACATTTGGTTGTAAGATCAATTGCTATATTTCAACTTTTTTTGTCATAGATTGAGTTTGCAAACTGCTATCTCTATATATTTTAATAAAACAGGTGAACAAATTAACATAAACTTCGTTAGTTTTATGAAATTGAAAGCAAGAAATCTTTATATATTTTAATAAAACAGATGAACAAATTAACATAGACTTTGTTAGTCTTATGAAATCGAAAGCAAGAATCATGGGCATCAGGGGACTTTTGCAAGAGTTATTGTCTTCAGCTTACAAAGAGTATTAAGATGAATTTCTCTGTTAGTCATGCTGTTCATTCCTGTATCAACTATCTTCTGGCTTTACTGAAACAAGTTGCTAGGGTAAAGTAGAAATAACAGATCTGGGCCAGAATAAAACGTCTAATTGGATTAATCTTTTTGAGGGCATCTTTATCTTAGTATTCTTGCTCAAATATTTATTAATCACAGCAAATCACAGAAAATCACAGAAAATCACAGAACATAATTCATATTTTAAAAGTCTAGTGTGAATGTTTCCAATCCTCACTCAGATTCCATATATTATGTTAATAATGAAACATAGCTAACATGATTTTTGTTTTGGATGGATTTGTTTTGCCTTTGCAGGGAATGTATGTATTTTTGCATGCAGTAAAAGGAACACCTTTTGAAACACCTGATCAAGGTAAAGCAAGATTGCTGACACATTGGGAACAGCTGGATTATGGCGTACAGTTTACATCTTCACGAAAATTCTTCACAATTTCACCGATAATTTTGTAAGTTTTGAAAATTCTACATTGACTGTTCTAACACTGCAGATTTAAATCAAATCTTTGATTTGGTGTGGCATTAATATTGCAGTACTTAAACTCTGCAAATTATTTAAAATCAATATGTTCTACTATTCAGGTATCTGAATTGTTATGCTTTTAAAGGGAAGAAAAATATGTTTCTGTAAACAATACTTGGAATTTTTGTAATGGAAGTGACATCTTTATGCACAGCAATTTGCAGAGATGTACAGAGAAGTATATTGCAGAATTGGGATAGGTTTTTTTTTTAAACGGGCATTAATTCAAAACAAACAGGAAACTTCAAAAATAGCAGAACAGAGTCTAATTCTATTGGCTTTCAAAAGCCAATAGGAATTGTCCAGGCTGTCTCTGCCCTGCTGAGCCCGCCAAAAGTCCCATTCTGCAAATGGTGCTGCACCAGTTGAATAGTCCTCGACTTATGACAGGTTGAGTAGTCCTCGACTTACGACCGGTTGGGGGGTCGCGGCATTAAAAAGGTTGAGAACCACTGCACTAGAGTTTAGTGGTTTGATTGAGATTGAAAACAATACCTTTCTCGTTTTTTGTACACTCCTCAAAATACTTTGCCATCAAAATGGCCAAATTGAGTCATTCCTTTTCTAATATAAGCAACAACTAAGTGCAGGTAGTGCTCATTTTAACGAGTGGAACCTGAAATTTATGTTGCTAAGTGAGACAGTTGTTAAATGAGTTTTGCTCCATTTTATGATCTTTCTTGCCACAGTTGTTAAGTGAATCACTACAGTTAAGTTAGTTACCTGGTTGTTAAGTGAATCTGGCTTTCCCATTGACTTTGCTTGTCAGAAGGTCACAAAAGGTGATCACGACTCCTGAGACATTGCAACTGTCATAAATAAGAACCAGTTGCCCACCATCCGAATGTTCATCATGTGACCCTGAGGATGCTTCAATGATCGTAAGTGTGAAAAAGTCATAAGTCACTTTTTTCAGCGCTGTTGTAATATCAAACAGACACTGAATGAATGGTTGTAAGTTGAAGACTACCAGTATCATAAGAAAGATTATTCTTATTCAGAGATGAAATGATTACATGAAAAGAAAAAAAGATGGTGTTTTTCTTCATTCCAAAATAACAAATTTTGCTCTTCTTTAAATTTTAACTTTTTACTCATTCTGATATTCTGTATCTTTTTTTCTTTTCTTTTCAATGCAGGTATTTCTTGGCAAGCTTCTACACCAAATACGACCCAACCCATTTCATTCTAAACACAGCTTCTCTCTTGAGTGTGCTTATTCCCAAACTGCCACAGCTGCATGGAGTTAGGATCTTTGGAATCAACAAATATTGAGCTGGAGATGGGCAATGTGAGCATTCTGACCAAAAAGTGGCTTGGTTTGATCCTTGTCCTTGACAGAAGGAATAGCCTATTCTATGTATTATTAGATAAGTTTCACATCTCTTTGGAGACTCTAGTGCGAAGAAGCTTATGCTGTTCTTTACAAGAGAATCGGAGACTATCAGAAGATACACTAATCTTGATGACAGATCTTTGGAGCACAGATTTTTGTAAATAGCTGGGCAGGCCTAGCTCTCCTAAGGTAACAGTATTGACTGGAAATGGGCTGAAATAACAAGTAAAGTGAAAAGGGATACGAAAAATGTTATTGACGCATAAGTTGTAATCTTTTACAAGTAAGTCAGCAACAATGAAGGAGTGGACGGAAGAAATACAGCAATTCTTTGTTTTACAGACTTCAATCAGTTATCATTTGGTGTCATTTGTTTGGCTAATTTTAGGGCAAGATTTGCCACTCAGCTTGAGATGTTATAAAATTAATGAGTTGCTGTGATTTTCATGCCTTATTCATGTGTCTTTTAATCAGAGTGAACTTTTGCAGTGTGAGATCTTTGAACTCTGGGAATGACATGTCAACTTTTCAGGGCTTTATATACAATTAAACTGATTGGTATCATACTACTTATTTTCCAGAAGTAGGTGATTATTATCATTCTACTGTATCTGAAAAAAACTTTCCTCATAAACAAAAAAAAATTCCTAATGTCAGAAACTAGCAGAAGCTAATGAATAAACTGAATTTTCTGGCCTATTTGTTACTGATTAGAACTGCAATCTGTTAGAGAAATTCTAGGAAAGGTAGTAATTTTGAATAGAAACTTTATGTGACAAGAATTTCAAACTTCAAGCAGAGCATAACTTGTTCTCATTGTGGAACAGATTTGATTTGGAAGAAGTGCTTTGGGCCTTCATTATAATAACCCTGAATATTCCAAAGCAAGACTAAAAAAATGCCTCTGCTTTATGGAGTCTGCTCATTAAATTTAATGTGAGTTCTAAAGTGATCCATTGGGGAGCAATATAGATGGGTGGGCAGCTTTCACAGATAATAGAGAAATAGTGTGCTTGCCTGAGGTCTGCTAATGCTCCTTCCTGATCATTTTCAAAGCATGCACAGTCCAATCACTGTTTTTGCATCCAAAGGAACTTAGTAAAAATTCAACACAGTTGTGTTTTTTATATCTAGCATTTGGAGCATTTTGATGTAGGGATTTTAAGGTCGTAGTTTCGGAAATGTACAATCATGCCTAATGTTGACAGCAGAAAAATAATGGGTTATTGAACATGAATAAACTAACTAGTAGTAGTTCTGCTTAACTGCTTCTCTACCCACAAAGACCCTTGAAGTTAGAGCAGTGGTGATTATGTCCTCAAAGTAAGAACTGACTTCTTTCAGGTAATTACAGTTTCTCTCTGATCTTGCTTCTTGAAAATATCTTTTAAAAATATCCGTGTTTTATAATAATAAACTGACTTTGAACTTATCATATGTATGGGTCATTGTAAGTATAGTTCACTGTGATAAACAGCACTGTACAAATTGCTGTTAAACTGTAAATAGAATTAGTGATAATGTAGCGATGGTATTTTGGCCTCCATATTAATTGTATGCAAAACTAAGTAAGAAGCCTTTTCAATAGTTACACAAGATTGATGTGGTAGGTTTTTCTGTCTAGTACTGATTTTTATGGTTTATACCAATTAAAATAATTTGTCCTGAAAAAAATTGAATTTATTTTAAGATCAATGATGAAATATCACTTTATTTCCATTCAATTAGATATTAAAACAGGTATATAGCACTGGCTTTCATGAGAAATATCTAATGTATCAAATCATGCTTGCCTCTTATAGGAGTTAGTAATCTGAAATGCAGTTCCTTGCCTTCCATTTATTTCCAAGCTCTGAATAATGAAAGGTTTCCTCAGTAAAACTGAATTCCGCTAACTCAATTTTAGCATTTTTTGGAGTGATTGGATTATTATATAGCTGTACATAATATAACTATACTGAAGATTTACTCATTTTTTGATGATTTGCAAATACCAAAAATACTAAAACCATCATTGATTCCATTGCAGAGTGGAAAATACGTAGCTCTCCAGATATTGTTGAAGATGTTCATTAGGACTACAGTACCTAGTCTGCCACACAAGACCTTATATTTCTCTTTTATCCCATTGATAATCTTATTGATAAAACATCCTAGACATTTATTATTTTTAATTCTGTATTCCAGAGTAGGATGAGTTAAATAGTTAAAATCATCCAGATTTTTCTCAAGTTTGCAATGAAAATTCTGTTCTTTAGGCCATTCTTTTCACTATAATTGAAACATGTCTAGGCTCATGGCTCTTAATCCAGTAACAACATGAAAAATCACCATATAATAGCTTTATGGTTTATAAACCTTGTGTTATACATATAAACCTTACTTCTATCAACCCAGTTAGCTGCTACTTATTAAACATACAATTGTAATATAATATGAAGGTGCTGGTGATTCTAATCAGTTTGGCTAACACAATGCATCATAAACCAATCAACGTCATTTTGCCCTGGTGCGTTACAGAAACTCAGCACACTTAATGGCTTAGTGCAGACATGTCAAACTCGTGATGTTATGTGATGTTGTGGGACGTATCGGAGCTTTTTCTCCATTGCTGGCAATGGGGTGGGCACAGTTTCCTGGTGATGCATCCAGCCTGCGGGCTGGCAGTTTGACACCCCTGGCTTAGTGTATCATATAAATTCAAAAATGGTCTTAATTGAATAAAACGTGGATTTGTAAGGCACTGGCCCACACGTTCTTCAGCTAACACAACATACATGCACACTTTAAACCCAAGAATGTAAGGCAGCAGCTCATCCACCCCAAGGTTAAAACACCCAGACACAAACTGAGCAACATGGTATATGCAGTATAATGCAGTGAGATGTGCAGATCTGTACATTGGGGAAACAAAATCACTTCATAAACGCATGGCAGAACATAAGAGAACAAACCCATCAGGACAAGATTCAGCAATCCATCTGCATTTAAAAGACAAAGGCCACTCTTGAAGACAGCACAGTCCACATTTGGGACAGGACTGCTGCTTTGAAAGGGGTCAAAGAGGCCATCTATGTCAGAACTGAACAGCTCTCTCAACGGGGAGGAATACAGCATCATACCACAAGGTTCCGTCTTAGGCCCAGTGCTGTTCAATATCTTCATAAATGACTTAGATGAGGGTACTTCTCAAATTTGCAGATGATACTAAGCTGGCAGGAATAGCCAACACCTTAAATGATAGGCTCAAGATCCAGATGGATCTTGACGAGTTGAACGCTAGGCCCTATCTAACAAAATAAAATTCAGTGTAGTGAAAAGTAAAGTTTTACACTTAGGCAAGAAAAACCAAAAGTACACATATAGATTGGGTGAGTAGCAGTAATTGTGAGAGGGATCTTGGAGTCTTAGTGGACAATTAAATATGAGCCAACAGTGTGCAGCGGCAGCCAAGAAAGCCAATGCAATCCTAAATTGCATTAACAGACTCAATCAAGATCACTTGTACTAATACCACTCTATAAAGCCTTAGTAAGACCATAACTAGAGTACTGCATCCAGTAAAAGATGTTGAGACTCTAGAAAAAGTGCAGAAAAGAGCAACGAAGATGATTAGGGGACTGGAGGCTAAAACATGAAGAACGGTTACAGAAACTGGGCATGGCTAGTCTAGTGAAGAGAAGGACCAGGGGTGACATGATAGCGGCATTCCAATATTTAAGGACTGTCACAGACAGGAGGGAGGTCAACCTATTTTCCAAAGCACCTGAAGGCCAGAAAAGGAATAATGGATGGAAACTGATCTATGAAAGATTCAACCTAGAAATAAGGAGAAATTTTCTGACAGAACAATCAACCAATGGAAGAGCTTGCCTTCAGAAGTTGTGGGAATTTCATCACTGGAGGGTTTCAAAAAGGTCTCCTGCTTGGGCGGGGGGGGGGTTGGAATGGATGACCTTCAAGATCCCTTCCAACTCTGTTATTCTATCTACAGTCTACAACACAGTCCTTTCAGCAGTTCCAAGAAGGTTCCACATCCATTTGCACTAGTCAGGTGACTTTGAGGACACAGATAAACCTCCAAGTGGCCTCAACCCATCTACAAGAATGCAAATGACCAGCTGTCTGCAAGGAATATAAATCTTTCCATTCCCCACCATCCAGTCAGAGCTGAAGAAGCTTTTTGGATGAAAAGCAAAAATCTTCAAATAAAAACAAAGTCCAGTTACCTCTTGAAAACGCACCTTTGGGACATCCGTGACCTGGATGACTGAGAATCTCCATAGACATTTAGCATGACTTATCACACAGCAAAATATCTGCCACTACAGAGTGGAAAGAAATAGAAGTTATCGCATCCACAACAAATATACTTTAATGGCTTCTTGGCCATTAAAACAAAAACAAAAACCATGCAAGCGTCATCTACAATTATGCATCAAAAATGACTATGCGTGGAACTTCCCCATAACTGCCTAGTTCTTTTTTTGTTATGGCTTCATTCAAAAATTCCATCAAAGGTAATCGTAACTTTGCTATCCCCTCTCCCTTCTCAAAGCAGTCCTATGAAATGCAAGCGATCCGCACTCTGTTCACTTCAGCCTCCTCCAAACCGGAAATTGATGGTGCTTGCTATTCTTAATCACCCTCTTTAGCCTTGCCACCTCTTCTGAAGCGAAGAGGGTTTTTTTCCCCCCTCCGGCAAGTCGTGCAATAACTTGCTTGTAATTCAATTGGCCGTCGTCCCCTCACGTGACCATGGCCTTTTCCCGAGACTCGGGGCGAAGGGCGTCTCTGCGTCCTTACGCTACCGGGGCCAAAGGGGAAATTCTTCTGCGGAGGCTGTACGGTAGGCGGGTGCCCCAAACGTGAGGTAATATGCGGGGAGGGGCGGGGGGGGCGGCGGACGATATTCGGCCGAGAAAGGCTTCGGAAACCGAGGACAGGCTGTGACAAGCAAAGGCTTTTTATGCTAGGCATGGAGCCACTCTTGCTAATATAAGCTTATTGCTGAGAAAAATGCTAAAAGAGCTGCGGGTCTTGTGAACCGGCGAACAAGCCTTTCTCTCCTCTGGTATCTTTTCAATGTGCTGACTCCGACTTATGTAGAATTCCTGCAGAAAGGAAGGAGCTTAACCTGAATGTAGGCGAAATCCAGAAACCACGTGTTGGAGAATCAGCCCTGTACCCCTCGCATGTCCTTCCTATCCTGCCGCGATAAAACCCTGCCTTATTTATTTTCATATGATGCAAAATAATTCCATCTCAAGATGTGCATCTGGGGAGCGGCGTTTCCAAGGCAGCGTTCTTTCCACGCTTCTTGACTAGACAGCTACTTGAGTGCATTCTCTCTCCAGTATCATATTAGTTTCGTGTACTGCTTCCCACATAAACCCATATCTAATTGTGAATGATCAGGACAAGAGTTATTATCTGAAGGGACTCCTGGTCCAAGAAAGAGCACAGCTGGCACTCTATCCATGAATATAGCTGGTTGATTTTGTCGTGATTAAGTGAGCCCGTTCCTGAAGATGAAGAGGAATTTCACCTTTCAATATAACAAGACCCAAAACACACCTTCAGATCAACAAAATAATGGCTTTACCAGAAGAAGATCCAAGTTTTGGAATGGATCGGCCAGACCTGAATCCAACTGAAAATTTGTGGCCTGGAGATGCTCTTGCAAGCTGACAGATTTGGGGTCTTTACAAAGAAGAGTAGGTAAAGGTTTTCAAGGCAGAATGTGCCATGCTGATAGGCTCCAACGTCAAAAGACTGAATGTTGTCATAAAAATCAAAAGATGCTTCAACAAAGTATGAGTTTATGCAACCACATTATATGTTTTATTTTTTCCCCTACAAGTTTTCAGTTTGTTTTTTGACTGAATTGTACAGCTTTAGATTCTGAAGTGATTTATTTTGGTCTAATATTTTTAACATCTCAGAAACCTGGTATTTTAGCAGGAGATGTAGATTTTCTATATTCATTGTACACAGATATTTTCTCTGTAGACTGCCAAATATATAACAGGAAACTGGTACTTACAATGGGTCCTCATAGTTCTGGCCATTGCAGTGTCCCAGTGGTCATGTGATTATGATCCAGGCACTCAGTTTGCAATTATAAAGTTTTGCAAACTGTAGTCATGTGATTGTGATTTCCAATGTTATTCTATAGCTTTTTACAAGGTCATTGAAGAAGCCAGCAGGAAATCAGAAATTGCAGTTTTATGAAGTCCTCATTTAACAATGGCAGCTGGGACTGCCAGAAGTAACATCACTAAGTGATATGGTCACATGGCATCAGCTTTACAACAACATTGTTTAGTGACAGCAATTTTGGCCCCAGTTGCCATTATAAGTGAAGAATTACCTGTACTGTTTAGGTATAACGCAATTATTATCTATTCGACTTTTATTTATTTATATTTCATATCTTTTAATTGCCCCTCTCTTTCAGATCCCTTAATCCTGACTTTATTACTTTATAAGTAACTCAAGCAGCAAGTATACATAATACTCCTTCTGCCTCCTATTTTTCTCACAATAACCCTGTGACATGAGTTGGGCTGAGAGAGAGTGGCCCAAAACTAACCATCCGAATTTCATGCCTAAGGCGGAAATCGAACTCTCAAGTCTCCTGTTTTCCAGCCTGGTGCCTTAAACATTGGCTCTCCAGTTAATTTTACATTAGTTTGAAACACTGCAATCAGAAAAAAATGAGTTTTTTTATAATGTTCCTTGGAGCATTAGAAACTGTGAAGCATTGTTTAGTATATTTATACATGATATATTATCAGGCGATTGGTTTTCTTGTGATTTTTTTTTCAGCCTTGCAAGGACAAATAGATGTTGTTTTTAAGAGCCTGTTTGCTCAGTATCACAGAGGGAAAGTAGCATTATGTTTTGTTTAGGATGCAGATAAGATCAAAAAAACACATGGAATTGGTTTGTTTTCCTCCCTTTTTCAACATATCTACTTTTTGTTCAATATATCGTATTTAGAGTGTACAGTGTGATTCACAGAAAGTAGTTTTGATGTTCACCTGAAAAAATACAAGCTATTGCATTAGTTGAATACATTATCATCATAGTTCTTTTTCCTCTTGATGTTGTAATCTTCTTTTGTTTACATATATCTCGGTTCTTAAGCTATAAATTAAATCTTGATTTTCTGGCACACATACCTAGTATCTGGTTACCATTCTGTTCTTGTGTAGAATTCATAGCATTGATAATATCGAAACTGATTTTAATACAAATTTGGTATTGGCATTGGTTGTCCCAATTTATTTAGAGGATATCGGGTTAAAGAGGGCTATGTTAGAAAACGATGTTATTATATAAATAGTGTACACTCATAGGAATGGTAATTCAATGATTTTTAAAAGAAAAAGCATGCCGCCATTAAAACAATTTAATGATGAGTTTATGATCTCCTAATTATCTTGTTTAAAACTAGTGATGACAGAAATCCTGTGCAAAGATTGTTCAGAATCTGCTCAGGCTCATTAAGACCATTGCATTCCTGCCATGAAGAAACAGATGTAATATTTCTAGCATAGATAATTCCTGTAGGAAAATTCCAACACTGTGTTTACAAATACTGATCTTGTAGTTCTTGTGTTCACTGTAATAAAAATTTGACTTTAATGGCAGGGAAACAGTTGTACAAAAAGAACATTGATGTAACAAATCTTATTTCTAATAATTAAAACTAAGGTGCCCCTGGGATTTCTCTGTAGAAGTGTGGCTATATGGAACATAAACGTAACATAAACATAAAATAAGATGGATTTGTTAAGCCAAAATGTGCTTTGAGATTAGGATATATTTTAAAAGAAATATTAAAGAGTTTTATTTATTCATTTTGGGAATTTATGAACTGGGTAGTGCTTGAAATCTAAATTATGTATACATATGTACCTATTGTGGACATAAGGTGGGGGAGGCTGTATGACCTTTTTAAAAAAATCTTTTGTGACCGTTGAGCATCAAGAACATATATTGAGACAGTTAAGTGGGTGCTGATTTCAAATAAAGAATCAGCAGAGTTTCATTTCTGGTCTACTGCTGAAATTCCCCCTTGTTGCATTTGCAATGTGTCAAAATCCAATTCTTTAGGCATAATTTTTGCATGACCATCTTAAAGTGTAAAGATAAGATATACAATAATTCAGTAATAGTGTAATGGAAGTCACTATTGATTGTAACTGAACCCAATTTACCTGCAGTTGTCTTTGGATTTGCAGTTACAGTTGCAAAAATGAGAAATATGGAATTAAGCTACTTAACTCACTTTTCTGGGAAAGCACACGAAAAATGCTATTTTATGTAGATTTCTTATTTCAAATTTTCTCTATCTTAGGAGATCTGGAAATGCAAAATGTGAATTCAGAAAGACTATCCTAAAACCATGGCTTTGACACAGGTAAAAACACCATATATTAAGCATTTTCAGACAGTTTTAGCTTATTCAGCTGATCTCAGTGCTTAGTTTTTACATCTAGATAGAAATATTTTGCATATAGATGACGAGTTTTATGTATAGGCTATACTTCATGCAATGCAGCCAACTCATTTCTAAAAAAAATACAGAATTCGCTACAAATTTAAGGTTTACACAATGGGGAAAGTTTGTATGGTTTAGGTCAGGGGTAGGCAACCTTGGCTCTTTTATGACTTGTGGACTTCAACTCTCAGAATTCCTGAGCCAGCCATGGGAGTTGAAGTCCATGGGTCATAAATTCTGGGAGTTGAAGTCCACAAGTCATAAAAGAGCCAAGGTTGCCTACCCCTGGTTTAGGTGTTGTATTATTTGTTGCTGTACCAGTAAAGGCCCAAGATGCAGCACTAGCATTAGCAACCGATGTATTTACTAGGAGGAAGAATTGTATTTATTCCAATAACAGATTAGTACACTTCTGAGTTCAAGGAAATGATAAGATAATGTTCCACAATTCTGAAGGAAGTTATCTTGACTTCTGTTTAATGACTGACTACAGGTAGTTTTTGACTTACAACCATAATTGAGCCCAAAATTTCCATTGCTAAGGAAGATAGTTAAGTGAGTTTTGCCACCTTTTGCAACACTTTTTTTGTCACACTTGCAAAAGTGTGAGATCTTTAGGGATTTTTTTTCTTCTGTGTGGGCCTTTGAGTTGGTGTTGACTCTTAGTGATTGTTAGGATTAGTCCCATAGTTTTCTTGGCAAGGTTTTCCAGAAGTGGTTTGCCAGTGCCTTCTTCCTCCTAGGTCAGAGAGCATGGGACTAGCCCAGGGGTAGGCAAGCTTGGTTCTTTTATGACTCGTGGACTTCAACTCTCAGAATTCCTGAGCCAGCCATGCTGAGGGGAAAGGGAGAGGTTTCCAAGCTGAGCCATGCTGGCTCAGGAATTCTGGGAGTTGAAGCCCACGAGACATAAAAGAGCCAAGCTTGCCTACCCCTGGACTAGCCCAAGCTGTCTTTGTGACCAAGGCAGGACTGGAACCCATAAGTCTCCTGATTTCTAGTTTCATCCCTTAATCACTACAGCAAACTGGCCGTTTCATCTTTAGGGATTAGCAGCAATAATATTTTACACAACTTTATCCCATATGCACTTTAGTTCTAAGTTTACTCAAAACATTTAGCATGCTGTATGGGTGTACCTGTTGTGGTACATTAGTCATAGCTTCCCTCAAACAAAAACAAAAAACCTTTCTGGTTTCATCAGCATGAAACACTCTCAGCTTAGAATGTGTAAGAAGCAGATTTTTAGTAGACATTGTTTTAAAATTTGTTTTTATACAGTTTCTTTGTAGGAGTCCTTATTTTCTGAAACCTTTATCCGCGACCAGTTTGGGAAGAACGTTGAAGATTCCTGTGGGTTCTTGGAATGATTATTTAAGAAAGGTCTCTGTTCATGATGGCAAATCCTTTTCTACTAAAATAGTCCTGGGAATAGAAACGAGCTGCGATGATACAGGAGCTGCTGTGGTGGATGAAACTGGTAGCATTTTAGGAGAAGCATTACATTCTCAAACTGATGTTCATTTAAAGTAAGTAATTCTTATTGTGGGTGAAATTATGTTTCAGTTGCTAAAATTTGCCTGGGCTGTGTTGCTCTCTCTCTCTCTCTCTCTGTGTGTGTGTGTGTATGTGTGTGTATTTGTGTGTGTGTGTGTATGTATAAATATTGCCATTTCTGTGTTTTCTGTGCATTCCTTCTATGGTCTAGAAATCTTTAAAGCAAAGAATTTGATTTAAAATTAGGGTTTTGAGATAGAAATGATGCCACTTTGACTCAAATGAAGCACTGAAGGCATCCAGAGAAAACATTTTATTACAACTTAATAAAAATCTAAAAAGTTTTATTTTATGCTGCTAAAATTGATTTTTAGAAAAGGAACATGACATTCTTGTAGAGTCCTCCTTTGGGAGCAAAGAATGAGTATAGTTTATAAGGAAGTTAAAACTTAACCAATACTGGAATATGAACTATTTGGTGTCATGTTTTATATCCCCATTTAAAGATACCTGGAAAATGGCCTGTAGTTCATATTAGCCAATTATGTTCGGTTGCTGTCACACTGTTTCTAGTTTTCTATTCAAAATCGGTGGAACAGGCCAAATAGGTCCTTCTTGTATCAAGAAATGGCTGATAAAAGTTTTTATTCCCTGGAATTTCAGAATACTCTTGTTTGAAGTCTTGTCCCCCTTCCCCCCAAAGCATGTTCTGTAGCAAAACTTCCATGTTATGAGCATTGATGATAGTTGTGAGGTTTTCAGGTTCAGTGAAAGAATGGGTTTTTGACCAAAAGCATTTCCAAGGAAACTCTGCTTGAATTAAAAGTCGTGAATTGCTGAGTTACCAGCTTTCCTGTAAGGTAGGAAAGAAAAAGGAGCCCATGGATCTAAAACACCATAGGAAGTTGGAAAAATTAGATTTAAATGACAATTTGTTTCTTGCACTTACTTGCCATTTTCCCTCCAGAATCCTAATGAGTTTATATGGTATTTTATGAGCAGCTATATACATTTCTGAATAAATCAGTGATTTTTCTCTCACCCCGTCAGAGGAATCCTATAAGACAGACTTAATTATAATCACTGTAATGTGATGAATGATATCAAGAGATTAAAAAGGGTCAGTAAAATATTACCATTCTCTAATGGCCCATAATCTCAAGCTTCATTGCTGTTTCGGAAACTATACAGGTAGTCCTCAATTTACGACCGCAATTGAGCTCAAAATTTATGTTGCTAAGTGAAAAATTTGTTCAGCCCCATTTTATGACTTTTATGGCCACATTTGTTAAGTGAATCACTGCAGTTGTTAAATTAATAACACAGTTGTTAAGTGAATTGACTGCTGGTCAGAAGGTCACAGAAGGGGATCACATGATGGCAGGACATTGCAACCGTCATAAATGTGAGTCGGTTGTCAAGCATCTGAGTGTAAATCATGTCGCCATCGGGATGCTGCAGTGGTCGTAAGTGTGAAAAATAGTCACCAGTCAACTTTTTTGCAGTGCCGTTGTAACTTTGAATTGTTGTAAGTCAAGGACCATCTGTACTGGCAGGATCTGTCAGTAGTGTCAAGATGATATGGCAGAACAGTCAGGCAAGACAGGTAAGGGAAAAAAAGGGAACTGGCAGAACATCAATCCTCCTGTGTTATTATTAAATTATAACAATATATTAAGCACGATGTAATTGCAGTCCAAGGGACTCGCTGGAGAAGACTCCTGCGAGTCCCTTGGACTGCAAGGCATTCAAGCCGGTCAGTCCTAGAAGAGATCAACCCCGACTGCTCTTTAGAGGGCCAGATCCTGAAGTTGAAACTCAAATACTTTGGCCACCTAATGAGAAGGAAAGACTCACTGGAGAAGGGCCTAATGCTGGGAAAGATTGAGGGCAATAGAAGAAGAGGACGACAGAGAATGAGATGGCTGGATGGAGTCACTGAAGCAGTAGGTGTGAACTTAAGTGGACTCCAGAAGATGGTAGAGGACAGGAAGACCTGGAGGAACCTTGTCCATGGGGTCGCGATGGGTCGGACACGACTTCGCAATTAACAACAAATTGCAGTATTATTACATATACATTCTTATCGGTAATATATTAAGATTATATATGGTATATAATATGATTATGTTATAAAATTATTACAATAGAGTTCACATGCAGATGTTTGTTTCTCATTAGAACAGGTGGCATTATTCCTTCAGTAGCACAACAGCTTCACCAAGAAAATATCGCAAGGGTAGTACAACATGCGGTCTCAGCCAGTGGCGTCAATATGGAGGATATCTCGGCTATCGCAACAACTGTGATGCCAGGACTTGCGTTAAGCCTTGGAACCGGATTGAAATATAGTTTAGAACTGGTGAAGAAACATCAGAAACCTTTTATCCCTATCCATCATATGGAAGCACACGCACTTACCGCCCGACTGACGGATCTTGTAGCATTTCCTTTTCTTGTCCTTTTACTCTCGGGGGGTCACTGTATACTGGCAGTAGCTCAAGGAGTTTCAGATTTTCTTCTCCTTGGACAGACCAAGGACATCGCACCGGGGGATATGCTTGACAAGGTGATTTATTTTAATATAGATTATTGACGTATAAATATTTTTAAACCGAGATCCTTTGAGTAATATACTGAGGCACCATCCAAAAATTGAGTAGGGCTAGTACACAAATGTAAAGTTTAAAGCGACAAAATTACCCTTCATGTACTCAATAATTTCTCACTTCTATGAGATTATATTTTGGTGGCAACTTCTTAGAGGTTTTTCACATTTGGGGATCCATTACATATGCGTCTTTCAGGAGCATTCTTTTACAGCAAGTGTAAGTTGCCCTTGATTGCATGTGTTTCCCCAGCATCTCATTTCCACACGCCTGTTACCATTTCACCATCCCAATTCTGATGGGTATTGATTTTGTTCCATTTTCTCATTAAACCTCTCCAGCTCTAAAATACTCAGAAAACAGGCCAAAAAGCTCCTTTACTCTGGAAATGGCAGGATAACATAAGCCAAACTGGCTGCAACACTCATATAACCCAAAGGCAAAATGCAGCCCCTAGGCTTGATTCCATCAACATAAAACCCACTCGCCAAAATGCCAGTAAGGTAATAAAAACTAGGAACAGGAGTCATTTCAGTCGTCTATTCTTTTACCTGAAAAAGTATGTTAATTGTATAGATTATAGGTGGTCCTTGATTTACCTGTAACTTAGTCACCACTCAAAGTTCTGAAAAAAGTGACTTACGACCGTTTTTCAGACTTATGACTGTTGCAGCATCCCCATGATCATGTGATCAAAATTCAGATGCTTGGAAACTGACTCATATTAATGACGGTTGCAGCGTCCCGGGGTCATACGATCACCTTTTGTGACCTTATAAGCAAAGTCAGTGGGGAAACTAGATTCACTTAACAACGGTCTTATTAACAACTGCAGTGATTCACTTAGCAACTGTCATAAAATGAACAAATTCACTTAACAAATGTTTCGCTTAGCAACAGAAATGTTGGGCTCAATTGTGGTCGTAAGTCAAGGACTACCTGTACCAAATTTAAGATATCCCATGGTGCAACACACATATTTTTGGGGGGGGGGGAAATCCTTTCTTTAAATAGGAATACAATCTATCCATTTTTTTTTTAAAAAAAAGCATGATTAATTTTATTGATATAAGTCAGCGCACTTCATTTATGTATGAAGCATATTCACTTGTGCTGCATCATGAAAATATATATCACTTACCTATTGGGTAAATTAATAAGAAAGATTGCTTTAAAAAATAATGTAAACTTGAAATGAGATATTTCCTGAATCTGTTGTGAACAGATTTTTTTTTTCCTTTACTTTCTTCTTCTTCTTAAGGTAGCTAGAAGTCTTTCTCTACATAATCATCCAGAGTGCTCTGGCATGAATGGTGGGAGAGCAATAGAAACCTTGGCCCAGCAGGGTAACATTCTGCGTTACAAATTCACAATCCCGATGCGGCGATACCAGGATTGCACCTTCTCTTTTGCTGGATTGCAAAGCGAAATCACTAGAAAGATTTCAAAAGAAGAAAAGGCAGAAGGTATTTGCCCAAAGAGTCACAAACTGTGTGTGTGTGTGTGTTTTGCTGCATGTCTGCTTTGAAAAATCTGTCTGATGGTAATTCCTGCAGGCCTTCTGGAAGGGCAACATCTCTCCTGTCTTCCGGATCTTGCTGCCGCAGCCCTGCATGCAATGACTGTTCACATTGCTGAGCGAACACATCGGGCTATTCTCTTCTGCAAAGAGAAAGGAATCATACCCCCAGGAAAGGAAACTTTGGTGAGTTCTGTGGGAAGGTTACACCTTTCCTTATCTCAGATTCCAAAATTGTTTGCTTCTTGATCATGGTAACAGTGAGCTGGCCAGCAATTTAAATGTATATTTCTTGAGTCTCATAGTTACTGTGGGACCTGTTACCAACACTGTGATAATAAGAATTTACAGTGCATTCAGAAAGTATTCAGACCCCCCTTCACTTCTGTCAGTTTTGTTATGCTGCACCCTGATTCTACAGTTGTTGAAGTTCATTTTTTTTCTCATTAATTAATTAACTCAGCACCCCTTAATAACAAAGTGAAAACAGAATTTTAGAAATGTCTGTAAATTTATTTTTTTAAAAAACTGAAACATCACATTGACATAAATATTCAGACCCTTCACTCAATATTTCGTGGAAGCACCTTTGGCAGCAATTACAGACTCGAGTCTTTGTGGGTATGACACGACAAGCTTTGCACATCTGGATTTGGGGGATTTTCTGCCATTCTTCCTTGCAAATCCTCTCACGCTCAGTCAGATTGGATGGCGATGGTCGGCGGATAGCCATTTTCAGGTTCCTCCAGAGATGTTCAATAGGGTTCAAGTCAGGGCTCTGGCTGGATCACTCCAGGACATTTCACGAGTTGTCTCTAAGCCACTCCTGTGTTGTCTTTGCTGTGTGTTTAGGATCATTGTCATGTTGGAACGTGAATCTTCAGCCAAGTCTGAGGTCCTGAGTGCTGTGAAACAGATTTTCATTGAGAATATTGCTGTATTTTGCTCCATTCAGCTTTCCCTCAACCCTGACCAGTCTCCCACTCTCTGCTGCTGAAAAACACCCCCACAGCATGATGCTGCCACCACCATACTTCACTGTTGGGATGGTATTGGGAAGGTGATGAGCGGTGCCTGGTTTCCTCCAGACCTAATGTTTAGAATTGAGGCCAAGCAGTTCAACCTTGGTTTCATCAGATCAGAGAATCATGTCCCTCACAGTCTGAGAGTCCTTCAGGTGTTTTTTTTGCAAATTTCAAGCGGGCTTTCACGTGTTTTGTTCTGAGGAGCGGCTTCTATCTAGCCATTCTGCCATAAAGCCCAGATCGATGGAGGGCTGCAGTGATTGTTGTCCTTCTGAACTGTGTCCCATCTCCACCCAGGATCTCTGGAGCTCAGTCAGAGTGACCATCGGGTTCTTGGTCACCTCTCTTACTAAGGCCCTTCTCCCCTAATTGCTCAGTTTGACCAGGCGACCAGCTCTTGGAAGAGTGCTGGTTGTGCCAAACGTCTTACATTTGAGAATTATGGAGGTCACTGTGCTCTTAGGAACCTTCAGTGCAGCAGAAATTTTATTGTAGCCTTCCCCAGATCTGTGCCTTGCAATAATCCTGTCTCTAAGCTCTGCAGGCAGTTCCTTTGACCTCATGGCTTTTGCTGTGCCACAGTACGCATTGTCAGCTATGAGGCCTTCTATAGAGAGGTGTGTGCCTTTCCAAATCAATTTAATTTACCACAGGTCGACTCCATTCAAGGTGTAGGAACATGTTAGCAATAATCCAGAGAACTGGGAGGAACCTGAGCTAAATTTCAAATGTTGTTGCAAAGGATCTGAATACTTGCGCCAATGTGATATTTCAGTTTTTTCTTTTATAATAAATTTACAGACATTTCTAAAATTCTGTTTTCACTTTATCATTATGGGGTATTGAGTGTAGGTTGAGAAAAAAATGAATCTGAACAAGTCTAGCGTAACAAAATTGACAAAAGTGAAGGGGGTCTGAATACTTTCTGAATGCACTGTACTTTGCAGCCTTTAAATTTACCTTTTTTTCTGTATCATATTTAATTCTGAAAGATTATAAGAACAGCATGTTCATATTTTATGTTTCCCCATTGACATGCAACTATTTACTCTTTCAACTTTTTTTTCAGGTAGTTTCAGGAGGTGTCGCAAGTAACCAATATATCCGTAGATCTCTGCAACTTCTAGCAGATGCTACTAATTTCACATTGGTTTGTCCACCTCCAAGGCTTTGCACTGACAACGGTGTTATGATTGCATGGTAAGAAAAGATTTTTTTTCAGCGTTGAAGGAGATGCATAATTGCAGAATGTTATGATAATTTTCCAAAATATATGCATAAGTAGTATAATGGGAAACATCATATACATTTTGTGTGAATATACCGTGTATGTCTTTGGAGCATAGGTAGTCTTCAAGATACGACCATAATGGAACCTGCCCATTATGGCCAAATGTCGTGACAGTCTTTAGGTGAAATGTCTTACCTAACAACCCCCCCCCCCCAATCACTGGTCTCTTCAGTGAATCATCAAACTAACACACTTGCTAAGCAGAGTGTGGGGTGCCTTACTGGGGGGGGAGACAGTTGGAGGCCTAGCACAGGCGCAGGCCTGCCTACCCTAGCCCTCCCAAGGCCTCCCCCACCCCTAAGATGCCCCATGCTCCACTTCTCACATCTTGGGTCTTGACTGGCTTCCCCCCCCCCCCAATCTTAGGCCTGATTCTCACTCCACCAGGCCAAACACCTTCCTCCTCACTTACCTTTCAAAGAGCTCCAAAGCTTTCCAGATTTTGGAACGGTTTGCTTCTTTGTGCAGTCACATGGAGCAATTCTGAAAGCAGCTGCCATTTTGTCTGCCCACAAAATGGCAGCCACATTTGGGTCACTGACCCATGCCTCAGGGACAAACTGCTTCATTTGGCTGCCTTAACAAGGTCTTGCACAGTGCCGCAGAAGCGTTCTGCAGCAGTCAAAAGTTTCTGCAGCCCTGTGCAGGTCTTCTTAAGGCAGCAACATGAAACAGTTTGTCTGGCGACTGCCATTTTATTCTGCCCATAAATGGGTAGGGCAAAAGGGCAGCCACATTTGGATGGCCACTGCGCAGGCTGGAAACATGTGGCCTGCCCTCCTTCTACAACTTGAGAGCTGGAGAACTTCAGAAGGTAAGTGTGGTGCATGATGGGTATATGGGGAGAAGTCCACGTGCTGCAGGGTTCTGGTGAGTTGGGATTGGGGAAAGGTGGGGGTGCTACAGCATAGCTGTGGTGGGTTTTAAGGGCAAATGACTGCAGCACATGGCATACTGCAGTTGTCACAGCCTTAAAATGGGGCCATATGTAACTTTAAAAGGTATAAAATGGCCTCTCGTACCTCAAGGACTACCTATACGTAAGCATAAATATTAGAGATGCATTTCCTATATGAAATTGGCAAACACCTAGATAATTCATTATGTACAAAGTTCCCTCCCCACATCATGATTTTACAGAAACATGCTGCCTTTGCTTTTTTTTTAAATTAAAAAAATGTGAAGGAAATCAGGTTTATTTTGCAAGAAAGATGCCTCAAGTTCCTTCTTATAGTGAAAATAATTAGATTAACAGGGATAATATCTAATGGAAAATATGACAGCATGGTTGAAGACTCTGCCCCATAATTGTTTTGTGATCAATGTCATCAATGTTTTATATTCATTGTAAGGTAACAGAGAAATGAAGTTGTTTTACTTAATTGCGTAAATATTTCCTTTATAGGAATGGAATTGAAAAACTTTCTGCAGGACTAGATATCTTTTATCATTTAGAAAATTTCAGGTACGAACCAAAGTAAGTAATTAATTATTTCACTGAACTTTTCTTTGTCTGCTTTATTGTCAATATGCTGCTCAAAATCATAGGAAAGAAAATTGGGATAAGAAAAAGGTGGTGTATATTGAATTCTTTAAAAAAATTACATCCCCAAAATTACTGATTTTATAGTAATTTTCATTATACGTGGAAGGATCTCAGAGAAGCGAAATATGCATATATGTGTAATATATAATTGATTCTACATTCTTAAATTTGTGTTATGTGTTTAATTATAGTGTTTTGTGTTATCTTTTAGAGCTCCACTTGGAACTGATATCTCAGAACAAGTAAAAGAAGCTTTCATCAAAGTGCCAGTGCTAAATCTAGCAGTATGATGTTTGATATTTTTCAATTGTCTGGAAAAAAAGTGAAATTGTTATTTTCAAAAAAGTTTTTAATGGGAACTCCATTTTATTGCCCCCTAGTCATCTGGACCAATTATGTGACATTGCCAAATAATTTAATTATAAGCTGAGGAAAAATTAAGATATGAACATGAAAAAAACAGGAGATACATTTTTTAGTCACTATAAAGAAGAAGGGGTTTCTAAACATTTTATTGTTTGTAAATTTGGACATATGTTCCATTATCGATTAATTTATGGCATTTTTCAGTGGTTTAATAATAATTGTTTGCAGAAGTTAGATATTGTGCATGTTTGGTCTGAATTTAAAATAATACCAACAAAAATAAGGGGGGGGGGAGTAAGTGCAGTACCCAGCTTCCCCACTTAAGTAATCTTGGTTTGCAAATAAATATTGCTGAAATAAATCTTCAATATCACCCAGTATAAGTGAGCACATGTCAGTTTTTACATCTGTTTATATATGTATGCAAGTGGATATAACTGCCAGAAGCTATGTTCCAAAAAGCATAGAAGCAGGACACCCCCCCCCCCCAAAAAATCACTTTGGTTCAATTAATAACTACTAAATACAATTGCTTGTAAAATAAGGTTCTCCCTTTACCAAATGGATTGATTTCCATTAATATATAAACCAACCATACTTTCTCTTGGATGCAAACCACTCCAACACAACAGAAATGCACAAACACATGCACAAATATTTCCTTCCCTTCTTCCAGCAAAAACAGCTGAAAGTTAAGGGGAGAAAAAGGAAGGAAATAGAATAAAAAGAAGGAATAGCTACAATGGTGAGAAGAGGAAAAATAGATGGAGATTTGAATACAGGTAAATCTTTCACTTACAACCATTTGTTTAGTGACCAAAGTTACAACAGCACTGAAAAAGTGACTTATGATCCTTTTTCACACTTATGACCTTGACACAGCATCTCTGTGGTCACATGATCAAAATTCAGATACTTGGCAACTGACATGTATTTATGACAGTTGCAGTGCCTTGGACTCGTGATCATCTTTTGCAATCTTTTGAGAAGTAAAGTCAATGGGGAAGCCAAATTCTCTTAACAACTGTGTTAGTAACTTAACAATTGTTGCAATTCACTTAATAGCCTTGGCAAGGAAGGTCGTAAAATGGGGCAAAACTCAATTGTCTTGCTTAGCAATAGAAATTTTGGGCTCAGTTGTCATAAGTTGAGGACTACGTGTAGCAGAAATAACTCGCGTGTAAAGGAAACAAATAATTATGCGAGTTTAAAAAAACATGGAATTCGTAGGTAAACACCAGATAATCTTTGAAGTTATCCAAGATTTGCAGCGGCATCTTTACAGCGATTTGCCTCATGCAGGGTGCTTGTTTTCAAGAGCTTATCAGTGAATGAATGGTATTAACATTTCGTATCCCTTTTTTGCTGCAATGCTATATTATTTGAAATAAAGATACCTTTAATTTGCCCTGATTCTTCATATTAATTGCTTTTCACACATAAAGTCATATCTGATTGCCACGGTTTTTATCCCTTCTGTATCAATTTCTTGCGGTTGTTTTCCCAATTTGGAATAAATCCATTACAAATGCAATCATATTTTTATTTGCATGAAACTGTATGGTAACAACATCTTTTCCGCTATCACAATATAGACATTTAAAATTTCTCTTTGGACAAACTATGTTTGAGTGCCTCGACATTAACAATTCTTGGTCTTGAAACCTCAATGAGGTCAGATGTTGTTGTGTGTGGAAATTGATAGTGTCCAGATGCTGGAATGCGGGGTTTCTCCGGAGTTTTTAATCTTCCCATTATATGTGAAGTTGAGGGAATTAAAAAGAGAGAATCCTTCGGACGAAACTTTCCTTTGTATACTTTAACACCAGTACCTCGAAATTTTTCTAGAAAATAAAAACACTGCTTTTACTATCATCAGTATTATCTGCAGAGTATTTTAGACTATTCAGTCACGTAATGTTGCAACATGAGTAGGACTACTTGTGGGCTGGATCCTTATTCCACCTGGTTCATTTGAATAGCTGGAGGTGGAGTGAGTAGCGGCATTGGAGAATAGTTACAGCCACCTTGAAAATGGCGGCGGTGTGTGTCCTGGTGAGGCCATCTCTTAATCCAGCCATGCCACAAAATTACTGTCTGGTGTCCAACCTTCCCTTTGGGAGTGGACATCTGGAGAAGGTTGCTGGGGAAGCAGATTGTGAGACCCAGATATGAAACAGAAGCAGCAGTGGTCATTCTTATGGAGGGAACCTGGATATAGGAGTGCCCAGCTCCTGATCTTTTTAGATCAAGTGTTTTTCAAAGTTAAAGATGCGTGGGCTGCAACACCCAGAATTCCCCAGCTAGCATGCCACTGGCTTCCATGTATTCATTTTAAAGTCCCTTTCTTTAGATCGACCATCTCACCAAGTTGATGAGCTTTCAAGAACAACAGTTTGAATGATAAGTAATTCCTGGTGGAATGCAGCATTAGAGGTCTAACCACATCTGTGGGTCACAAGCTTATTAGATAATGGGTTTTTTTATATATTTGCCCAGCTCACTCCCCACAAATCTACCTGGATTAGTTAGGCATAAATTACCTCGTATGTGTACAGGGACAGCAGGTGGCCCTCCATTTATCTCCAGGCTGAAAATAAATAAAAAACAGCTATTAAGTTAAGATGCAGATAACTGCCTAGGCCCTCTGTGAAGTACTTTCATTAAAGTCCAGAAACTATTCTTAAATAATGTAGTTTGAGAATTCTGTTAACCATTCTTTTTTTTTTTTCCTGTTTAACAATTAAACCTAATATAACCCATTCTATGTTTCTAAACTGATAGGTTTACTTTCATTGAACGTCTCCATTAACTATAATTTGATTGAGCTGACAGTGATGCCTCAATAAATATGCAGGCTTCAGGTCTCGTTTTGTCTGCTTTATTAGTTGGCTACTCTTCTTAAATTTGACAATGATCACATGACAGCAAATGTATGAATCCATGGTTGATCAAGGTTAAACATTTACAGTATTTATGGAAATATTTAACCCCTGATGTAAAATCTCAGGCTTTCTAGTAGTCTGTGCTTAGTAAGATATGTATCTTAAACTGTGAACTAAATTGAACTACTGCACTTCAATAACAATATTAATTAAAAACACCACATTTTCCTAATAAGTTCAAGACCATTTTTAAAATGCCATAAAGCCTGTTTGCACAAATGCTATAAAAACCAAAAGGACTACCCAGTAAATAGAAAAAGAGAATTTGTTGTGGTTCAATCCAGTAAATTCAGCAAGTAAACATGAAAGGCTTCATTCTTGAAACATATTTTCTAAAATATTTAAAGGTAGTCTTGCAAAACTCCAAGTGGTTTTGTTCTGGAATAAAGTCCTATTTCCAGCCAGAAATAGACTTTCACCAAGTTCATACCAGGGCATTCATTGTATATAAATAAAAATCTTTCATCTTCTCAGTTTTGGGGTAAAGTCTCAAGCCTCCATATTTGGAATATTTCTGAAACATCTATGTGATTTATTTTTTCAAACAGAAATATATTTTGTTCTAAAACTGATGTGCACAGTATTCTGAAACTTCACTAGCATTTGAAATACTGTTCATACCTGAGAGAGGGGAGACCAACTTTTTTTTGTCTCTTAAATTCCTTTACAAAATCCGAATTTATTTTTGCATCTTTGCTGAGATTTATTATTAGCCTCTTGAACAACTTGGGCTTATTCCTACATTGCACCAACAGATGGCGATATGCAGTCCGATTAAATGTTAGATAGCCAAGAGCACATGCCACAGCCGAACGAACCTAGAAAAGACATCAACACTGTAGGAATACAGTTTATTAATTTTATTTAGGGTCAGTGAATCAGACTATTTTACAGTAAGCAACAAAACAAGAGAACTATGAAAACTACTATAAAAGTTCTGGATCGTCCTGAAGAAATTTTGTATACTGTATGTCACTTCTGTCCATTATTTGGATATATCTTTCCCTGTTGCCCAATTTTGTATGTATGAGTTTGTGAGCACTATTACATTTTTGATGAGCCAGGGTGAGGTTGATATCTGCAAATCACAGTCTAAATATACTAGAGCCACTAACAGTCCAAGAAAGCAAAGATGATCTAAGAACTCAAAGTGAAATGAACATATAATGGTACAAGACAAAACAGTATTACATGATGTGGTGCTCTATTCACATTGAGTGGCAGGGACAGAGTCTGGTTTCTGCTAAACAGTATGAAAATTGATCAGAATTTTAAACTCCTACCTCCTCTTCCTTTGCATATAAATGATAGCAAAGACGTTGGACAGTTCCCAAGCTTGTGATTGCTTCTGGAATGCCTGCCCTTGTGTGGGCCAAGCTAGCTATTAATTTTCCTAGGGGTGGGGAAACGGAATTAAAGTATTTCTAAATTGTGCAAATAAATTGTATCCAACACAGTTCAGTACAATCAGAACTTCCAAAATATCGGACTAGAGTTTCTCAAACTGAAGCAGAATGCCCTATTGTGGGGTCACAGGCCACTTAAAATGGGTTTGGTTTTCATTTTTTTTTGAAAACCTTGCCTAGCACAGACAATGGAAGACTGAAAATATGATTTGGGCTTTGCTTTTGGTTTTGCCTGCATTAGCCTACTGGGCAATTGTGGAACGGGTAAGATACAGTTTAATGTTAAATTATTAAAAATAGGATTTTTCTTTCTTGCTCTACTTTAATCTCAACACTCATGGGAATTATACACATTCATTTATTTGTTTTACGGAGTTCAAGCATTGAAAAATCTGAAAAAAAAATCTGTGGTCAGTCAATTGTAATTTCTTAAATATTTTAATGAAACAAGACTTTAATATATTTCAGTTTTCCTTGTTTTCGTTTCTTTTTGTTTGGTATGCTCAGCTAGGTGAAAAGTTAAGTATTCAGTTAACCACTTCTTCAGCTGAAGAAGTGCACAGATGTGTCTATGAAGAAATCAGACTTCTTAACTGAAATTGACTAAAATCTTGACTAAAATCTTTGCTTATTTCAGAGATATTTTCCAGAAAATTGTGATGAAGCTTTAGTGGATTACCAGTCATATAATTACTTCAGTGATATAACTTAGACAACCGCAAAGCAAATGTGGTGATATTTAAGTGTAGGCTTTGTTTCAAAATAATAGAAGCAAGCAACAATCCAGACCCTTGTTACATCACAATTTTTATTTATTTATTAGATTTTTATATTTCCTTTATTATTTTTATAAATAACTCAAGGTAATGAACATACCTAATAATCTTACTTTCCCCATAACAACCACCCTCTGAGGTAGGCAGGACTGAGAGAGAGTGACTGGCCCAAAATCATCCAGTTGGCATTCCTTCCTAAGGCAGGACTAAAACTTAACAATGTCCTGGTTTCTAGGCCAATACTTTAACACTGGCTCTCTATTTTTTAATATATTTTATTGTTTTTACAATTTTGTTAGTATATTCCAATTAACTCTTTCCTGTTAACTGCCTGAAGTATCATAAATTAATCTCTTCCACCACCATCTCCTAGGAATTCTCCCTTCCCTGAAGTGCTGTTTGACCCCAAAGATGGCAAATGGTATCCTTTGGCTGAAAGGTGGAAAAAAAAGGGAGAGAGTTAAATACTATATTAGTTATTATTTAAAAAGAAAAAAAACTGACCATCAAAGTAGCATGTTTTACTTCCTATCTAGTATGGTCTAGTTTAGTGTTTCTTAAACTTCTTCTTCTCGGGATTCTTTCCCAGATTTAAAAATTATGGAGGTCCCAAAAGAGGTTTTGTTTGTATGGGTTATATTTACTGATACCATATTAAAAATTAAAAGTGCTGCTACTGCTTCTCATGATTGTTTGACGGGATTTAATATGCTATTTTTCAACATAGGTTAGCAAATAATTTGATCTGAGTGTTAGAAACCTCCAGAGTTCCCAAAACAATACTTTAAGAAACACTGGTTTAGATGGTGATCTAATTTCTTATTCATTTCATTTATCTTTCAAAGTCAGCGTGGAGTGATGCTTTTTTCTGTTTATATCAGTGTTTCTCAACCTTGACAATTTTAAGGCATGTGGACTTCAACTCCCAGAATTCCACAGCCAGCAATGCTGGCTGTGGAATTCTGGGAGTTGAAGTTTGCATGCCTTAAAATTGTCAAGGTTGAGAAACACTGGTCTATATGAACACAATCATGTGAATCCTTCTGAGATTGTTCAAGAAGGATATACAGTAGGAACCACTTTAGCAATAGCACTTAGACTTATATACCACTTCACAGTGTTTTACAGCCCTCTCTAAACAATTTACAGAATCAGCATATTGCCCCCAATAATCTGGGTCCTCATTTTACTGACCTCAGAAGGATGAAACGCTGAGTCGATTTTGAGCCACTCAGGATTGAACTGCTGGCAGTCGGCAGAGTTAGCCTGCAATTCTGCATTCTAACTATGCCTATGGCTCTAGTGAAGATTATCCCTGTTTCCTTCATTAAATCTTCACTCTTAGGCACCACATTATAATTAATAACAGTTTGTTACTACAGTGATACTGCATAGTATTTTGGTATTTTATATACATTTGCTCTTTTACAGCATAGTTACCTGTTAACACTAGAGTGGTTGATTTTTCTGAACATAGTAGGTCAACCAAGATAGAAATTCCTCTTGCAGACAAACTAACTTGATCCATATTAATTATAATTTTTGCTAGTATTACAATCTGAAATAGAATATATTTTTGACACAACAGATAAAACAAGTTTCCTATAATTTTCCTTTTTTTCATTCCTTATTTTTCACAATAGTTAATAATTTTAGTGACAGTATTAAATACACATAGTACTGGGAATTTTATAATTACAAAACCATAGTAGTAGGAGAAAAAAATTGCATTAGTTAAGGTTAGTTAATTTTAGTTAGCTAAAATTATTTAAACATTTTATATTACGTATCATCATCACTCCCTCATTTTGATTTATTGGAATATTTCCATATTCATTATGCTTCAAATTTAAATATACTTTACCTTTCAGTAAATCTCACATAATTTAGTCAATTTTAATTCTACCTAGACTTGCAGTATAACATGATAAAGGTCCACAATTCTAGCAAAAGGGCTCAAAGTGTCCAATAACACCTAAGAACAAACCAGGAACTGGAAACAAAACAAGCAAAATGTTCTCAAACTATTAATTCGTCTCACAGAAATATCTGAAGAGGTTTGAATCAGCCATCAAACTCCTCAAAGATTTCCTGAAAAATTAAGATTTTTAACACACCAACAAAAAGTAGAAATGGGCCTTGTCAGAGAAGATTCCCTGTAGAGTGTTTTTCAAAACATTTGTACATGGACAGAAAAGCCCTTGCCTTTCATCATATCTAGCTACTCCACTTTCTATAGACCATTCAAAAAGAACGGTCCATCCCAGATCAGTTTAATCGCACACTCCATCAATTTAACCTGCCTCAATCTGTGGAAAGCCTTCCATTACAAAAAGTTATTTTAGAAAGGCTTTCTATTGCAGTCCACATCGCTACCAGTCATTAACCAGGTTTGTGGAAACTGATGGGAATTAAGAATCTGAAATTTCCAGAGAACGGCGTCTTCTAGGAAATCTGGTCATAACCTTTCCATATTCAGGTTTTGTGGAAGTCTACTTTTTTTTTGGATTCCAACAGAATCTTCCCAACAGGAAAGTTCCAAGTTCTATGTGGCAAACTCCATTCTTCCAAAATGCTTAATTGATAATTGTGCAGAAATAATTCTGAACCAACTATTCATGCAATACCCAGTTTTGTACCTGAAAAGCAGCCATTGCTCTATCTGTCTCTACATCTGAGCCCAGAAGAGGTTCAAATATGTGGATTGATATGGGTCCAGACTCTAAAATCAGTATCTGTTGTGTAGGATTATTGTAAGCAAAAATTGCAATAGCATATCCTGCTCGTAAACGGATATCCTTAAAACAACAAGAAAATAGTAACATGTAAATGTTCACATTTAGATACTGAGATTTTTCACACAAACCAAGCCAGCGTATCTACTTTGAATTCCAGGGAAGTTAAAAGGATTTAATTTCTTTTCTTTTTATACTATTCATTTAAAGTTTTGATATTCTGTTCTTCATCTGGAAAGACAATCAGGATAGTGTAAGTAATTTGGCATTCCTGAAGAGAAAAAGAAAAGATAACAAAAAAACCTCTAATAAAAAGAAAAGGTGATGCTGTCAGAGTGAATGCTATCTGTTATTCAAATGTCATTAAACAGACAAAAGGACATGTGGATATTTAGTTGTCACCAATTAAAGGACTGCATACAAATTTCATTATTTATTTAAATGACAAAGGTTCTGGTTTCACATGCAAGTGAGCCACATGGACATTATAATATTGATCGAGTTAATTCTGTGTCTAGTATACAAAATTTCCAGATTTTTGTAGGATTCAATTTATTCTCCCACATTAGCTATATCATGTAAATACCACATCTCAATTGTTCTATTTTGCATAATAAATTGTCATTTCAAAACAGCAGGGCTACCAGTCTTGTGTTATAAAACTGAGGATCACTATTAGGTACACAAGAGAGAGAACATTTTACACTTTATTCCCATCTAATTGTGGTTTGGAGATTTGCATCCCAGATTTTATATTCAAGGAGCCTTTATTCATCAAATGCATTATTCAATTGCTGATTGACTGCAAGGCCCAAGCAAACTATTTCTTCCTGCAAATATGTACAGCTAGTAATTACTCCAATGAGATAAAGCCTTCACTGGAGCTTCTAACATTCAAGTTCTGAATAGATTCACCCATACACTCCTCCAAGTTTTCAAATGTACATGAACGACAAAATTTCAGTTAGGGATTTAGCTATAACATAAAACAATCTAGGTATCCCCTAGAAAAGATGCCAGAGGATGCAATACTTCCCTTGAACAGGTTATCCACTGATGTCAGCCCTAGCCATCACCTTTTTTAATACCTAGTAGAGGGTACCTGTACTGATAAGGACAATATGCAGCCATGTTATCTTCTAGTGCGGGGGGGGGGGGGGGGAGAATGAAATCATCCTCATTCACACAAGGTGGCAAGCACACAGCAGGAACTGTGTCAGTGCTTTCCCACCAGATATAAGTCTCACAGGCACACCACAGTATCACCAGTACCAGAGTATAAAGACAACCTAAATCTTATTATTGATACCAGTATGTCTTAGTCCACATTCAAATGCAAGAAAGCACTACTAGATCATGGAGGGAGAAGTTGTGAGAATTCAGCTTCATTTTGGGGGGGATTGCAACTAACTCATCATTGCTTTCAGACATTTGACAGAAGTTTTGAATAAATAGAACTGGGTGTCATCAGCATGCTGATAGTATTGCTTGTCCAAGCTTCTGATGGCCATTTCAGCAGCATTGTATAGATATCAAAGCAGTGGGATACCTTTTGGTATCCCACAGTAGAACTGCCAGGATGCCAAGGCTCCATCATCCAGTATTGCTCTCTGAAAATTTTCCTGCATGTGTGAGTAGCATCACAGTAGGACATTGTCTTCAAAGTGCATCTCGTGGAAATGATCCAAAAGGATAATTGATGAGAGATGAACAAACATCAGAAGAGTCCTACTTCCTTTCCCACAGAATGTCATCTACTAGTGTCCACAGGGCCAGTTCTGTCCTTTGTCAAAAGTAAAAGTGGGTGTTTTGTGGTTTGAGCTAATTCCAACCATTTTTGTGCATCCTCAAAATTCCAAATGTGTCCACAGCTCTAGATGCTGAAGAGTCTTAATTTATTGTTTGATTTTATAATTTGAATACCAAATATTTTACTGACATTATTACCTTATCTGGTGCATAAAAAAGCTTAAGGACATCCAAATAACAAAAACCTTCTTTCTCTTGCAATACAGTTTGCAGACTGCTATTCTTTAAAACAATACAAGCCAAGGAAAATGCAACTTCAACCTAAAGATGAATTAGAAAAAATTAAAACTTGAATTATAATACTTTATGAGGAGTGAAAATAATCCTATAACTTGTTATGGCTTCAGGAAATCTAGCTTTTGGTGCCCAAGAATATTTTCTTCAGAAAGATCCTCTTTCTCCAAAATTATTAGTACTAGATCTCAGCTGCAAATGTCTAGTTGTATTTCTAGATTGCAGCAAAAAAAGTAAAATTATTATATATTCTTTGCTGCTATTTAATGGTTGTCCAGAGTTTTGCAGCTCAGACCTGGTACTGTAACCTTATCAGCGTGTGACATCTAGATTTTTTTCAACCTTTTTATATCATATTTTAGAAGAAAATAATGAATTAAACTATATGGGCACGAAGCATATCATAAAATCTAAAGTTAAAAGCAAAAATCTTTCTACGGGTTTAAAGTATTTTCTTCTTTTCAAATCCCCAAATCTGTGGGTTTTTCTCCTGTTCTGTTTATCCTAAATGTCATGCAAACAGCTCTAGGTACTGTAACAAAGTGAGCATGCACCGAAGAAAAATGCACAGGCATAAATATTGTAGCAACTTTCTTATCTGTGCAAATAACAAATACATTTCACTGAACATTTTAATATTCTTAGGACAATCACAGAAACTAATTGCAGGAGTATCTTTAATGCTCCTTCTTTTTATACATGTATATATGTGCCAGTGTAATTTATGATTTTAGTGCTAGGGTGAAGTTGATGGCCACTAAGCCAGTGTTTCTATGAAACACTGTCTTCCTCTCAAGATCATTGTGTCATTAGGATATGACTAGCCACTTCTGCTCCCAGGAAGTCAGCTACTGATTATAAAGGTTCTGCCCACTTGATTTTAGTTCTTTTTATGGTAGCTATGTATATTTCATCTTCTAACTTCATTCCTAGAGACTGAAATAATATTACTATATTATTCATATTTTAATTAATGCTGATATTATGGCAAAATCAAATACATGTTCTTAAGATTGAAGTTCCATTATCTAATATGGTAGCTATTTATCAGCAAGTAGAGTCTTCAGCATCCCGCAAATCTATTTTCTTTTATATTATCCAATGAGGAGAAACTATCAAAGCCATTCAAGAACTATAGGTAATCCTCGTTTAGCAACCACAATTGGAACCGGCAATTCAGTTGTTATGAGAAGCAGTCACTAAATGAAACTGCAACTATGCTTATATTTTTACTTCAGTTTTCCTTTGCTTTGTAGACCTGTGTCGATTACAAATGTGAGGATAGTGAAATTATTTTTTGGTCACCATTGTAGCTGCGAACAGTCACCATTTGAGACAGTTGCTAAATTAAGATTCTCTAGTTTAGATCTGTACGACAAACATTTTAAACTCACCTTTATCTGAAGGGATGGATGAGTTTTAAGTAAATGAACAAGTATCGGCAAAGCCCCTTCATCCACAACATTCTCTTGACTAAGTGGATTGCTTATATGAGCTTCACCTACAAGTTTGATGTCAGGCAAAGAGATCCATACAAAAGATCCATACAAATAAAAGAAGGGGGGGGGGAGGAAAATGAGCACAAGTAAAATATGATCCCTTAACTGTTCTTTATTTTTAAGCAAGTATGTGCTCCATGCTCTAGCTCAGTGGTTCTCAACCTGTGGGTCGGGACCCCATTTGGGGTCGAACGACCATTTCACGGGGGTCGCCAAACAACGCAGTCCCCCATTTTTTCCCCCTTTTCCTTAGCTGTGCTACTCCCTTTTATTCTATTGGCTTTTGAAAGCCAATAGAATAGACTCTCTTGAATAGAGTCTAATTCTATTGGCTTTCAAAAGCCAATAGATATTGTCCAGGCTGTCTCTGCCCTGCTGAGCCCGCCAAAAGTCCCATTCTGCAAACGGTGCTGCACCAGTTGAGTAGTCCTCAACTTACGACTGGTTGAGTAGTCCTCGACTTACGACTGGTTGGGGGTCGCGGCATTAAAAAGGTTGAGAACCACTGCTCTAGCTCAAATCAATGGAAAGTCCTCATAAATCAAGAGCTAGCAAAGCCCTTTGAGTCCAGAAATGAGGCATGCTTTTTTGTCCAAGTATAAACAATATATGAGAGAGCCAATTTGGTGTTGTGGCTAAGGCACCAGGCTAGAAAGTGGAAAACTGGGAATTCCACCCTCACTTTAGGACAAAGCCATCAAGGTGACCTTGGGCCAGTCACTATCTCTCAGCCCTAGGAAAGAGGCAAAGGCAAACCACTCCTGAAAAACCTTGCCAAGAAAACTGCAAGGACTTGTCCAGGCAGTTGCTAGGAATCAAAACTGGTGCAAAGATAGATGGATGGATGCATGGATGGATGGATGGACGGACAGACGGACAGACAGACAGACAGACAGACAGATAGATAGATAGATAGATAAAATCTAACAACTCCCCAAATTAGGAAACATATCTTATGAGAAATAGAATTAGGATTACTTTTAAAGTTTTAAAATGCTACATGAAGAGATTTTTGGATATTAAAGAGATTCCCAGATATTAAAAAAATATTTTCAGGATGTTTAGAACTTACCAATATTTTACTACTGATTTTAGTATGACATTACTGTCAGTTGCACTGATTTTACCCCATAAAGCTAGTTTTTACTTTGGCTTTCTTACTAGACCCTGGTAGTATCCTAGGTTAAAAAAGGGTCAGATAGCAGGATGAGTCTGCAGCTGACATCTGTACAGTACAGTAGTATCAGAGTACTGTAGAGCACTCTGTACTGAGGTAGAAGGATATATGGACTGATTAATCTGATTTAAAACAATACTGTATATTCGGAAGACATTGCTGGAAATGATTGTATTAAGGTCTATCCTTGGATAAGGTCTTCTAGAAAAAAATGGGACTAAAATATAAGCTGCTAGCAATAATTTCATACCATCTCTCCTGATGATTTCTTTAGATTTTCTTTCTTTTTTAAAAAATAGCTCAGCAAGCCAACTATATCTCAAAAAGCGTATACCAGGAAATTCAGAAAAAGAGTGAACTAAATCCTGACTGAGCTATAGTTGGCTTTGCGAGTCACAACTGTGCAGATGTAGGGTTGCAGCTATTTTGATAACTCATCTGTTTTGTGAAGAGGGTTGCCATACAGGGGGAAATGGACTGCTATAGCTCTCAAATCTGTCCAATATTGTATAGCATTAAGACTACTCTTTCCTAGGCCCTTCCATGGTTCTTTCTACAAAAGCTTTAACACTTTGGGAGCAACAGAAAAGGAACTACAGACCGACACACATTGTGCCTAAGGCTTTGATCACACTGAGGAGGGTGCCTTCTGCTATCCTTCCACTTCTTAACAGCCGGACCAAAGGGGCAATTCCATTCCCTTCGCATATTTGGTTCTGGTGAATTTCACTGTCCTTGCTAAGAGCTATGACAGCTTCTCCTCCTTCCAAAACAACAAAAGTAACATATACATTTAAGAATGTTTTGAACTCCTACATGATTTTTTTTAAAAAAATGTGCCTGGGATTGCAGAACAACGGTGACTTACCAACACACTGCATTTTGTCAGACGGTGATAGAAGCATGTCTATAATTAAATTGTACCCAATCTGTTCTGCCATGAATTTCTGCTGCTTCAGGGTTTGTCCAGCTAGGGCCCAGAGGGTTACAGCCCCTTGTTCCTTCACCTTCAAGTGAAAGGCCTGGAAGTTGGACCAAAACGAGAAAGCTATATATGAAAACTTACAAGCACAAGTATACCTACTCTATAGGAAGAGTATTGATGCTTTGGGACTTTGCTGTTGAAGAAGACTCCTGATAATACCACGGAGAACCAAGAAAACTAGCCAATGGACCATCGAACAAACCAATCCAGATCTCACGAGGCTGAAATTATCCTACTTTAAAGCTTTTATGTGAAGGCCCAGCTCTCTGGAGAAGTCTCTGATTTGGGGAAAGACGAAAGGAAAGGAAAGAAGAGGACCCACAGCAGCCAAGTGGATGATTTCAGTTATTGTTGGGAGACTTGAAGGACCAGGTTAGGGACAAATAAAATCATGGGAAAATCTAGCTATGTGGTCTCCAAGAATTGACAATACTTGATGGCACGTGGTCATCATCATTACCGTCTTCATCATCGTCATCCTCATCCCTTATCTACAATGACTTGGGTAAGACAACCCACTAAAAAAATGAAACTTGCCTTTAGGAGCTTCAGGAGGAACTTGGTCACAGATCTGGATAGAAATTTCATCTGGATAAGAGTGTTCCCTTCACAGAGGGCCTCAATTGCCATTGCTCCTTTAACCTGGACACTGATTTTCCTTCCTCTGAGAAGCTGAATTAGAGGATCAATAACATTGGCCGCCACGATAGCATTCTGCATTTCCATATTCCCACGAGAAATTTCTGCAATTACGGCTGAGGCCACTGCCACCAGGACATCTTTTAAGCAGAAATTTTTTTTTACAAAAATAAAAGCCAGATACATGTACAATCTGCTTCAATCTTTTAATGACTCTTATTACTTATAGTAATAATGACAATTTACAAATTGAATATTTTCTTTTGAATGATTTTTTTTTACTTCTCTGACCAATGATAGATCACCTCAAAATCATCAATGCATCCCCAAAGGGTAGTCACTATTATACATATAGTTTTGAAATAATCATTTACTGTATACCCTTCATCTAATCTTCCCACTTTAAAAGAAGACATTATTGCAGATTATCCTCTTTATATTGGTATTGACAGGCCAGGAGTATATGTTTTCAATGTTCATGGAAAAATTATGAAATAACAATGTACATAAATAATAATAAATAAACTGTAGATGTTAGATTTTTAAAATATTAGCGCAGGGGTCTTCAAACTTGGCCCTTTTACGACTTGTGGACTTCAACTCCCAGAATCCCTCAGCCAGCGTGCCTGACTGAGGAATTCTGGGAGTTGAAGTCCACAAGTCATAAAATGGCCAAATTTGAAGACCCCTGTATTAGTGCATATGGTCTTATTTTATTCTTTACTATATCTATTTCCTGACTTAATAATTACACTAAAATGCTTGACAAAGATTTGTTAAGCATTTTAGTGTAATTATTAAGTACTTAGATAATGATGTTAGATTTTTCCCCCTTCAAAGTATTAAAATCAATTTTCTAGCACTTGTAAAGCAAGATATTCCTTAATGGGTTATACAAATGAATGATGGAACCAAGAATGAGAAGGTAAAGTTTCTAGTAAAAATATCTGCTCTCCGTGGCACTGAGACATCTAAGGCTGCACTTCATATTTGAGTTTAACTATGTCTGCCTATTAGAAAATAGATACGGCTGGTGAAGGGGATGTCTTCTCCTGCAAGTCCCATCACCCCAGAAGTAAAATGATCAAGAAAGTTAAGTGATCAGCAAGCTGTGTCATTTCCTTAAAACCGATTACCTAATTTTGCTGTTTTTGTTTTTACCTGAATCTGAACGTAAGAACTGGACAAGTGGTTCAATGCCTATCATTTCCTTCACTTTCAGCTGATTCTCTTTATTATTTTTGCATAATACTCGGATACAGCTCATTACATTCACAAGCAGATCTTGTAAGTCATATTCCAACAGATCGATGAGAGCAGGAATTCCACCCTACATTAAGAAAAGTTGTAAGGGACGTAGGCAAAAGTAGAATTAATTAAGAACCAAACAATACAGTGGGTTGAATCTAACAAAAATCTCCATTTTTCATAAGCTAAAAAGGTCATCTTTCCTAATTTTCTCCTTCTCTCCACAGTTCTTGAGATCTGCTGGAGTATGGCGGGGGGGGGGGAAGTAGGGTTTATGGTATCTTGCTTAGCCTTGATGGGTCGGTGGAATGAAAGGAAGGGAAAAATCAGTGAGGATTACTTTCCTTTTCTCCACCAGCAGAACTATTCTTTCAGAACTCTAGCATAATAATAAAAAAAAAACGTCTGGATTCAAGTTAATCTGTCATGTTAAATACACTGTAGTTCACAAAACAGAATCCACCTTCAAGATGCATACATTCAGGGCTTTTTTCCTCATAGAACACCCAAAACGGAGTTCCGGCACCTTTTTTGGATGGAACCTTGTAGGGTAGGCAAGGCGGGTTGTATGATGTGTGTGAGTTCCGGCACCTTTTTCTTTTTTTTAGAATAAAAGCACTGCATACATTTAACCTTGAGGATACTTCTCCTTTCCGCCTTCAATTCATCAACAACATGGCCCCCCCTTTTCAAGTGAATCAGTGTTTTTGTTATCCAAAGATGTGATTTAAAAATTTCATATTCTAAGTCAAGCAGAATCCTAATGATCAAGATTAACCTTAACTACAATTAAAATTAGTTCAAGATATAGCTCAGCAATCATTAACACTGGGAAAAAATTCATTTCAAAGGTTACTGCGGAAAGAAAGGGTTACATTCATCCGGCTTGTTCCTGATTTCTCAAACCTAGTCAACAACAAGAACAAAAAAAGCCACAGTTGTGGCTGCAATGTCAAAACAGCACTTAGAAGTGGCCAAATCCACTCAGGCCTGTACTTGTAATACTTGTAAACATCAAACAAGTCTGAATAATGTCACAAATAATAAAAGGTGTGTCCCTTACCATGGCAAAACATGCCCATCTTCTTATTATTCTAATTAATTTACTGAAGAAGGGCTAGCCACCAAAGTGAACATTTTTTTCCTGATTAGATTTACCAGTTCAGCGATGATGACTTGATTATTATCCAGCTGGGCAATATCATATAAAAACACTGCACAACGAGACAGCAATTCAGGTTCTTCCATAGTCAAGAGCTTAATTAACACGGGAATGCCTCCAGCTTCTACAAAGGCTCTGACAATTGAGTCGTGGGTGGAGATGTTACTCAGCACTCCCAGAGTGATGCACTCCAATTTGACGTCTTTGCTCTTCAACAAGCTGATTAATGAGGGTATGGTACCTGCCACCAAGAACAAAAGTAACCCACCAGTTAGAGCAAGGCAACATGCTATGAATCTCTCCAAGGTTCCGACTTCTTTAGATGATTGTATGCCTTTGGTTAAAAATAGCGGTTCTCAACCTGTGGGTCACGACTCCATTTGGGGTCGAACGACCATTTCACAGGGGTCGCCAAACAACGCGATCCGCCATTTTGTCCGCCATTTTTTTTCTCAGCCAGCGCAGGGGGTGGCACCGCGCATGCACGGCGCGCATGGGGGGGCGCATGGGGCAGCGCCGCCACCCATGCATGCCACGTCGCGCATGCGCGCTGCGTGCTTATGACCGGGGTCGCCGGTATAAAAAGGTTGAGAACCACTGGTTAAAAACTTCTGAGCAACTGACAAAAGTAGGGAGCAAATGCAGTGGAATCTGAAGGGGGAACCAATGGCACTATGGAATGAGTATATATACCGATGGTGGACTGCAAAACTGGGTGCCTGAATGTTACAGCACATTTTTTAGGAATCCTACTCCAGTGGGGGGTGGGATGCTATTTGGTTCTGCCTGAGCTCCTAAAATGGCTTAGACGGCCATTATATAAACTTATGCTGACAAGCAAACCTCACAGAATATGCAGATCCTTAGATTTTGCTTGCTATTACCTTCCTTGTTGCTAAACCAATAAGATAAAAAAGGCATTTGTGCCTTTGCCATGGGAAGGCAGACAATAAAGTAATAAGCAGTATTTTCTCTGTATTTCCCTTTTCTTTTTATTTAACCCTGCCCCTCCAATTGATATTTGCGTATTGATATCAATTTCTTGAAATGCATATTTTTGTTTTGTAAATTTGCAAATATACAATTTTTCAGATAATTGCTTCAAGTAGATGCTTTGATAAGTTATTTCCAGAAATATTTTTAATATTTGCATAAATGTTTCCCTAGTATAAATTTGTTTTATTGGGAAAATTATTGAATGTAATATCAGATGAGCTGTACTCTCTCTATTCTTCTTCAGTCATAGCTCATCTAAGTGCCCTCTGTCTCAGATAAAAAGCCCAATTGAAATAGATCCAGATAATCAATATTACACAGGTGTGTCTGCAGTTGTGAAATTATCAACTTTTCCTTTATCTTTTCCAGAAATGAAATGCTTGAGGTTGGACTATTAACTGCAATGAGTTGTCAGGTAAAGGAAGAGTATCTTTTCATAAACCTTTGAGAAATGCTTCTTTTAGGCAATTTGATTGGATCACTTTAAGTGACATCCCCCCCTCTTCCAGCCCATTCCTGCCAAGGCTAGGAATGAACTTGTCTAGGAAGATGATAAAAGGGTCACATAAAGCAACGCTACCTCACCGCTTTTATTCAAAGAAAACACCAAATCTAATAGACCCTGTTTCATGTATGGTTATGGATCCTTGGTCATAATGGAGAAAATTAAATCCTGAGCCACTTTTTAGTAGGGAATCTCAGCCTGGACATTAAAGTGCCTTTAGACATGAATTTTAGGTAACCAAATGTCACACCAGCTGTGTCAGGCAGCCAAACTGTTAGGCTACAGATTAATAGTATACTAGGACAGCCCCCCCCCCCCAACTTTTTGGATGCAGGGACCGGTTCTGTGGAGGGTGGTTTTTCTGCAGACTGGAGGGGCGTGGCTTCACACGCTGCACAGATTGGGCTTTGCTTGCTTGTGCAGCCTGGTTCCTGGCAGGCCGTGGACCAGTGCAGGCCATGACCCAGGGGTTGGGGACCCCTATTCTAGAAGACAGAGAAGCCGGTTTGATATCTTTCACTATGTTTATTATTATTAAAATAACTTCTAGCAGAAAAAGTGACAAATGGTACACATAATATCTCACCTGCCTGCAATATACATTTCCAGTAATCATCTTTGGCAAGACAAAGTACTTCTAAACACCGTATTGCCATTTTTTTCCTACTATAGGACTCGCAATTCAGCATGCCTGTTAAGATTTTTAAAAATAATTTGTTAAACATTTAATGGTTGCATTAAACATGGCCAGCCCCGTGGCATTTGTCTTAATTCTGGCTTATAACAGTGTTTTTCTTTATAGTCTAACAGGAAAATTAATGGTGAATACAAGGCTTGTGGTTCTCTTATTACAGAGGTTCTCCAACTGTGGGCTGGATTAGAAGCAAATTTGAGGAAGAAATTCAAAACTTGGGTTGGGGAGTTTCTACTGACAAAGCAGCATCGTTCTCAAAACTTGCTTCTGCTTTACTGGACAAACCAGCAGCCAGCTTACTCAAGCAAAGCCCGAAATAAACTTGACAGGGTCCTACTATAACTTTTGAGTTACAAGCCTCACAGCACATGCACCCAAAGAGCACCTTCAGCATCCACATCTGCTCTGCCTGAGTAAGCAAGCAAACAGTCAAGGTTTTCCAGAAATCAGAAAAAGATATTGATCTAAAATCAATAGGGAACCAGAAACAAAGGTAACTGTATCAAAACCAATAGCCAGATTTTTGGAGTTTTGCAAAAGTGAGGAGGTTTTCTCATTGTCGATACATTTTTACTTTTAAATTTGTTGGTTTATTACTATTTATTTCTAAATAAGGGGATTGATTTTATAAATTTGGAAATATCTGTGTTTGTTTTATTTTATATACAGATTTTTTTTCATATTAAAAGTCAGTGATGTATTTATTTCTTGCCTAATACAAAGTCCCTCAGGTTTGTTTGTCTGTATGTACCCAAACACATATTTTTAATTCTAGGGGTCATGGCGCAAATTTTTTATAACCCCTATGATAATATTATAGCCTGTGCTGCCACCAACGGGTCATCCAGTTTCCTTGTTGGTCTATCTGCAGTACACCCTTAAGGCACTTCTGTCCTATGGGTCCTGTTAACTAGACTAAGCCATTTTAAGAAAATTCTGTCCAATCTAGCAACAGTTGGCAAAGAATTCAGTTGGGAAAGCAAACTACAGGCCCTCCCAATGAACAATTCCTTTGCAACTGTCCTTTCTGGAAGTATCAATGACCGATTGCTTTCCTTTCTAAGGAGAGGTCTTACTGAACACATACACACACTTGCATATACATATGCAATGAATTGTGGCTATTCCAAAATTGCTCTCTAGAAGACCATGGCATCCACTGATCGAGTTAAGGAGATGTTCCTACCTGTGCAAAGTAGCCAAAGTGCAAAAAACATTATGTTGAAGGCACAGTGGGAAACGAAGACTGTTTCCGTGATAGGTAAATCATGAGTATAGAATGCTATTGTCTATTCCTGCTATCCAAAAAAGGTGGCTTGTATTGATGAGGCAAACTAGCAGTAGAGATAGGTCCTTTGCAGCATTATCTTTATTGAGTAGGAATCTCTCATCAGCTGCTGTAGCACGTCTCCAGAATGTTTTTTTTTTTTTTATCACGTCACCCTTATGTTGTCACCAAAAGAGAGCTTTAGTCACCCAGGAGAAGGGAAACATGAAGCTGGCATATTAATCATGGCTCAGTGATTAAAGACACTGAACTTATCAGATGGAAAGCTGATAGCACAGATTTGAGATCAAGCACCACACGACTGGGTGAGCTCCCGTTACTTGCCTCAGCTCCTGCTAATCTGGTAGGTCAAAACTATGTGAAATGTGAATAGATAAATAGATACCACTTTGGTAGGAAAGTAACAGCATTTTGTCATCCTGGCCATATAATCAAGGTTTATAGTCATGCTGGCCATATAATCATGGCTTATAGTCATTCTGGCCATATAATCATGGAAGTGTCTTCGGACAATGCTGGCTCCCTTGGCTAAGAAACAGAGATGAGCACCATGCCCTAGAACTGGACACGACTGGATATGGGAAACCTTTACCTTTTTAATCCCACCCTGAAAGTTTTCTGATTTAATCAGAATTACTGTATAGGGTACTTACCAACAAGAGTTTTCCAAACTGGGAGATCAGGGCTATTCAGCTCAATTAAATGCTTTAAAACTTCTGTATGGAAGTTCAGTGCAGCCAAATGTATTATGTTATTTCCTTCACTGTCTTTTTTTAGCCAGTTGGCTTTAAGAGAAAACAAATACTTCATACTATCTAGTGCTCCAGATACAGCTGCAAGCAAAAGTGGCGTGGAATGATATCTATTGATAGAAAAAGAACAAAATACTGTGGTATGAAACAAACTGAACCAAATCTAAAGAAATACAGTGGCTTTTATTTCATGTACTTGACTTCGGACTAGTTGCTTAGCAATCATTCAAAATTATGATGGACTCCCCCAAAGATACTTATGACCCAGTTCTGAAGTTCCTGGTCACGGGACCACTTGTTGGGCACAGGGCAACTGGCCTGCATTTACGACCATTTGCAGTGTCTGCCAATCATGTGACTGCATTTTACCATGTTAAACTGTTATTTACAAATATGCCCCATAGTGAACAACGGCTTCGCTTTGTGGCCACCAGCAAAAAAGTTTGCAAAAACAGGTCTGGTCATGTGGTGAACTCACTTTTATGACCACCATGACTTAGGACTGTCACAAGCAAGTTCCATTGCACTCATTAAGTTGAGGACTACCTATACTTCATCTATCTAAAAAACTCAATGGAAGTCTAAGTAAATAAATTAAACTTACACAGCACATTACTAGTCTAGGCCACTGACACTAACTATTAGATGAGACTCACTTTTCTGGTGAACTATACTAAGAATCAAGGACAAGTATCACTTAGTTCAAGGGTTAGGGTTAAATTGAGGTAAATTGTTAGCCTCCTTACAGAAATTTCTGTAAGGAGGCTAGCAGAATTTCATATCCTTTTTTTTAAAGTCTGTTTTTTAATTTCTGTTCCAATAATATTACATTCCCCTCTGCTGATCTTTCCTAGGATTTATTATTAAATCAAGGTGGCAAGCTAGATAAAATTTGCACACACTGAGACATGGGAAATTGATTCAGGAGTGACCTTATCTAACAAAACACATTGGTGCTAGCACAGAAGATCTATGCATATACAGATAATCCTTGATTTACGACCACAGTTGAGCCCCAAATTGATGTTGCTAAGTGAGACAATAGTTAAGTGAACTTTGCCCTGCTTTACAACCTTTCTTGCCTCAGTTGTTAAGTGAATCACTGCAACTGTTCAGTTAGTAACACGGTTGTTGTGAATTCCCCATTGACTTTGCTTGTCAGAAAGTCTGACAAAAGGTGATCACATGATCCTGGGACACTGCGACCATCATAAATATGATCCAGTTGCCAAGTGCCTGGATCACGTGGCCATGGGGATGCTGCAATGGTCATAAGTGTGAAAATGGTCATAAGTCACTTTTTTCAGTGCCTTGGTAACTTCAAACGGCCACTAAATGAACTATTATAAGTCAAGGACTACCTGTATAAGCATATGTATTCATTGACTGGACCTCATTCTATCTGCCCAGATTCCTTACTAGCATGCCTTAGATCAGGGGTCTCCAACATTGGCAACTTTAAGACTTGTGGACTTCAACTCTCAGCCCCTGCCTTAGATTGTTGTGTTTGAGGGTCAGTTGCCAAAATTCTTGCTTCCACCCTCTTCCCAAGCCTCTGTTCAGGCTTCCTTTCCACTGAAGCTCCACTCCATAACCAAGTCAGTGCAGGTAGCAGCTGACAACCCCATCCAATTGCTGTATATAGCTGCCCAGAGTCACTTGATTGAGTTGGGTAGCTATAGAAATTGAATAAACAAACAAACAAATAAATACTACAGGTCTTCTCACTCTGACCTGGCTTCACAGCAGTCCAGAACCACCACCCCTCTCATTCCACCCACCCACTTCTTCATTCTCAACTCTACCAGCTTCCTAAACCCACCAAGCAACCTGTCTCTGGTCCCCTCCACCCCATATTCTTCCGGGACGCCTGCTTCTGCTTACTCACAGAGATTGAGTTTCTGCCTCTATTAGCTCTGCGTTTTTTCGGTAGAGGACTGTGATACAGGCCACGTTGTCATAATAGGCAGCAAAATGGATAGGCAACCATCCTCGATCATCGGGTATTTGGTAATCTGCTCTTAAAGCCAGAAGAAAATGGAGCGCTTCAAGGGAGCTGCACTGGGCTGCTAGGTGCAAAGCTGTGGGTCCCCAAGCTGAGAGATGACAAGAGGCAAGAGTGACCACTGGCCTGGAGGAAGGAAAGCTAAAGCTCTACAGAATAGAAGGCTTACATGCTAGCTATGTATCTGTGCTCTATTCCTCATTTGGTTTTTGCATAATTAACATTAAAGTTATGCTATCCAAAGCTGTATCAGCTGCAGCTCTTGATGTCAGAAAAGCAACCTATGCAGACAGGCATAAAATGAACTGCATTCTGGCATTTAATAACTCAAAACAAAATAAACGGTGGGCCAACTATAAATGACGCACATTTGAAAATTTATAACCAATGTGTTTTTAACCATCTCATAAAAGCGTAAGAATACTTTATGGCAGACTTTTCTAGCTGAAGGTTCCACTGGGCAAAATAGGGATGACGCTCCAAAAAATAGGCAGAGGGTGGGACCAGAACAAAATGGAGTCAACATGGAATGGGAACAGATTGAAAACAAAATTTTGACTTCAATCCATTCATGTTAATTAAAGAGAGTGAATTTGAATTCATGGAATATATTTAATGATTTTCACTTTGCACTGCATAAAACAGAAGCTCTCAAGCTGCATTAGAGCTGTTGCAGCTCTGGCACTATGGCTTTCTTTTTCCATTTTATCTTCTTCTTACATGTATACTTTGGAAACATTGACATTCACATGTATTCATATGTATCTTAGGGCCTGATATCTTGCAGTTAAAATGTATGGACGACTAGCACTTTAATATGCACAAGCAAATGATCAATGTCAAGGTTAAGTATGTTTAGTTCTTATATAGCATTTCAAAGGGACAGCTGGGAATACATAACGTTCTTAAATTCTTTCTTTTGAAATAAATGGATTTGGATCAACGTGCTTCATTTGGACGGATTGTACTCAGGATTTCTTGAAACAGGGAAGGAGGGAACCAGCGATCTCTAGTGAGTCCAGATAAAATTTTATCTTTCTTCAGTATTCCTTGACATGACTATAAACTTGCTCAAGTGCCCTTGTGTGTGTATTGTATTAATATACCTATACATAGTACGTACATACATGTTCATGTTTTGTCCATGTATGGTTTATTTCAGTAGCCCACATCATCAGATTGTCCTGATTCCCCAACATCTGAGGTGGACCTTGTTAATTTGGGTCACATCCAAGCCAGCATGGCTTTCTTAGTTCATGCCACTCGCATATTTGAGGTAGGCAGGTGAAACATTAAGGCAGGGGTCCTCAGCCTTGGCAATTTTAAGACTTGTGGATTTCAACTCCCAGCTGGCTGAGGAATTCTGGGAGTTGAAGTCCACAAGTCTTAAAGTTGCCAAGGTTGAGGACCCCTGCATTAAGGAGTCTTTGCCCAAGGACCCCTACTGGTAAGGTATGGATCAAGCCAGATTTAAATCTCAGTCTTCTGCATCAAAGGCAGCACTCTTAACCACTGTGCTATTAAGCACTATCCAGCTGGGGAAGCGGTCCCAACAGATCCCAAGAACAACATCAGAGCTCTCTGTCCAGAAGAATGCAGCATTAGGAACAGCTAAGATCCTGCACAGAACCCTCAGACTCCCAGGCCTCTGTTAGACAACCTGAAATTGAGGAGGACACATACCACCCAGAGGGATGAGAAGGGAATGTTTTCTTTTTTAAAAAATATATACGTACTAGAATAGAAAAGGCAATCAGATGTGATAGCAAGAGAAATAGCTATGAACATTTGCATTTGATATCAAGATGGATCTAGTGCAACTTATCTCACTTTATTTTCAGCAGGTGCCAGTTACGCTAATTTTTTAATGCAATTCAAAAACATAAATTACTTTCAATACCATGTCCTAACTGTATGATATTTTTTAAAATCTTGGAAGTCATTTCTCTTTTTTAAGTTGGATCTCAAAAAAGGAGGCTATGTGACTGGAGAAGGGGAGAAGTTTGTGTGCAGGGCAGGAGCATGGTAATCATTACCAACATGCCATATCAAAGGGTACGTTCTGTACTCCTACTTAAGAAAGAAGCATTATATCCAGTGGTGGGATTCAGCCGGTTCGCACCAGTTTGGCAGAACCAGTAACTAATTTTTTGTTGCCCAGGCCCAGAATGGACTTCCCGAAGCGGCATCCACACAGAGAACTGGTTGTTTACATATCTGAATCCCACCACTGACTATACCACTATTCCATGATTCTCCTCTTAACACACATTTCCACAAAACGGAAGAAACTGCAAGAGTACAAAGGAAAATCTGCAAATGGGAGATGATTACCAGCATCTTCTGTTAAAAAAAAAGTCAGTGTTTGAAATAAGGCAATTTTGTACACAAAAATGTGTGCAAATATCCTTAATAAATATAATGTTAATCCTGGGTTTATTGTGTTTACTCACAACTTTTTTCTCCAATCATGACATCCTTTTCTATGAAGGCAGGTCTTCCTGAAAATAAAAAATAGATCACTTTCAGGTCATAGTTATAATTTGTACAGGTAGTCCTTGACTTACAATCACTCATTTAGTGACCGTTTGAATTCATTACAGCACTGAAGCAAATGACTTATGACCAATTTTCACATATTGCAGCATTTCCGTGGTCACGTGATCAAAATCCAGATGTTTGGTAGCTGGCTCTTAAGACAGCTGCAGTGTCCCGGAGGACATGTGATCACCTTTTGCTACCTTCTGACAAGCAAAATCAATGGGAAAGCCTGATTCACTTAACAATCGTGTTACTAATTTAACAATTGCAGTGATTCACTTAACAAGAAAGGTCATAAAATGGGGCAACAACTGTCTTGCTTAGCAATAGAAATTTGGGAGTCATTTGTGGTTATAAGTCAAGGACTATCTATCTATCTATCTATCTATCTATCTATCTATCTATCTATCTATCTATCTATCTATCTATCTATAGCTAGCTATAATATGATAAAAGCATATCACATTTAGCTACAATGTCATTTTGACTTAGTATTACACACAATCAAAATAATCTCAATTATTCAGAATTTTTAGGGCTTTCACAAAATGCTATAAACTTCACTTTAAATTAGTTTGCCCCTCCAGCTGGTTCTTGAGTAAAACTGATTTTTGAAATAATTTTTCACATAACATTGAATTTGCATGCATGAATGCTCCCGCAATGCTTCCAACTATTGGAAGACCTCTGTCTCATTACTGCTAAATAGTATTGATTATAAAATGGGATAGCTGCTAAAGCTTTATTTTATATAAAAAGAGGAGAATAAATTTATAACATACCACTTTTTGTCTCTGGTCTTTGGAAACGTTTTCCTGAAAAAAAAAAAAAAACAACCAACCCAAAATTATGTTGATATTGTCTTTGTTACTGTATTTTTATATGATAGTTTGCCTTATCATATGACAATTAATAAATAATAAATTAATAACAGATATAGCACACATAAAAAGATAACCTCTAAACATTTACTACTCATTACTAAGTAAAGATTGTGGAATGACAATGTTAGGGTGATTTAATAGGTGAGGATTAAGTGACTACTGTGTATGCCTTGCAGTTTTAATCTCAATTTTTTTTAAAAAAGTCTACAGCGTCCCCGTTCATATATTCAGCTAGGCTATAGTGTGCTTTGATTTTGGCTTAGTCCTTACCTTGAAGCTTAGTCTTGAATGAGTTTACTCAACAAACTATGTTTATCAAATCCTGACAAAGCATGCTCTGTGAACCCAACCACTGAAGTAAACATTCAAGCCTTGGGTTCTTAATTAGTCTGTAGGATAAAAACTGGAAAACAACATGCCAAGTTAGCTAAATTGCCCTAATTAGATGACAGAATATTAAGGACAAATGTTGAGCACAGATATTGAGTGTGAATCCCACATCCATAAGTTATGAAACCTATAGAAGGAGCAAAACAAGATCTCATAAGTTTTGGAAAATAAAACAAATGACACCCCGAGAAATGAATACTTTGCAGAATATCCATATCCATTTCTTTTTATATATACGTATATATAGTTTCTAAATTCAGACTTTTAGTGTTTCATATAAATGGGAAGGAGTAGAACTCCGACACTCACAAGTTGTTGGCAGCATCTACTCTTTCTTACCTTGGCTCGCTGGAATAGAACGCTTTTGATTAATAGTTAGATGCAATTTAACCACCTGAGCTATAATTGCCACACGGTTGTAAATAGCGGCATGATGGATATATGCATAACCATTGTCATCTGTAATAGCAAGACTGTTGATGGAGGTCCTGCGGCAGAAGGTAAGGAAGATGGCAGCCAGTCCTCTATCAGCAGCAGATTTCATGCCAAAAGACAGGCTCTAAAACCACAGAAATGAAAACAGTGAAGGTCATTCACTCTATTTGTGCTTTCAGTTATGATTCCCTCTTGGTTTCAAGTCCTTATATATCAGTGGTTCTCAACCTGTGGGTCGGGACCCCATTTGGGGTCGAATGACCATTTCACGGGGGTCGCCAAACAAGGCTATCCGCCATTTTTTCCCCTTTTTCTTTGGCCATGCCCCTGGCACCCGGTGATGTATAAATGGTTGGGGGTCACCACAACATGGGGAACTGTATTATGGGGTCGCGGCATTAGAAAGGTTGAGAACCACTGTTATATATGATACTCTAATCTTGGAGGGGGGATGTAGTTTAAGATGTAATTGTTATGATAATAATAAGTACCTTGAGAAAGCAGAAGAGAAGAGAAAAAAACTGGAAAAAATCACAAAATACAAAGATCTGCAAATAAAAGTTGAATGACTGTGGCAAAAGAAAGCAAAGGTAGCATCAGTAATAGGTCCCTTGGGGACAATCCTAAAACAATTGGAGCACCACTTGAACAATATTGGAATTGACAAAATCACCATCTGTCAATTGCAAAAGGCAGTTCTACTTGGAACAGCTTCCCTTCTGCCATGATACCTTTAACACCCACTGCCTATTTTAGGTCCTTGGGAAGAACTAAGTGGATTAAAAAAAATGCCACCCACTCTAAACATCTGGCTCATTGTGTAACCAACCATTGTATAATAATATACTTCCTTTCTTTTTTTTTTCTGCTATATTTTTTCACTTTTAAAGCCCTTTTTATATGTTACTTTTTTTCTTTGAGAATGTATTTGTGTTATAATCATGCCGGTATTTTGTTTCTTTCTTTTTTTCTTTTCTGTTATTATTTTAAAAGGAATATAAAGTAAAAAAATGTAATTGTGATGCTGAATTGTATTTAAAAAGTATGAATCTTGATATTTATAAAAGAATTCTGTTGAATCAGGGTTTCAGCAAAGAGAATTATTCTATATAGCTGGAAACAAATCTACAGACTGATATTAAAAATTAGATTAATGGAATGTGTTATCAACTGATGAAATTATTTATATTCTAAAAATGATATGGCAGTTGGAGGGAATTCTGGTAGATGTATAAGGAAATTCTCCTACAGGTCTCACACACTGCCCCCCTCCAGTCCTCAAGAGAAAATTATTTTTTGAATATGAAACTGGCCACTGGTAGTTTTCTTTTCAAATCTAAGTAGTATCTTTACTGGAAGATGTTTGCTATTACATCACAGAGAGAAAAATTTGAATTCTCCTCTAGCATATGTACACATCTATTAATTATCTACCTCAGTTCCTAAATGAAGTTAATTAGTTGTTTTTTTTAAAAAAAACAGAAGTTTAATTTCAAAGACCACTTTAACATTGTCTACTTTGGCCCTCCATTGCATACATTGCTCAAAAATGAAACAGTAAGAAACCAGGATGCAAATTCATCACTTGAAAAGTGCAATGTGTGGATGAGTTATCACAAATAAACCAACAGAGAGTCATTTGCAAAATTGCATTGGGCTCTTGCAAGTCTAATAGTTTTGCGCCAAAATTATAAACCCCATTATTATTATTATTATTATTATTATTATTATTATTATTATTATTATTATTATTATTGATCATCGCACAGTCAGCCAGATGTTCAGACTGGATTTGGCTTTTTGACTACCTATCGAGTCCTTACCTAGGACCTGGGATAGGCAGATGTGGATGTTTGATGGTATTACAGATATAGTGCATTGGAAGATATGCAAAAAATATCATTTGCCTGTAAGCAAAAACTGGTGGGATCATAAAATAGAGAAAGTCATAGAAAATGATAAAATTAAACTGCTCTGGGACTTCAGAATTCAAACAGACAAGCACCTGCAACATAACACCCCAGACTTAACAATTGTCGATAAGAAAGACAAAAAAGTCTGGATAGTGGACGTGGCAGTGCCTGGAGACAGCAGAATAGACGAGAAAGAACTGGAGAAGATAACAAAATACAAAGACCTACAAATAGAAATAGAAAGTCTGTGGCAAAAGCAAGCAAGGGTAGTACCAATAGTAATAGGTGCCTTGGGTGCAATTCCAAAACAGCTGGAGCACCACTTGAACACCATTGGCATTGACAAATTCGCTATTAGTCAATTGCAAAAGGCGGCCTTACTAGGAACTGCTTCCATCCTGTGACGATATCTGTAATACCATTATTATTATTATTATTATTATTATTGATCATCACACAGTCAGCCAGATGTTCAGACTGGATTTGGCATTATCCCAGGTCCTTACCAAGGACCTGGGATAGGCAGATGCGGATGTTTGATGGTATTACAGATATTGTTGCAGAATGGAAGCAGTTCCTAGTAAGGCCGCCTTTGCAATTGACTAATGGCAAATTTGTCAATGCCAATGGTGTTCAAGTGGTGCTCCAGCTGTTTTGGAATTGCACCCAAGGCGCCTATTACTATTGGTACTACCCTTACTTGCTTTTGCCATAGTCTTTCTATTTCTATTTGTAGGTCTTTGTATTTTGTTATCTTCTCCAGTCCTTTCTCGTCTGTTCTGCTGTTTCCAGGCACTGCCACGTCCACTATCCAGACTTTTTTGTCTTTCTTATCGACAATTGTTAAGTCGGGGTGTTATGTTGCAGGTGCTTGTCTGTTTGACTTCTGAAGTCCCAGAGCAGTTTAACTTTATCATTTTCTATGACTTTCTCTATTTTATGATCCCACCAGTTTTTGCTTACAGGCAAATGATATTTCTTGCAGATCTTCCAATGCACCATTGTTGCTGCTGCTGCTGCTACTACTACTACTACTACTACTACTACTACTACTACTACTACTACTACTACTACTACTACTACTCTACTACTACTACTACTACTACTACTACTACTACTTCTTCTTCTTCTTCTTATTATTATTATTATTATTATTATTATTATTATTATTATTATTATTATTGCTATTTTACAGCTGTTGAACTGTAGAAGCCCTGTTCTGTATGGAGGTTAAATACAAAATCAAGGAGCAGAAAGGAAAAGCATTAGAAGAAAGGGTACAGAAGTTGTGTTTGAAGGACAGTAATAAAGATTAGTTTGTTTTGGTGATTAATACATCTGCTTAGAGATAATTGTCATAGCAATAAGAATATAAATACAGGTGTTGACAGATTTGTTCTCTAGAATATTGAAACCCTTAAAACATACCTTACATTTAATAGCTTTCTTATAGCCAAATCTTTTCTTGAATTGATCCATTGCTTGCGTGTCAGTTAATGGAAGCCTTTTTGGTTTAAGGATGCTTATTATTTCATTGATAGCTCCCCACCACTGACTTTTAAAAAGCATATAAAAAGCTTCAAGCTCAATGCCAATTACGTAATATCTGTTTTTTAAAAAAAGAAGCCACATTATGTTAATAATCAAATATTTTAATGGATCGTATATTTAACAAATGCTTTTGGAAGGAATCTGCACTAGTGGTAATCTTTCAACCGAGCACAATCTATATTCATTAGTCCTAAATAAAGCTATTTCTACTTCATTTCTGACAGTTAAATTGAACTGAAATCTAGCAGTCTCCAATACTTGGATGGCAGTGTGACTGGTTACAAGTTGTGTATATATTTAATTAATTCAATTCAATCACCTGACCAAACCTAATGCCCTCCAGATTTTTTAGACTACAGCTTTGTACCATTAACTTTGTAGATGTTTTAATTAATGAGTTTTAATTAAACCAAGCCATTTGGAAGCCACCTATTTAGGGAAAGCTGATTCATATACCTCCAGTGAAGGAGAGGTGACATACATATACTAGAATAGAATTATTTTAATTTATCTCATCTTCCCTTCCTTAACAGACTATACAGTTTGCCATCACAGTATTTTAATTTGATAAATGATAACTCTTACTAAATTCAGAGAGAAGAATTCAAAGTCACTCAGTAAATCTTATGGCTTGTGAGAAATTTTAATTTACACCTCCTAATCAAATGCCATACCACAATGGCTTTGTAGAGAGACTCTATGGCAGGGGTGTCAAATTCACAACGTCATGTGATGTGTCATGACATATCACGACTTTTTCCCCTTTGCCCACAATAGGGTGGGTGCGGTTTTGGCGTGACGCTCCAGCCTGCGGGCTGGCAGTTTGACACCCCTGCTCTATAGGGCTCTGTGTGTGTGTGTGTGTGTGTGTGTGTGTTTGAATTAATTAATTTATAGGGAAATTCTCTTTTTTGTTTAACATTTCTGATTGCTTGTCAGCATTTGTAATAATTTCTGCATTGTTACTTACAGGTAGTCCTCAGATTACAGCCATAATGGAGCCTGACCATCATGGTTATAAGTTGTGATAATAGTAAATCGAGTCACTCACATAACCGACATGATTTTATAATCTTGTTTGCAGTGGTTGCTAAGCAAACACCATGGTCCTTAAGCATACACTGCAAAGCAATGGTTTGCTATAGGCTAGTTTTTTTTTAATTGAAAACCAGAAGTAAATGCTGGGTTTTGCCAGATCCATTGTAAAATGATGGATGCTGCAAATGGCTGTAAATGTGGGCTGTGAGTGACCAAAATGCGATCACATGACCACCAGGGGAGGGGCGGCTATTGGAAATTCAAAACCAGGACCCAGATTGTTGGGGACAATATGCTGACTCTGTAAAGCACTACAAAGGGCTATAAAGCACTGCAAAGCGGTATATAAGTCTAAGTGCAATTACTATTACAATTTGAGTACCTAAAGGACTCAAAATGTTTAAGCTACTTTGAACTTAATCTGGTGAATTTTCTCAATGAATGGAAATATTTTTACATGCTCTTTACCTTTTGCCATCAAAATCCATTACTGGTATAGAATAATGTTCTCTGTAGGGGGCATCTGGGTCCAGCAGTTGAGTAAGATGATTTATTGCACAGGTGTGCATTTCATCATAGGCAGCCTATATAACAAGAACATGCTAAATATATCTAATGACATTAGCAAATTTGTAAATTTACCACAAATTTTTTGTTATCATAAATATTTTACCTTTGCAACATATTTCCACGTTTTCCTCTGTTCTAGAGAGGAACATCCCATATAGTATTGTAATTTGCATGCTGATATATAGAGAATTTATAATGAACAAAAGGAGACAGTTAACAAAAAAATATTCTTGTATGTATGATAATTTTGGCTAATTAAGTTTCTATTACAGAAAGTCATTACAGAAATCTGGATCTGAAAGTATTCTGTGCTGCTGCTTTTATATTAATACCCAATGAAGCTGATTTCCCGAACTCTCAAGTTATGAAGCAGAGCCTTCAAATTAAATACTACTTAACCTTACAACTGAACTCAAATAAGCTTCTGCCCACAATTGAGATAGTAATTCTCTTTCCCTTTCCCTCTTTCTCCCTCTCCTTCTCCCTTTCTTTCCCCGCATCCATCCCCCCATCCATCTCTGTGATAGAAGAATAACTAGTGCGGTTGTTTTTGTTCTTTAAAAAAAAAACCCAGCTTGATACCTTAACTTCTTTGGAAACATCTTCAACTGAAGGCGTCCCAACATCAAATTCAATGCCACCGTGGAGATGGAAATACTGATTCTGGGCATACAAAAAATGTTGGCATTTGAAATCTGTTCCAAGCATAAATGGGGGTAATTCACGTTCGGTTTTAACTTTGTCATCTATAAAAAGGAAAAACAGACTTTGATTCAGAATGATGACTGTCACTATTGATCAATCCGTGTTGGCAATTTTTTAAAAAAGAAATTACACTTTCCAGATAACTTCTAGAAACTAGTTTTCAATATTTTCATCAAACTAAGAGGACTGCTTCTTTGGCAAATTAATTATTGCTATAACAATATAGAAAGAAAAAGCTACTGAATATATGTAAATGTGTGTTTGCATTTTTAAAGTATATTGTATTAAAATAAAACCAATAACTGAATTTTCAAATGAAAGGAGTTCTGGAACATGGCCCCCAAAAGTCAATTTGCTTGGAAAATGAATAAAAATCAAATTTACGATCCCAAACATATTTTATTTAAGTTACCCATATCTATACAAATAAACTTTTTTTAAAAAAACTTTTGAAATGGCTACTCAGAGAACTAATGAGTTTATAATGAAGGACATATATTTTAGGGATAATAAATGCAAGCATTTAAAAGGAACAGTATTTAAAGTTCTTTTGCGATTCATTGAGATTCGTAGAACTGGGTACACAACTGAAAAAAGGCATAACAGTAAAGAAGAATCAACTGGTCAGTATAAAACAATCCATTAATGTTAATATTAAGAATAAGCAATGAAAAAAAAACATTTATCCACAACTGTAAAAATGTCTGTTAGCTTCTGATATAGGTTTTCATTCTACTTATTTTTTCACTCAGTTTTTCAATTTTTCTCCCCTAGCTGGTCAGCTTTTGTAGCTAATGAGTTTCCTTGGTGCTGTTTGGGTTGGTTTGGGGGGTTCCTAATATCTTGGGGTTCTTTTTAAAAAACCTGCCAAGCCCACATCCTTTTAAGCACTGTCCTTCTGTTATACACCCATGCTTTTAGAAAATAAAAAGAGAGGCCAAATGGTCTTTGTCACTTTTCCCCTCTCTTGGCAGGTTTTTATTTGAGGCAGATGAAAAAAAGAACTTATTGGCGCCAGATCACTGAGAGAATTCTTTCATGGTCAACACTATTTTATTTTTAAACCAAATATTAAACATTTTATGGTAACAATTTGCGGGCAACACTAATGGCTATCATGGCTTATAGCAATCCTGCAAACTTTACCATTGATAGTGCATGTTGAAACTGGTATGCCCTTCAAGTCACTCTCTTGGGTTTTCTAGACCAAATAAAGAGCATACCACTTTTGACAAGCAATACAAATGGTTACATTTGCAGGACTGCTATAAGCCATTATGTCTCAACCCAGCCGTTCAGTCTGTAAAAAGAGGTATGAGAATTAATTATATGATTCTTATATAGTACCTGTTCAGCCTACCAGTGTTGCAAAATAGGACAAGGCCTCTGGATCACAGTCTAGAGCAGACATGTCAAACTCACGACGTCACGTGATGTCGCGCAATGTATCGAGACAGTTTTGCCATTGCTGGCAATGGGGTGGGCGCGGCTTCTGCGTGATGTGTCCGGTCCAGGGGCTGGCAGTTTGACACCCCGGGTCTTGAGCCCCCAAACCAAGGAGGAACCCAGATGACTTTTCAGAGACTTGCTTGTAAAAGCAACATCATCCAATAGATACAGGATCAACAACTGTGCTGTATGCTGAATTCTGACAGGACTGGGGTTATTTTTTTTCTACAGCCTCATTTCTTGTCTTCAGGCAGATGAAAAATCTAACCAGTTTCTGGGAGGTATGTGGAAGGCAAAACTGTTTAAAATGTAGTATTATCACACTCCATACTACAAATGATAAAGGAAATTCCAGTGTTATAGCTGTTATGCCTTTCTCCATTTTGGCACTTACTGTTTCTGAGGCCTCCTCAATAGTTTTTCTTTCTTTCTTTCTTTTAAAAAATAACCCTGTTCACCTGGCCTATCTAGACAGAGAATAGACTAGACTCTAGTCACAAAGATGCTTCTTTCCAAAAGGCTTTCTTGCTTTTTTTCTTTTTTCTTTTCTTTGAAAATGTTTCATTTCTCATCCAAGAAGCTTCAGTTAGAACTGAAGAAGCTTCTTGGATGAGAAGCAAAATGTTTTCAAAGAAAAAAAAAAGAAAAAGAAAAAAACGCCAAGCTAATTTTGGGGGAAAAAAAAGCACTTTTGGGTCAACCGTCTGGATGGTTGAGAATCTCCATAGACTAGACTCTAGTCTACTCAAACCTATTTTTGTGGCATGAATAATTGTGTGTTTGTCATTTGTAATTGTAACGGTACTACCCAATTTTTTTCATCCCAGTGATACCAGTTTCAATGGCTTTTATTGTCTGACTAAGAAATCTCTTTCAACAAACACAGCATACTCTTACCTGAATAGGGCTGAAGAAGCCGGCTTAAATTTGGAACTTTATTTTTTCTCTTTAAATTAATGATAAATGGGATAAGAAAGCATATCAGCTTCATGTATGCTATGTTCTTTTGAATGTCTTCTTTTTTTTCTAGATGCTTTTTCACAAGTTTGAGCTGAAGGGTGAGCCTCTGCTGTAGTCTCTGGTATGAAAAAGCATCGAGGTGGTCCTCAGTCATTCTAATTGCATTGGTGAGGTTGTACGCTGCATCAAATAGGAACACATCTTCATACTGTTGAATCTTTGTAGTGGCAAATGTCAGCTTAAGTATTATATGGTCCGCAAACTGCATAAAGAACATTTTTTCTTCTACGCTGTTAGGATTGTAAGTTGGATCTTCATTCATGTTTTCATCATAGATTCCTCGGAACTCTGGTTCCTTTGTAATATCTATTAGACCTATACCATATACATGCACATATAAGTTCTATAAATATATTAAAGATAAACATATTAAAATATAGATATATCCTACAGGCTGGAAACATGCGGAAGAGGCCTTCATCCTATAATAGATAGACAATGGCTAAAATGCTGATATATCCATCTTGGGCCAATCTACACCACTGTTGTGCTGTTCCTGGCTTAAATATAGATCTGTGCATGCAACCCTCTGTCAAACATCTTGTGTTCTCCAACATTCCTTGCATTACCTGCATTGTATTGTAGTGAGGCTTGGTGAATCTGAATGTGTAAGAGTGTAATGCTTAAGCAACTGTATTCAATACAGCTAATAGGGGCTCTTTTTTGCCTTATATTTCCCTGACTCCTCCATTACTGCCTACATCCTGAAGTACCAATCAGTAAGAAGAGTACAGTGTTTGGCGATCTGGGGCATGGGGGAAATAATAGATTGAGGACTTTATAGATTATTGCTATTAAGATGGCCTTGGGCCAGCCTTTCATTACTGACATAATTTTTAGTGACATTTGAGGATGTTAAGGAAGAGGTTATCATTAAGGGATATGCCGGGGAAAAGTGAATAGTAATGGATTAAAGTGTAGAACTTAGAAAGGAAGTGAGTTACAGCTTTGGAGTGTGGCAGTGAGTTGCTGAACTGGGAAGAAAGAAGTTGGCATCTTGCAGTGGTAGTGGCCAAGGAGCCTTTCAATGAGGTGAGAAAAAGCGAACAGGATCTGGCAGAGAAGTGTTGGGGAGGGGCAGGACTATGTTTGAAGAAAAGAACTATGTTGAATGGAGATAAAGTACCTACTGAAAAGGACTGCAAAAAGAAGTAAATGGCCTTGACTTGAGAAACTTTGGTAGCTCAAACATGAACTTCCTGTAACGGAGTCTGAGAGGTGGTGCTCATCAGATGAGGTAACAGGAACAAATAGTGGATTAGTAAGGGATACAAGGGAGTGTAGAGTTCTGGAAACATCGCTGCTGGAGTCGCACAATAGTGTGCTGCTTTTCCAGGAGGGGTCAGTAATGGATGAGTCTAGCCAGGGGTAGGCAACCTGGGCTCTTTTATGACTTGTGGACTTCAATACCCAGAATTCCTGAACCAGCCATGCTGACTCAGGAATTCTGGGAGTTGAAGTCCACAAGTCATAAAAGAGCCAAGGTTGCCTACCCCTGGTCTCGGCAATGGGGTCTGGTCTGACTGCCACCACATGTCCTGCTGGAAGGGGCTTGTGACTGCAAAGAACATTGAACAATTGCCTGGAACTAGGTACTCAACCTTTTGGTTGGTTTTGGGCACTCAGGGATTTGGTTAAGCTTGGCTATTTGGGGAAGAGATGGGGAGTGACATTGGGTGGCACCTCTGGAGTGGAACCAGGACAACAATCTCTTCAATGACTGCTCTGGGTCCTATATGTGTTTCACTTAGATGTACATTTGCAAGCAGCCATGAGTGATGGAAGCTTCATGATATGTATTCACAACATGCATATTTCAGATATGTACAGTTATATTATGTGATACCTTTTCATCCTGATCATTACTTCCTATGTACATTGAACCACGTTTCATGCAGTGGTCAAAAACATGTGAACACAAAACTTACCAGCTTGACAGAACTCTGCAGCAGGCGTTTTTAATGTTTGGGGAACCCCGTCTTGATCAATATCCATGCTAGAGCGCCAGAGTTCAGAGAACCGTACCCTTTTTTCCTTGGGCATGTATACTCCATGCCATAGGGCTTTCAACATATAGTCAACCGCGATTAATATTTGTCCTATTCTTGTATCAAAATACCCCGGAGGGAGTGAACAGGAAGTACTCTGATCATAATTGGCATCTAGACTGATAGAAGGGATTTGGTTCAGACAATAAATGCCCACAGCCAACTCCCTGATCATTTGATGAATTTCCCGACAGTCCAAATCTAAGCCTGGCTCCACTGGCATAAGTATAATTGCTATGGAAGTATTGATGCTTTTCATCTGACTCAGAAGTCCACTGGGAAGTTCTAATGGATGACGCATGTCGTCTTTGGATGCCAACCAACTGCAGAATGAAGTGGTAAGTAGTTCCTGAAGCTCACTTCGCTCGTACTTCTCAAAGAAGGCACTAGCATTCCTCTGTGCTGCCAGGTGGGCTAAGTAGGCTGCTTCATCTGCTTGCTCGTTTCTAAGGGCTTGCTTCTTAATTGGTCTCAACATCCTTCAAAATTTTCCGTTCTGCTGTTTTGAAATGTAAATTATTTTGGGGTGAGGGGTAAAGGAAGTTAAAAGTTAAAATTAAGCAATGTAACATTTGCTGGAAGAAAAATATACGAAGGGTCCTTGGTGCTCTCTGAACTTGGTTGTTTTTCTGCAGACATTTCATTACCAAACATCATCAGTGTTAGTAGGGAGTGGGATTTACTCTCATTTTATATTGTTCTGTATGCCCTTTCCCTCTTATTTCTCCAATAGGACATTCATTATTTAGCTATAATGCCTGGAAACAACATTCTGTTTTTTACAAGATTTTTTTATACTTTACAGTACTGAGATTTGAATCAGGTTCTGTCCTTTTTTAATTTATAGTTTATTAATGTATTTTTAGATTATTTGAATTAGTGACTAGTGTGGACATATATTAATATGAACAGGAGCAAAAACCATAACACTTTACCTGTAATACTAAAGTTGAATATCTGAACTAGAAGGGAAATGATTTGAATACAACCCATCTATAACAGAATACGAATAGAACCATTTTTTTTGTTTGTTTAGTGGGAGATAAACAGCACTTTAATATAGCCATTAAAATCAATGAACTTTTAGTAGACTTTTATTATTTTTCTACCATTTTGTGACCAAATGATATTCTAGGGAAGTGAAACTATATGGATATTTATTTATTAATGGTGTGAGAAGCAGCCTACAGCTTTCTTGTTTTTTGTGACTTTTGGAATCTCTTGATTGATCCACAAAAATTAACAATAAATTAAATTTAGATTTAATTTTGCATTTGAAAAAAGAGAAAGCAACAATATAGGTGTGCAGGGGATGTTCAGGAAAGCCCCACACCACATTCACTTACAGTCAACATTGTATGAGATTCATTATACTTCAAGATGACTGAGGCACAAATAGGGTATGACTGGAGATGACGTAATTACCCCCATCACAAGAAACAACTATATGAGTTGTTTTAAATCGGGGTCTTCAAACTTGGCCACTTTAAGACTTGTGGCTGAGGAATTCCAAAAACTTGGAAACAGTCTGAGAGAAGAAACTGAGCACATTCTATCTCCTCAAAATCCTCAAAATTGATTAGAATCCTCAGGGATCTAGAAGGGCTGTCCAGAAAGACTGGAGATAGATGGATATATATTTTTTTTAAAGGAAAACAACTATTTTTTAAAGGATAGGTTTTTTGTCTTTTGTGTGTTTAAAGTCAGATTATGTTATCCCTGGTAATAGTACAAGCTCATTTCTTATCGTTTTATGCATATTACAAGCTCTTCATTAGAAGACTAGCATCATCTTATAATCTGAGTCTTTTATTTTCCTTTGTATTTTTTTAAATGGAAGCTCCTGATAAATCAGTACCTGAGATTTGAATATCTTTTATGAGACTGGCTGACCTTTCAAAAAGGAAAGGGGGAAGATGTGGTTGATTTTCCTTGCCTCATCTCCATAAGGCCAGGAGGTAGTGTTAAGAATTTATTTCATTTCTTTCTGGTTCTTTTTTTTTTCTTTTCTTTTTTTCAGAAAGCAATACAGTTAACAATAGCAGGGATATTTCTAAGCAGACAGTTTGCAGTGCAATCAGTCAAAAGATGTGTGACTGCTTTATCTATGTCTTCTTCACTTATATAAGAAAAACAAGAAATAGTACTGAGTTTTACAGAGCCAGTTTGGTATAGAGGTTTAGGAACCAAGCTACAAAGCAGGACGCTGTGAGTTTAAGTCCCATTTTTGTCAGGAAAGATAGCTAGGTGACAATATGTCATATGAGCAATAATTTGAACTTAGTAAAATCAATGCAGAGCAAACTATTGCTCACACGGTAAGCAAAAAAGTTTGTCAGAAAAATTCTTGGACAAAAAAAGTGTAAAAGCATAGAAGATAAAAAGTTGAGGGGCTTTCCTAAACATGGAATGAAAAGTTTGAGTGCAGATAACAAGCATTCTGATTTTCTAGCCATCTGCAGCGTAGATGTAGGAGACAAAGCAGTGCCTCTTAAAAAAACTGTTACCATCAAACTGGCCCTCATATAAGAGCTCTTTAGGTATTCCAGAAAGATGTCACTGGGTGTACACATTGCGCCAAGCTGTAGCCTGCTTGGCTTTGACAGAACATAATGCACGGATATAACCAATTGTAGTTTAATAAAACAGATGGCTTGAGGCATGAATCTAGCCAGGAAGTGAACCAGGACTGGGTAGCGACATACAAGCTATAGAGGTCATGTGTATCCCTACCATTGTTGAGCTAACAGTCATCCCTTCAGCCCTTGGTCTGATGGAAAATTGCTTTTAGGTAGGATTGTTATTTCAGCCTGAGGGAAGGGAGGAGCGTGAAAAGAGAAGCATACTTTTTTTCGTGCTCTTTAAGCATCCTGACTGAAAAGGCAGAAAAAGCAGTAAGCCACCTCCGATACCCCCTAACCATTCAAAGGTTACCTCTCCCAAATCAGGGAATAGAACAGAAACCAGAAAAAAAAAAAATTCTAATAGGTCTCTGGAAACTCAATCCCAGATAAGCAAGGTGACTGAAACACAAACCCATGCCTGTAAATATATCAATAAGTGGCAGTCTTGCCTTTTGTCCCAGGGCTAGAGAGCCTCCAGCTCACAGCCTCAGCTGTTACATGGTGAAGAAGGGAGTAGAAAGGAAAGGTTGTCACTATGGATACCATAGAACAGTAAAAGAATCCTACTATTGGTGAATTTACATCTTTTGGGAGCAAAGAGGGGGATCTCATCTCATGTTAAGCTTTTCCAATAGTAGCACTTGGTCTAAGTAAGTTTTTTTTAAAAATATGGGTACCTTCAAGATGACTGAATAGATTGCTATGAAGCTGGCATCACATGTTGATTGCTCATTGCTTTGTCTGGCAGAGATAAGAACTGCCTACTGGTCACACTTAGTCAAAGACACCGGATAGAAGATGCGTGTGATTTTCACACATTAAAATTTCAAGAAGGAAGAGCCAATAGTAAAAAAAGCTAACAGATTTAGAACTATCCATTAATAAACATTCTCTCAAAACAATAGCTGGGATTCTGAGGACTTTCCGGATGAATACTGGATAGGGTAGGCAACCTTGGCTTTTATGACTCATAGACTTCAACTGCCAGAATTCCTGAGCTAGCCATACTGGCTCAGGAATTCTGGGAGTTGAAGTCCACGAGTCATAAAAGAGCCAAGGTTGCATACCCTTGGATATACAATGAAATATCAGAATAAAGATGACAAATGCTTTGCTCTTGGCAGTTTGAATCACTTGAGTACTTTCAGGTTTCTATTGTAGAACCTAAACAAGCAAAGAATCTGATTTGATTAACATTTCTTTGAAGCAGCAGCCAATATATTACTTTAATGAATAAATCTGTGACAAAAAATGTATAAAATTTATTGCAGGTAATTCAAATAGTTATGACAAAACTATAAGACACTTTTTATTAATTATTATTTCTTTAATTTTTACCTCAATGGGAAGTCCCTACTCCTATGTATAACATTTTAAGAAATAATATAAAATCTCAGGTGCTTATTTCCAAAGAAACATTCAGAATCATGGTCCTAATGTAACTGTATCCAAAGTCTTTGATGTTTGGAATATATATATATATATATATATATATATATATATATATATATGAAATAAAAGTTTAATCAACCAAGCTTTCATCAAATACACTTGACATCATCAGGGTTAAAAGGCAGATGCTGAAAGAAATCTTACATATAGTTGTTAAATGCCTGTCTCTGGTTCCCAGAGTGCTTCGTTGGATCCAGTTGGTCAGGCTGCGTTTTAAGTGCACTTCTTAAGCAATCATCCTACCTCCCATAAAGTCAGCTGCATTAAAACCTTATTTAAACGGGTGCATTCGCACTGCAGCACTGCTGAGTCAAAAGAAGAAGAAAAGAAACATTTGTTCCGCATCTGCCAGATGAACGGATATCCCCTAAGGTTCATTAAACGACATAGCATGGCATCTAAATCCCACATTGGACAGCAGAAGGATGAACCCCCAACACGAACCGTACGTGTGTCCTTACCATATATTAACAATGTGTCTGAAGCCACGGCCAGGTTACTAGCACCACACAATATACAGGTGGCCCACAAGCCCAACCAGACTTTACGAGCAAAAGTAATGCGCCCTAAGGACCAACTCCCCACCACCGAGAGATCAGCTATAGTCTATAAGATTAATTGTATGGACTGCAAGAGTTATTATATAGGTGAAACGTCGAAGAGATTAAAAACACGCCTACGTGAACACAAACTAGCAATTAGACGAGGTGAACAGCATTCACAGATTTGGGCTCATATAGCTGAGCATGATCATTACTTTGATTTTGAGAACACCCAAATCTTAGCTAATGACGCTACAAAGGGAGGCCGCCTACTGAAAGAAGCATGGTTCTCAGGAACAGATTCGATCAACCGACATGTGGACCTATGCTCAGCACACCAGGCTCTAAGAACTTTAAACGCTAGCTACCAGTCCAACTTCCAAAGAAGACTCAGTTGTAAACCATATAACCGTCATAAGGACAACCCCCTGACCCCCCACCCCTCCCCACTTGATCATATGAACGGAGCTCTAATTGACAGCTCCCCACCAATAAACACACAACTACCGTTTAGCCATCAACACATCAATCATAACGAACAGTCTTTGCATGACTCCCTACAACACCCTGTAAGTAGACTCCCTTTAGAACGGAAAGATAATATGCAAAGCAATGGTATAAGACTCGTGAAATTGCAGAATGAACGAAACGTGGTGAAATCTGGGGGTGGTTGCGAGGAGGAACCTCCTTCCAGTTGCTCTGTGGAACACGAGATGACAACCCGATCAAAATCGAATAAAAAGAAACTCCCCCTCCCTCCCTGCTTTCAACACGAGGACGATCGGTTGAACAGCAATTACAGCCAAGACAGGAGAGTGCCATAAGAGACGAAGGTGGAAAATCTGAAACAAATAAAAACAACACTCACTGGCAACAGACTGAGCAACGGAGTACTATCAATGAGATCATAACAGATGACACTCTGGGCATGTGCGAGAGAAGCGACGCCGGAACAAACAACAAACCGATAAGGACGACACTTGAGAGAAGCTAAGAGGAAGAATAACACGAAATGAGAGGAGGAATTTACACCGTGGCTCAGAGATAAATAAACAAAAGCAAAACAGACCCCAAACCCACAGGAGCACGAAAAATAAATCAGACACCCCCCCACCCATCAGAGAAAGCCATACGCAGGACGATAGAGGAACTGGATACAGGTGAGGGGAGAGTATCTCCAGCCTAAACCCACCTATCTCCGAACTAGCAGATAAAACAACGTATAAGGGACTCAAACAAAAGAAAGGAATATACGTTAACTTAAGTGCACGTAAAACGCAGCCTGGCCAACTGGATCCAACAAAGCACTCTGGGAACCAGAGATAGGCATTTAACAACTATATGTAAGATTTCTTTCAGCATCTACCTTTTAACCCTGATGATGTCAAGTGTATTTGACGAAAGCTTGGTTGATTAAACTTTTATTTCTTAAATTTCTCTTGGTGATCATTATTTTAATAAAAAATGGAAATTCCCAAGAGTCAAATTTTTACGTGTGTGTGTGTGTGTGTGTGTGTGTGTATATATATATATATATATATATATATATATATATATATGTATATATATATATATACACACCCACCCACACCCACACCCACACCCACACATATATATATATATATATATGTAGGTCTTTGGTTGTTCGGGTTTTCTCGGAAGTGTCTTGGCGACGTTTTGACAAAGTACCATTCGTCATCTTCAGGCTGGTGTTTTCAGCTTCGTGCTTTGAGCAGCAATGTGTGGTCTTAGCTGTTTCTTCCTTTTAACTGCCAGTGGGGGTATGAACTGATTGGGTGGGAGCTTGGCTGTGTTCTGATTGTGTGGAGGTGTGTTCTGAATGGTTAGGGGCTTGGCTGTGCTCTGATTGGCTGGGGGAGTGTTCTGTTTGGTTGTGCTCAGGTTAGTCTGAGTTGCAGAGGGGTTTAAGATTTTGGGCTGCCTTGCTATTTTTTGGCTTCGCGTTCGTGGTCGTGCCTCCTCTTCATGGGGGGTGTCAGTTTGCTTCATGTATGGATTTATGTATGGATTTTATGGTTTAAAGTGGCTAATGATGCAGCTGTGGTCTGGCTTCTGGTTTGTGGTCGTGTCTCGTCATCGGTGTGGCTTTGGGTTTGTTTTTTGCGTGGATGTGTGGTGGTGACATCCTGTGTGGTTTTTGTGAGTGTGGGTCTGGTATCATTTTTTGTGTTAGGGAGTCGTTTGTCAATAAGGGCGGGTTTCCAAATGGCTGGTAGGCGGGAGGTATCATCTCGCTTGTTCATGCTGTGTGGGCGTTTTTCTATCTCGATGGCTTCTCTGATTATTCTGTTATTAAAATGTTCACTTTTGGCAATGGTTCTGGTATTTTTAAAGTCAATTTCATGTCCTGTGGCTTTAAGGTGTTGGACCAGGGAAGATGTTGGTTCCTCTTTTTTGACTGAGTTCTTATGTTCTTCAATGCGTGCACTTATTCTTCTGTTGGTTTGTCCGATGTATGTGGTGGGACAAGTGGTGCATGGGATTTCGTATACTCCTTGATTTTCTAATTCAATTTTATCTTTGGGGTTTCTAAGGATGGTGGATATTTTTCTGTTTGTGCAGAATGCTGTTTTGATGTTGTGTTTATGGAGGATCTTACTGATTCTGTCTGTGGTGCCTTTTATGTATGGGAGGAGGGCTTTGCCGTTTTCTTGTTCTTTGTCTTGGATTTTAGTGGGGGTTTCTTTTTGGATTAGGTTTGTAATCTTATTTCTATGGAATCCATTGGATGTTAGTACATTGGTGAGAGTGTGTAGTTCGGGTTTTAGGTGTTGTTCGTCAGCTAAGCGTTTTGTTCTGGAGATGAGTGTCTTGGCTACAGAGTTGATCTGTGCTGGGTGGTGGTGTGAGAGAGCGTGCAGATAGCGGTTTGTGTGTGTTTTCTTCTGGTAGATGGTGTGTCCTAGGGAGCCATTGGATTTCTTGTAGACTAAGACATCCAGGAAGGGAAGTTGGTTGTTAGCTTCTGTTTCCATGGTGAACTGTATTTTGGGGTGTAGGCTGTTGAGGTGTGTGAGGAAGTTGTCCAGTTTTTCTTTCCCATGTGGCCAGATTATGAAGGTGTCGTCTACGTATCTGAGCCAGAGTTGGGGTTTGTGATCAGATTTTTCTAGAGCTTGGGTTTCAAAGTGTTCCATGTAGAGGTTGGCATTGACAGGTGAGAAGGGTGTCCCATGGGTGCTCCTTCTGTTTGTTTGTATTTTTGTCCATTGTAGATGAAGTATGTGTTGGATAGGCAGTGGTTGGTCAGATCTAAGATGTGTTTGGGGGTGTTATATTTGTTTTGAATAGCTGTCAAGGCTTCTTTGATAGGTACTTGGGTGAGGAGGGATATGACATCGAAGCTCACTAGTAGGTCGCTGGGCTGTAAGTTTTGTTTCTTTATGATCTCTATAAACTGGAATGAGTTTTTTACGTGTGAGGTGATGGATTCTGCATAGGGCTGTAGTTGTTTGGCGAGAAATTTGGCTAGGTTTTGTAGAGGTGAGCCTATGGAGCTGACTATAGGTCTGAGTGGGGTTCCTTCTTTGTGTATCTTAGGGAGACCATAGAGCTTAGGGCATCTGGATGATTTCTCTCTGGGAATGATTCTTTGCTGGATCTCTTCGCTAATGGGAGAGGCTTTTATTTTGGATCTAATGGTTTTTTCCAGGTAGGTGGTGGGATCTGTGTTTAGGGGTTTGTATGTGGAGTCTTGGAGTAGGTTGGTTAATTTGGTTTGGTAGTCAAATGTGTTCATAACCGTGGCGTTGCCCTTGTCTGCTGGTAGGATTATTATGCTGGTGTCTTCTTTCAGGTTTAGTGCTGTCTGTTCCTCTTTGGGTAAGTTGCTTTTGGGTGGCTTGCTGGCATAGAGGAAGTTGGTGATTTTGAGTCTGATTCTGTTAGCGTCGTCAGGGTTGATTTTGGTCAGGCTGGTTTCAACTCCACATATAATGGTTTCAGTGGGGATGTGCTTGGGAGCGACTGCAAAGTTGAATCCTTTGGAAAGGACATTGGTTTCGGCTTTGGTGAGGATCCTATCTGAGATGTTATGCACTGTTTGTTTCATGTGTGGCTGTGAGGGAGGAGGGGTTTGTTTCTGGCATTCTTGTAGTCTTCGGAGTTTGTTGGTGTGTGTGTCTGTCTTGAGGGTGGTCTGTGTTTCAGCTCTCCAGACGGCGAGTTGTTTGGATTTGTCCCAAAGTGCGGGGTGGATCTTGTTGCTGAGTTTGAGGTGAAGTGTGAGGAGATCTTTGTTAATTCAGTCTAGGAGGAATCTTTTTGTGTGAAGTTCATTTCTGATTAGGGCCAATTCTGTTCTTTTCAGGATGCATTTGGTAGCTGCAGAGTTGGAGTGGAATTTCAGTTGGAAACATGTGGGGATTAAATTTTGATCTCGGCAGTTGCGTAGGAATGTGAGGTCACATAAAATGGAAGCTCTTTTGACTTCAAGTTTTTCATAGGTCCTGGTCAGATGGTGGATTTCCTCCCCGTAGAGGTTCGATATTTGTTTTCTGAGGTTTTCGCGGGTGTTTGTATGTAGGTCTTATATATAATTATATATATATATAATTATATATATATATATATATATATATATATATATATATATATATATATATATATATATAAAATTATATATAATTATATATACTTATTCTCTTGAAGCTGTCTGAAGTCTTGTACATTTGTCTGATGCCCTTTCACTGGTATTTTCCATTTTTGCAATTCGAGAACCAAATTGCATGGCCCGTTTTGGCAAAACAGCAGAGGCCGTCAGACCCAGCTCAGCAGCTACTAGACGCAAGAGCAATTTTTCTCCAATCCCACGAGGCCGGGCCAAGTTTGCTTTTTCCCATACAGGAAGTGAGTTAAGAAATGATACAACCTCTTCATCAAGAAAGGGAAACCTGAAAGGGAAAATTATAGCAAGAAAAGTATAAAATCAAGTTTTAACAAAACAAATGTAAACAAAGCTTTCTTTAATGAACTGGTTTGGTTAATTACATATTTCAAAAAATGTCTTTTTTTAATACATTCATCTGTAAAGACTCATTAGTGCAAAACTGTAGGCAGCTGCTGTCCTGAATGCTATGACAATTGTAATTAACTGTTCCCATTAATTTCAATGCTTTAGTCCAGATCTACCTTTTATCTATTTACAGCATACAGAAATATTGAAAATTTATTTATTTTATTTCTATAATCACCAATTTCAATAAGTGCATTTTTTTGTTTTCTTTCAATAACCCCCCCCCCCTAAAGGGCTCAGATATCATTTTAGTCTCAACATTCTTTTCCTAATGCTATTTCACAGAATAAGTGGAGAATTTCTTGGATCTGACCCAGTGAGATTATTTGCACACAGATAAGAAAATCAATGATAAAAATTATTAAATATTGTTCTATGTTCTTCCCCCACCCCAAGAGAGAAATGCATCATAGTTCATGTCTGTGAGAACTTCACAAACAAATCTCAAGGATCCATTCCAAACATTTTTTATCCTGATATGGCAATTATTAGTACTGAATTAATAGCTATTAACATTATTCAACTCTGGGATATTTACCAGAATAGTGTATGACAAAAAAGGATTTTTGAAAGTAGACTCTGCCTTCTTTTACCATAACACGTGAATTGTTTCTTCCATTTATCTATTAGATATTTGCTGCCTTTATTCCTTATCACTATCTGAATTTTAGTACGTCCAGTCAAGGATAGTCTTATCTGTTGCACAGCTGCTTACCTGGCTTCTTTGCCATGATCTCCAATAACTCTATCATCTCGACCCAGATTCCTAGAAGAAATGCGACTTAGTTCCATTCTTAATTCGTCAGTCAAGCCCTCAAAACCACTTTTTTTGAAGCAAATACGGTGTCTGGAATACCCTGCAAGTTGTTCATCTGCTCCAATTCCTGTAAGGACAATCTGTAATGAATATAGAAATACAACATGTAATGAGCAGAGATTACAGAATATTAATGTAGACATCAGCATTATATTCCAAATAAATCTAAAAGTAATTGACAATAGAGAATCTAATTTATACAAATGTTTAACAAATGAAAATCTAGCCATAGCCACAAGATGTAGCATGATTATATAAAAACCACAATGAAAACCATTTAGTTCCAAAACACAAAAAAGAAAAAAATGGTTATTAAATTATTTGTTTTTGAAGTATAATCATCAAAAAATATAACAAAAGAAATTTAAATTGTAAATGTAAAAAGCAAATTATGCATAAGGCCCGAAACGGAGACTTTTTTTTTTTGTTTCTCTGTCGCAATTTTCAATGCTAAAGTCAGTGTATCTACTTCCTTGTATACTACAAACATTCCCTAAACCAGGGGTCCTCAATCTTGGCAACTTTAAGACTTATGGACTTCAACTCTCAGAATTCCTCAGCCAGCAAAGTTGGAATTCTGGGAGTTGAAATCCACAAGTCTTAAAGTTGCCACGGTTGAGGACCCCTGCCCTAAACCTCTTTCATCATTGGTAGCATTATTTTACTACAAAACACTCTCCATTTTACAGCTATGCCTGTTATGTAAGTTGTGTGTGCAGTGTGAGTTTTAGTATATTGGAGACAAGGGAGAAGTTCAATAATTACGTACCTTTGCAGGACTTTTATATGGTAGAACGGCTCCCTGATTGGTAAGTAGACCCACTCCTCTGGAAGCAAACCATACGGCACAACCTATACTGTCATCCAAAACAGTATCCAGTGGATAAATTAAGTGTCTTATATGTTTCACTCTCATTGCTTTTAAATCCTCAAGCGTAACATTGATTTCCACAAAGTTCCAAGTTCTTGAAGGATTAATTATCTTCAATTCTTCTAATCCTGCCCTGCCAGTAATTCTATCAGGAGCATTAAAAGAAGGAGAAGAGTCACTGGTCACAGCATTCTTGACATTTAAAGATTCCTGACAAGGGGGAAATCGTTTCTTCTCTTTGCTGCATTTCTTAATGGAACTGTTCAGGTTACCTTGACCTGTAACCTCAAAGGCCACATTGAGAAGATCAATTGGTTCCTCCAAGGGAACATACCTGTCAGCAAGGGCAGCTATAATCATGGAGTCAAGGCCACCAGAAAAAAGTATTGCAATATAGGATTTCCTCAGATCTATATCTGATATTTCTCCTCTGAATGGATCACTGTTTCTCATTAGGCATAAAACTCGTTTCTTTACAGCTCTGCTCAATACATCAATAAATTGATGGACTCTTTCCTTCTTGTGATGTTCTGCAAGAAATTTTTGAAGAACTTCCGCATCAGCTACAGGTGAGGGAAAACTAAGTAATTGGGATTCTACTGTCATGTCAGAAATTTCCTCATTTAAAGGAATGATAGGAGCTATCAAAGACGTGGATGCATTTATCACAAAAGACACATAAGTAGGCAGAGATTTAGAAACTATGCTTAAATCTCCAGAGATTACATTTTCAACTACATTTTCTCTGCGAGGAAATTTCCAAGGATGTAACATTAAAGTAATAGATTTATGAACAACACAATCCTGCAGATTCATCTGAAAAATTCCTGATGCTGGAACTTCCAGCCACTGATTATTAGAGGCGGAACCAACAGAACTCAGTACAAGAACAGTGTCACTCTCTTGATTAAACTGCCACAGCAGACTTCGACGACCAAAGTAGTCCCTGCCAAACCATAAGCAATGCCTGGATGCCTGATAAAAAATAAAAGACCATGGACCCTGAACGGAGGACAGCACTGTCAAAAAATCAGAGTCACGATTGCAAGAGCAGAGTTGGCGAAAAATAACTTGTGTGTCATTCTCTTCCCTTTCCATAGACATTCCACTGAAGATTTCTCCATTCCAAAGGAATACATTACCAGAGTCTTCCAATGGCTGTGGAGTCATTAGCCCCCTTAAATGAAGTACATGGCCAGAAAATAAGCACCAGTATGGAAGATGAAACCCAGTCTTTTCCAGTTGTTGGCTTCTATCGGGTCCTCTTCTTTTAAGATTGTTTAGGATATCTTCTTTCAAGATATTACTTCCAGGGGCATGAGCAGATAAGCTGACCACACAGCAAATTCCACACATTGTAAACTTGTATTGGATTTAACTATTTCTTGGTCTTGGTTTTTTCTGAGTTTTCTATTTCTTGATGAGCTTTCTTTAGTTCATCTAAAGTAACTGGGGATAAAAGAAAATCTCATTTTTAACACATTAATTAAAAGGTGTAGAGAATCACGCAAATATTTAAAGTAGCCCTAAGTACATATGCAATTTTGTTCAATGCAAGATTAATGCACATATATTTACCATAACCCACGCACAGGAATCTACCTTACAATGCTTCCAAATATACTAATCCAGAGCAGGAATAAATAGCAGGTCCATGTGTTTCATTCCCTACCTAACAGAAGTGAGTGCAACAAAAGACCATTGATTTGGTCAGTTATTCAGGGACATCTCAACCAAAGTACAGAATGGAAAAAAGTCTTCTTTACGGTTACTGCCTTTTTTACATATGGAAAATGTAACAGTAAGAAAAAGCATTATTACTGGAACATACTGTCAAAATGATTTATGAAAGAAACTCTCCCATAGAGATAATGTACTATCATTCAATTCAGTATTTTTAAAGCAGTACCTGAAAATATCTGCTAAATCCTTTTCTAATTACAGTAATGTAATTCCCGTCAGAATATTTACTGCCGCATTTATAATTGAAATGAAAATATCAGATCCTTATCTGTATAATTATATTTCATAATGAAACCTCCCCAGTTGTACATTAGCTAGCTGATTGTGTAGTCGATTTAAACATTAACCTTTTGGTTTCATGCAAATGTCAAACAAATATAATTAAAATGTTGATATATAATCTTGACTGCGATATCTTGAATTCGCTCAAAATCAAATCACCAGAATTACAACTTTATAGCTAGATGGACAATTATTTTAGGGAGTTTTGGAGTTACCTAATTAACATTAACTTAAATAACAGTATCTAACTTTCACGTTCTAAAAAGTTGGAGACCCATTCCTGAAGATCTGCCGGGAGGCTATGTATTCCCGTGTTGTGTTACCTGATGGTAAAGGAAAGAGTCTTCTCTGCTATAGCACAACTGAGGATCATTCCCAAAGGGAAGGGATGAGCAATACATGACATTCCAGTTACTACTGAACTAAAAATTTTACTATATTTAACCATACACCAGCTGGCACTACTAAAAGTTATACTTCAACAATTTCTGATAGTCAAAGATTGCTCATGTCTCCTGTACAGATATATTTGATGCCACAAACAAAAAAAATCTATTTATTTTTCCAGGCAGTTATAAGTTCTTAACTTGCTTAGAATTTTACCTTTTATTTTTAATTGTAATTTTATTAAAAATTATAATTACAAAATAAAAAAGTAAAAAATAGAAATAATAGAAAATAAAGAATATAAATAAGAATATAAGAAAGGGAAAGAAATATATAAAGAAATGACTCCCCCCCGTGACTTGTTGTCATTATGTAAGTAATAACAATGTTAATAATTTGTCTTCTCTTAAAATACAACAAATGACCTCTTGTTTCCATATCCCAGCTCTTAACAATCAGCAACTCCTTAAAGCCAAGTCATTTCAATCCTGATCAGTGGAAATCCATTCAAATTTATCAGAAATAACAATGTATGTATTTTAACCTTGATCAAATAAACCAACTTTATATACCTTCCTTTTACTTTTAATAATTTTGATCTCTAGTTCCTTCAAATAATGTCCTACAACTTCATTTTTTTTTCATCTCTTCTTTGTCCTTTTTCACAAAATTCTTCAATGCTTTAACAAGCCTCTTTTGCAAATACAATACAGACAAATTAGCCAGGTCACTCTCTTAGTTTGTTATTTGTATAACCCTTTTTAATTATTATGAATAATTAGCTGGTTCCCTTTGGAGGCCCAGTGTAGTATCCTTTTTCTATTATCATTCTTGTAGCCAGTCATTTTTCAATCCACTTTCAGATCAGTCTATCTTGTCCAGTAAAACTTATTCTTGAATAAAGAAGGTAGAAACTTTTAATGTCCATTGTTCAAAAACATCCTTCAATATATCCAATGTTAAAATATTTTGCTTCTTTGCTTTAAAAAAAGTATTTTCCCATGGGAAGGATTCTTATAATCAATTCCAGGATCTTATTTCAAATCTGTGTGGGCCCTTAGTCTGTTTATAACTTTCCACAATCAAAGTTCTAATAACCCTTATGCTTTCCTTCCCTCCCATTATTTTATTTTGCTTGAAGAAAACTCACCCAGTGCTATAAAGTTTGATGATTCAGAGGTTCCTAATAGCTGAAAAGTAGCTAACAAGCAATTTCCAAAAGTGCTTAGAAAAGGAAATTATGCAAACCCAGTATCTTTTGGATTTGTTTTTTCCTCCTTTTTGGATAAGAATTATGAAGAACTAGTCTATTCTCCAGCTTTTTTCTGCCCTAGCTGCTGGCTCTGCCTTTAGAGGAACTATCTTCAGTATGGTTTTTCTTCGCCAGAAGTCAGAATTTTACCTACTTTTCAAGACTTTTTCTTGCCAACCTAGTCACTGTTTTATTCATAAAGCTAAGATCAAAAGTCTGTTCATTTTATATTGTCCTTTTCATAAGATACAGTTCCAAAGTGGTCATATGGATATATTTAAAGAGAGACCTGGATCATTGCTCCCCATCTAATATTCAGAGCTTCTTATCATAAGTTTATACAGGCTGTCCTTGCTTAACAATCATTTGTTCAGCAACTGTTTGAATTTAAAACAGCACTGAACAAATGGTACTTATTACTGGCTCTTGTACTTACAACATGTCAAGGTAATAATTTAAAGGCTAACCAGCTGATGTAATGTAATGTGGATAATGCAATATAGGAATGACTCAGCAGGTGTGTGTATCCCTTTAAGAGACTGAGTATAAAAGGGGAGTTTTTTACTTTAGTTTTTTTCTCTCTCATCCGTTTGACTGCTGTGTATTTGAGTTTGCTGTTTCACCACGTGTATGTATCTTATTTTTAGTATATATTTGTAGATATAGTGTAATATAAACCACCATTTAATTACAAACCACTGCTTACTGTATTTCTCCTGGGTTACCTCAGCGCAATAAGACTGTGCATGCTCTGACACAATACTCACAGCATCCCCATCATCACGATTGCGATCTGGGCACTTAGCAACTGGCTTGCAATAATGGCATTGCAACATCCTGTAGTCACCATTTATGGCTTTCACTGAGTTTGCAACAAGCAAAAGGAAGGAGGAAGCTGGAAGGAGGTTGCAAATGGCAACCATGTGATGCTGTGCTTAACGATATCATGGAATTTGCTCATTGACACTAATGAAAGCACTGGAACTCCTGTCACTAAGCAGTGTGGTCATATTGCATTGCATTGCATTATGATGGCACTGCTTAGCAATAGAAATTCCAGTCCCAATTACCATTGTTAAGTGAAGACTACCTGCACATACACATATTGAATTTCTGTACTTGTAGCATTATTTTATAACTTCAGATAAAAATAATCCATTGAGCATATATAGAAATGTCAATATTTTATAACACCAGAGTGAGAAAACAAAAATGTCCATTCATCTCACTGAACATTATCATCTTTGTTAAGTTATATGTCTAACATATCTAAAATATAAATGTATTTGAGGAACATACTTGTGCATTCGGAGAGAGTTTGAGTTCTGTCTGCTAGAAAGAATATGTTGCTGTTCGGTTGCTGTCTGTAAACTTTCTGCAAATTAAGAAGAAACAGTCTGAAAAGTTCAACACTAAAGAGATAAGATTTTTTTTTAGCTTTATTTTTTTATTTTTTTAGGCTATCTAGGACAGTTGTAGTCACGTACACCAATGGTTCTTAACCTTTTTGAACGAATCGCCCCCTTGAGCCAATGAGGAAATTGTCATCGCCCCCCTCCCCCAACATAACCTCTCAATCACAACATAGGAAATAATTCTTCAATTTATGCAAACACTTTTTTTGTTTTCTTCAAAATTGTCATCAGGACATATCGATGCAAATAATTTATTTCCAGTCTTTTTCCCATATCTCCCATATTCTGGCCAAAGGTGCGCCACTGTATGGGTAGAGGCTGCTGCGCAACGCGCATGAAGATAAGCGATGCATCTTCACATATGTACGGCATTCTGTACTGAAGCTAGCTGGAGGAACATTTGAAAACACAATTCAATCCACTAATAGTGAGCGATCTGATGTTTTTGTACGACAGATATACAGCAATTCACTGTATGAAAAAGTCTCAAAAGTGTCCCCAAAACTTCTCTCTCCATCACCCCCATATCGCCCCCTTTTCGTTCCATTGCCCCCCTGAAAAATGAAATCGTCCCTTAGGGGACAATATCGCCCAGGTTAAGAACCACTAACTTACACGATTCTTCTTCAAGTTGGAAAGTTCATCAACTACAATTTTTTGCTCTTTAATCTGCAAGATGAAAAAAGGTCTCAATTCCATGAAAAATAAGCCCAAGATTTCTAAGCATAATTTGTAAACTAGCTTTTTAAATCTACCTAACACACACACACACACACACAGACAGACATTTTAAAAAAGTAAAATAAACATCTTATTTACATGTATCAAGTTTATTCCATCATAAAATCTGATGAAGTGATGTCTATTTAGAAACTCTTGTGTAGGCTTCTTACCATCTTCTTCACGCAGAAGAGTCAAGGAACATGCAAATAGGAGATGGCCCTACTAAAATAGATTGAGCTATCTGGCGGATAGCTTCTTCTATATTGCTTGCAGCCTATAGAATTTACTTCTTCAGGAGCTATGGCTTAGTTTCCACTGCATTCAGAAAACTTTTAAAGGGCCATCTTTTCACCAACCATTTAACTTTCAATTGCCTTATAATTCACTTGAATAATCACATGAGTAGAAACACAGAATTTAATTCAGATAAATATACATTTAAGTCATTCCAATAAATGGTATTTTATACAGAAATACTTATATCCCAAACATGGTTAAAATGATTCAGTCAACAAGAAAACTTAGTTAGAGACTGCATCCACTATAATTAAAATATAAAGTTTTAAAGCTCAGATTTTAAGACACTTATTATCATTATCACATGGATTCAGATGACAAATCTATTTTCCCACATCCAGCAATTTTTTTTCATATTCACCTATAATTTTTGCAACAAGCCAAACCGAAGATATTTTAACTCTCCAGCTTCAGCAAGGAGAAAAAATGCATACTTTTGACAGTTTCTACAAATTCAAAATAATCCAAACTGTATTTCCTTGTTAAAAGGAGCATCCCCTTTCAGTGAGAATTGCTTTTTTAAAAGAACAATCATATTTTTAAAGAGAAATTATTATTTTAACAAACTACATTAGGTTGCATATAAGCCCAAGTCTAATGAAGCCTGATCCTTAATGTGTGTTTAGCATATTAGTTTTGGGCTATAAAACTGTTGGTATCGCTAAACAGGATTCCTTTCTGAAAGTTACTCTGTCGCATCTTGTAAAAAGCATAGTTTAGTGCTATTTTATCAAGATTCTACAATCAGCATTTACAGATGTACCTTGTCCATATTAGTGTCTCTCATTCTTATAATTTCACTCTTTTTCCACTGACCTTTCTGTTCAGCTCTTCTTTATCAGGCAACTTTGACCCTTCCCCCCCTTCCCCTAGTAGTGCCGGGCTTGACATCTGCTCCTGTTGACTGGTCAGAAGAGCCCAGGTTCTTTTTCGATGCCAGATATAATCACTTACTGCTCCTTTGACAGTTTAAAGGTGACAGGATCTCAAGACCTGAAGAAAGCAAGAAACCAGAGTAATTCTCCAATGACATTCACAGCCAGTAGCCAATGCAAAATCTCCATATAAAGGAAGAGAGCTGCACGTCTTTTGTGAATAGGTGTGGTGATAAAAGTACCCCTCCCATATGCATTTGAGCTGCTTTCACAACCAAACCTCCAAGATATCCCCGTCCCAATTCTTTTGAGCTGCTTGAAGGAACAGTGTAAGAAAACATTCACAGCAAGCAGCGTTCACCCTTAGAAGTGCCAGGAGGAAGAATGTATCAGGAACCTGTGGCTGAGGAAACCACATTGTTACTATTTACTGACTATATTCCAAGTATAGCACCTGCCATACTTGGAAGGGATAAATAATATGGGATAAAATGAGGACCCAGATTGTTGGGGGCAATGTAAATATATATATATATATATACATTGCTTACTGGTGTACACCGCTTAGAGAGTGCTTGCACTTAAAGTGGTATATAAGTCTCATAAATAAATAAATAATATGGTCAGCCAGATAGGTTTATCTCACATATTCCAATGTCATGCTGTAATTTACATTATGTCTGCCTTTTTCTTTGTCCTGCCTTTATAATGTAGTAGGCCATTATCAATAATAGCCATTACCACTAGTTATATACAGTATAAGCCTGTATACATTCTGCCTTTGCTCAGGGCTGCCAACACACTGCCAAGGCTCAGCTGGGAGTCCAGGAAATACTGTTTTATTGACCACACGCCGATATAATTATGTTGCATCTTCAAAATGATGTAGATGCTTTATGGGAGCCAAATTTTGAGCACAACATAGGTGAGCATTGTCACTTCTTTTTCTATATATTCTTTATATTCTCTACCCCAGCAATATGAACTGATCCTCAAATCCCAGCTTAGGCATGAGAGCTGGCTGGGTGTCTTTGGGCCAGTCCCCTCTCTCAGCTCACCTCAGAGAGTAGTTGTTGTGGGGAAAATAGGAGGAAAGTGTATTAGGTATGTTTCCAGCCCTGACTTATTAAAAAAATAAATAAAGGTGGGATATAAATAAATAAATTAAATAAACATCGGACTCAGGATCAGAGAGGTCCAGGTTCAAATCTATTCTCAGCTATAAAATTCTTAGGGTGATTTTGAGCAGTTCACTCCTTCTCAAGCACCGCGTGGGGTTGCTGTTTCAGAAAACACCTGTAAGGAAAGGCATCCTTGGCCCAGCATGTCCTCATCAGCCCCATTAAAGAGGCCTCTGAAGGGGTACATATTGTCCATTCTTGGTTTACACGAGGCCAAGGAAGTAAGCGACTCACAGCAGGTAAATCCACCCTCAACCAGAAACTTTAGAGCAGGGGTAGAAAATTATGGCCCCTTTATGACTTGCAAACTTCAACTCCCAGAATTCCTGGAGTTGAAGTCTATAAGTCATAAATTAAGGACCATAGTTCCTCCGCTCCTGCTCTAGGGTATCTTCAGACTTAACCTCCCCAAAACAAGCTCCCTCCCACCGCTGCCCGCCTCTAAAAATTTGTAAAATATTAATCTGGTTATTTAATTCTCGCAGACATACGCACAATTTTAGTCCACCCTGCTGCCACGCTCGTCTGCTTCTCCTGGAGACTTTGAAGCAGAAGCGATTGAATGACCACACTGATTTTGATTGGGTGCGCGATATGACGAGCACGCCTTTCGACCACTGAAGTGAAGCTGGCGAAAACTGGAGCACGAGATGCGAAGAGGACTGTGGGAAAAGGCCGGCGGGGGCGGGGCTTAGTATGTTTAGCATAGATTTGTTACAAATAGGATTGACTCATATCCTAATTGATATAGTGTATGATTTGATTTTTTTTGTTTATCCAGACAGTCCTATATCCTATATGGAGGAAGTCAGCAAATCAAAAATGCTGTTTAAGACTGATGATGACACTCAAACTATAAAATTTGGAGAATAATTGCATTTTCGTATTGAGCGAATTGCTTATCTTTCTTGTGGGAACCCCATTTTTGCAGTCACAATACTTTTCTATTTCCCATCCTTGCTCTAACTTAAATGTTTTGGGGTGAGTGTTCGCCTTCGAGTCAGTATTGAGTCCTGGCGACAAATCCTTGTAACTTTCTCAGCCAGATTTTCCGAAGTTGTTTGCTTTTGCCTGCTTCTCTGAACTGAAAGAGAGTGACTGATCTAGGATTACCTAGCTGGCCTTTTTTGTGCCTTTTAATCATTACACGAAACTAGCTCTTAAATGCATTTAGTGTATGCAATGGTTTTAACGTATGTAAGATAGCATGTCTTTTGAAACAATTCATAGAACCCACAAAATTAATAACAAAGCATTTTTTCAACTTACGTTTTAGTTCCCTAAGTTTTATTAGCCGATGTACTCAACTGAGCCCGGAACTATTGCGAAAACAGAGCAGCTTCGATTCAAATAGGAAATTTGACACAGGCTGGATACACTACTACACTATACAAACTTTTCTCTATAAGTCATCTCGGACAACCTCTTCTGCAACTCAGCGGTGTCGCTCTACACTGCCGTAAATCCATAGTTAAAGCCTTTGCATCTTAAATTGCAAGTCGGGGGAATCACTAACGTTACAAAGCTATGGCAAAACTTTGCGCAGATGTATTTTCCTATGCAAATGTCTTGCTAGCCAAACTCAAATTACCTTTCACACCAACCTCCTCAAGCAAACCTCCTCCGTTTTCAATATGACCCCTCCCCAAGCTGGGGCAAGAGAGACACTCTGGTAATCTAATCCCTCTCTATGTATCAGTACTTTAATCGGAAGCTTGAAACGATAAGCAACAAAATGGAACTCGCCCCACCTTCACTTCCTTTATAGGAAAGGAGGACAGAATACGATAGAGCTGCAGGAAATATTTTAGCTAGAGAGATTGCGGCTGTTCCTAGATTTCCTGGAGGGGAGGGACATGAAGGTTAGAGGTCGGCTCGTGTGGAAAAATGGTGGCGCGGGAGGAACTCCGCGTGGTTCGCTGCGGCGGGAGCTGGTTGAGCGGGTGTCGCGCGGTGTTTTCTGCGGATTCGAAGTTAGTAGAATTCAGAGTTGAAGAGTTTTTTTCTTTTCTCTTAGGCGGCGAGTTTCCATTACGCGAAAAGCTGCGATTACAGGAAGGATGGTGTTTATTTTATTGACATGTACCTGCGCGCTTGCAATACACTTGTATATAAAATGCTTACACTTATACATTCTGCAGACATATAAGCGGGAATATTCAACTGATTGTAGTGGTATGTCTTTTCTGAATAGATGGTCGGGTTATATGCTGTTGATATCTTTAGGCAACTGCTTTTGACCTCCAAAAATTTACTCCCTCTTTAGATGAATTTGCAGTCGGTAATGTCACTTCAAAAGGAGAAAGTGCCATAGGATCTGCAGTTGGAATGTGGCTTCCCTTTTATTACGATTCGTGCTGTAATCTTTAGTTTTTCTGAATAGAGAATCTAGATTTAGTTCTCAATTAGATCCATATCTATAGAAATTCTCAGGCATCCAGGTCATAGTTGTCCCAAAGATGCCTTTTCAAGAGGCAACAACTCTGAAAAAGCACCTTTGGGATTCTCAGTTAGGTCAATATGTTTGAGCATGTAAAAATAGACACACAACCCTTTTGTTTTCCTGTAGACTAAGGACATCACTTCTTTGGGATTTTGGCTTGTAAATTTCAGGTGGTGGGCCTATATTTTGTTTTGTATTGATGTGAAATATAAAATAATACAAGTATATGAATCTTAATAAAATTATTATTGCTTCATAGTTATTGAAATACCTTTATCATGTATTCTGCTTTTGAATGAATGCACCCTAGGTTTAATACAGAGTTTTAGTGCTGATCTGTCACATAGTTTAGTAGATTTTGAGCACCTTTTTATTTTAGTCTTTTAGCTTTAATGTTAAAGATCTGAAGAATCATGTTCTAATTCTAATTAATATGCAGTATGTTGTTAGAATTACATAGATGCCTTTTAAATTATTATTTTTGAATCATTTACAGGTATCTCCTATGTGCTTCAGGTGACTACATTAAAGTCTATAGTACACTTACAGAAGAATGTCTACATATCTTACAAGGTCATACCAATCTAGTGACAGGAATCCAGTTGAATCCTCAAAATCATTTACAGGTTGTTATCGGTTTGATTAAAGCATTTTTTAACTTAATTCTTGCATGTCATTTCATTCAAACATCATTGGGTTAGACCAGACATGTCAAACTTGTGACATTGTGTGACGTATCGGAACTTTTTCCCCATTACCGGCAATGGTGTGGGCATGGTTTCCTTGTGACACGTCCAGCCTGCAGACTATCAGTTTGACACCCCTGGATTAGACTAACATATAAAGGGCTAATAATTGAAAATTGAAGTCTGCTGAAAGTAGGATTAACGATCACTCTAAATTTGGCTTTAACTTTTCACTGTCTATGGCTTTTACTTTTCACTATCTAGAAGGCTAAACTTTTGGATCAAATTGCTGGACATATATCAGTCCAGCAGCATTAACTTACTTGTTTCTTGTGCAGTTAAAAGTTCCATGCCATTTGAGGCCTGCACAATTTAAAACAAAATTAGGGAAACTCTTCTAAATTTTTTGGATCTCAATTTCCATTATCTCTGATGATTGAAGATTCAGCTAGGATCCCCCCCCTCTCCCGGGCTTATTTTTGGAGTAGGACTTGTATTAGGCCCACCCCCCAAAATCAGGCTAGGGCTTATTTTGGGGGTGGGTCTTATTTTCAGGGAAACACGGTATGTGCACATGATTTTTTAGCTAAATGAATGCTTTAGCCAATACATTAAAATTATCACATGCTATAATGTCATAAATATAGCAAGAGCCACTAGGAGTACTGAAACTCAACATTTTTTTCTACATCTATCTACATTGGAACTTATAGATAACTTCTTTTTCCCTCTTTCCGTACTAGCTTTATTCATCGTCTCTAGATGGCACTATTAAACTCTGGGATTTTATGGATGGAATTCTTATCAAGGTTTGTTCAATTTTCCTTTTCTTTAATCTTTTACACATCACTCATAATTTATGCTCACAGAGATATCAAATCACAGATTAATAAATAGATTTGTACCTAATGATGCCAAAAATACCCTTGCTTTCAGCAGTTAAATTAAGTAATATGCATTATCTATCATGGGATTATGTTAGGTGTGATTTTTGTATGATGGCCAGGTTATAATATGCCATTATCATGCAAGCCACATGTTAGCTAATGAAATCATTTACTGCACATGAAATGTAATCCAAGACATAATTTAAAGTATCAAACAAAATTTATCCAGAAATTCAAATGGCTCATAATGATCTTGAAGGATATGCAAACCTGGCTGTTCAGGAGGTTTTGGGGATTTGGGATGTTGTGAGCCTGTTATTTTTCAATATTGAGATATTGTTTAATGTCATCAATGTTCCAAATTTATATGTTTAGACAAATGTTCATATTAGTAGATGTTATTTTTTACTTTATTATTATTTTAACCTGATATATAGATGGCAAGTTTTTATGTTTTTCAGTGGCTTTTAAGACTAGAAAAAATAGTATATTATCTTTGGTTATGGTTGCTCAGTATGATTGTTATTACAATTTTCTTGCAGTAATTTCAGTTGTACTGGCATAAGAGCAACTATGTTTTAACCAAGCCAAACCAAAACAATAAACCACGTTGGGAATATGGGACAGGGAGTATTTTTTCTTGTTCTCCTACTTTCAGAAGCTGCTTGGAACTTAGGACAAATTGTATGTCTTGCCAGGATTTCATCTTGAGATTGGCTGAGACTTAATAGAGATATTGTGTTGCTGTGTTCTTTTCTTCCAGACATTTGTTGTTGGGTCTAAACTCTTTGCATTTTACACCCTTGCAAGTTTGGAGAATTCTGCGTTTATCATCATTTCAAATCCTAACGATGAAAAATCAGGTATGTTGTAACCTATGTCTATTTTCTTCTGTAGATCTTATGTTCTCGTAAACCTCTTTAAAACTTTGGTTAAAGAATGGAAGTCTAGGGTAAAATAAATTCACTGCTTGTGGCACTTTACCTCTTGTATTATGAAAAATAAAAGTAGGTATGTATGAGCTCTCTTACATTCTCAGAATTACTGACTTTATTTTAAGGTTATTTTCCTCTCCCCAGCTCAGGATTGCTAACTATTTGACAGGATTTTTAGATGTATACTTGTGGCAAGTTGCAAAAACAATATGAAGCGCTGCGATTGAATGCTAATAATTTTATTATGATGTTTTTGTAAATTAGTGATCTAAAAAGCAACCTATCAATGTGATGTTCATTGACTTTCCATGATGGGTGAAATGAAGGAGCATCATGAATTTATCCCAAAACTGAAGCCAAAGTAGATTTTTCTAAATGTAGCTCCAATTCTTTATCTCTCTAGAGAGAATTGGGAGATGGGGAGAGCAGGTTAGGAAAAATTTCTCTTATGAGTTCAGTGAATGTGTTCTATAATTCAAGCCATAGGAGAAAATGATTTATGCATTGTACTAAAATGCTGTTTAATTTTGATTCAATATTATATGTGAATCTGATTGTTATTCCTTAATCAGCAAGCCATGATTAAATTAATATCTTACTGTCAGCTCGTATCCATTTGTACCAATTTATTAATAAGAAATATTTATTTCACCAGATACGTTTCAACTAATGACAGTGAAACTTCCAAAAACACCCGATCAAGAAGTAGAAGCCAATGAACTAGAAATGGTTTTAAATGGTGTAAGCCAGTCGCCCAAATGTACTGCATTTGGAAGAGATGTATGTATACTTTCTTTATTGTTATGCTGTAGCAAAAATGGCTGATCCTGTGGAGATGGGTTAGTGGCTTGGTAATTCCCTGTTGTCACTTATGGGAGGACACCATCAGTCATCCCACTCTTTTCCAAAATCTGTGCTGCCTTTTTGATGATCAAATGGTCAAAAATTAAAAGTTTTTTTTTTTTTTTTTAAAAAAAGCCACTACTTTCGGTCAGGTAGTGCATGGCTAGCTGAGGAATTCTGAGAGTTGAAGTCCACGAATCGTAAAGTGGCCAAAGTTGGGGACCTCTGAGGTAGTGTATAGGCAAGGGACTAGAGTTTTTCAGGCTTTTGTTCCCTCCTTGGGAGGTAAACCAATTTCATCAAAAATAAACAAGATGAACTCTGTAACAATCTATTTTAGTTTTAAATAAATGCAATTCTCCAAGTAGACCAGAAGATGAATGGATTTCTGAGTCTACTGTCTGGCAAGGAGGATACCTGCGTAACATACACATTATACCGAGAAATGTTTGGGGTAATCAGGCTCCAGATCATTCTTTTTATCTCTCTGATTAGTCTGCTGCAGGAGAAAAGCAAAAGTTTGGGCACCTATCTATGACACGGGTGATAAAAAAATAGATGGCCTGTTCAGGGAGTCAACAGTGCTTTATATGTCTCAGTTCAGCATACATGCTGTTTCCTTTCTTCCTTCCCCAAAGTTCCTTCATGGTAAACTTTATAAATTACAGTTTTTTTTCTTGACTAAAGCCTTGCTCCCTGTCCAGTTTGTGATGTGGAAACGGTTCATTTCAGTGACAGCTGAGTTGCATTATCAAACATGTAACCGCTTGGTGTTTTTAACAATGGAATGAGTAGCCTAATGATTTCCAGATGTCTTGTTCTACAACTTCTACGATCCGTTATCATGTATCATAATGACTGAGGCCGATGAAAGCAGGTCCAAAATATTTGCAAGGCACCAGGTCGCCTCCCGGTGCATGAAGTCACTTTTCGGGGGTTGCTTTAAATTAATGGGCTTCCCAACTGTTCTAATTATTTTTATAGTCAAATGAATGTTTTGATCTTGACAGGCATCTTGATGTAAAGATTTAAGATCTTGACAGAAAGTAAATCCAAGTTCATACCTGGCCCCAAGCTATATTTTTCCCTTGATTTTGGCTTATTACAATTTATGCACTCATCCGTATATTCTAAAGCCCCGGTTCGCAACTTAAAGTGGTATTTTCAACAAATTGCTTAAGCAAAGTAAGATGTAAGTTGAAGCTGGTTGAAATCTCCAACTATATTTTCATTATGACAGGGTGAATATGTAGTATCAGTCTGGAAGCTTCGTCTTGTTGTTTGTTTCTTCAAGAAGAATAAGATTTACAGGTGAGAATTAAAAGCATAAGTTGACTACTGTGTAATATCCAAAGCAATATGAATCAGTTCTTCTTTACTTCCTCTTTTGGCTATAGAGGGATGAATCTGTTGATTTGAGTTTTTTAAAAAAAGAACATCCAATTCGGGTTTAACCAGTTAATTCAGTGTTTCTCAACCTTGACAATTTTAAGGCATGTGGACTTCAACTCCCAGAATTCCACAGCCAGCATTGCTGGCTGTGGAATTCTGGGAGTTGAAGTCCACATGCCTTAAAATTGTCAAGGTTGAGAAACACTGAGTTAATTGATTAGATTTTCTGTAAGGATGTGTGGCTACTACAAATAAAAACTATTTATAAACCAGTAACGAAAGTGCTTTTTTGAAGTTTCTGGCTTCATCTTTAAAGCCATGAATGACAAGGGGGCAGGATACTTGTCTCCCTCTGAGGATGTCTTCCTGTTCCAGCAGGTTGAATAGGGTGAGCATGGTCCAGGTTCCTTCCCTTGAATATTTCTGCCTAGTGCAGGGGTAGGCAACCTTGGCTCTTTTATGACTTGTGGACTTCAACTCCCAGAATTCCTGAGTCAGCCTGGCTCAGGAATTCTGGGAGTTGAAGTCCACGAGTCATAAAAGAGCCAAGATTGCCTACCCCTGGCCTAGTGGGGCCTAGGAGTGTGGCTTTTCGATAGCCAGCCCTGTCCTTTTGCAACACCCTTTCCCCTTAAAATTTGACAGGCCCCTATCCTGCTGGCCTTGTGAAAACCTAGGAAGAGGTTTTTAAAAGAAGGCTTTTAACACATCCTTACTATGTATAGGAGATGGAGCCCTGGGAAATCTTATGTTTTTTTTTTTCCTAGGTGTGTCAGGAGCATTGGGAGATTCTTTGTTGGATTTTAATGGCTTGTTTTTATTGTTTTATTATTGCTTATAAGCTGCCCAGGATTCTGATTCGTAGGATGGATGTATATATAAAACTTTTAAATAAAAATAATTTGGCGATCCAGAAATGTATTCTATTGTAATAATATGAATTTGTTTATTTGTACTGCCCATCTTGCCTAGAGGCAACTTGTTGCGAGTTGTTGTTATGATTTGCTTTAAATAACAACATGCAATTTGAAAAAAAATGCAAAAAGATCAAATTCTTACCACTATTTGGTTGGCCCAGATTTTAAAGGTTTCTGTGGATATTGAGTAAGCATTTTCTATTTTGGCTTCTTAGAATTCTTTATTAGAAGAGAAAGAGGTGGAAAGGTCAAGTATCTTTCAAACTCAGTCCTTAAATGTTCCAGAATTTCCAGTCCATTCAATTTCTGTAGCTGGTATAATTGATTTCCATCCAGGACAGCAATGAAAGAGAAAGGAAAATAGATTAAGGGAGAAATTAAAAAGATATATATGTTCTTCTTCATAGAATCCATTCCTACCTCCCAAACCTTTTGAACATAGGAGTGTCAAATAATTAAGTTGGAAGATGGCTGGACTCCTGAACACCAAGCAAATGAAATGCATGTCAAAATAGATACAGAGATGGCAGAAATATTCTGAATCAGTTTCTGAATAGACTTCAAATGGTAGTCTCATGTAGACGCTATTGCAGTCTTCTACCTTTGTGTTGTTACATATGCTGCATTCTGGTTAGGAAATGGCTCTTGCAGATAGCATTTTAATTTTGTTAATTTCTTGGATAATTCTGCTTAATAGCTGCAACTAACTAAGTTCTAACTTTTATTTTTGAAGTTTCTCTATAGGTAAAAATCTTAGAAATGCTTCAACCAGCTATTTCACCTGTGTAGCCTGTCACCCAAAGGAAGACTGCATAGCAAGTGGACACAAAGATGGCAAAATTCGTCTTTGGTGAGGCAAGCATTTGTTATTCTTGGGATTGGCAGCTGTTTCTAAGCACATACTTCCTGAAAAATGTAAGGTCAGAGTAATAACCTCTGGCCACCAGTATACCCAAGTGTATGGCAAAACTGTATTGCCTAGAATAGATCAAGGGTGTCCAACCTTTTGGCTTCCCTGGGCTTCATTGAGTGAAGAGGAGTTGTCCTGGGCTGCATATAAACCATATATAGTTAAATGTATATAGATAGCAAACCTCCATTATGGTCTTGGGGCTACATTACTAGTTGTCCAGGGCTGTACGCAGTCTGCAGGTTGAGTGTGCCTGGTCTAGAGCTTGGTAAAAAGCTGTTTTCCAATGAATTCAATGCAGATTGCAAGATGGCACTGATTTATTGCAAATTAAGAAAAATGTCACTCTGAAGAGATTGGAGGGGGATTCAATCCATTACAGATCACAAGATTATAAATAAAATTAATACTGTCAAGCCCAGCTTGAAATACCACATTGCCAACGGGCTTGTACAGAGAAATAAAACCTTAAACGAGCCTTGACAATAAGCAGCATAGTGCTCATTCTTGGAAGACTTGTAGCAGATGTTTCCTCTGATAGTAGATTAAATGTATTAACGTTCCTAAATTTTAATCAGAGGCGATGATTATCCTTCATGGGAATGTGGATTAATAATATGGTATGAGGCTGCATTCAGAACATAACAAAGGAAAGATTTTTTTTTTTCAGAAGGCTGTCGCAATTAGAGGACAGTCTTCTAGCAAAGAATTCAGATTTGCAGGGATATTGTAGTTAAAACTACTTATCTTAAGTGATGGGACTTGCTTTGAGATCATCCTTGGGGCTAATGACAACAAATGTATGCAAAGCTATGCAAATTTGATAAATCAATGAATGATAGCAGGAGGCGTTCGGTTCTTAATCCAGATGTTTTCTATACGTAAGGGAAAAAAATGAAATAGTTTTTGATGGCATTGAAAAAAGCATACATTTCATTATACCAGGGGTCTTCAAACTTGGCCCTTTTATGACTTGTGGACTTCAACTCCCAGAATTCCTCAGCCAGGCACGCATGCCTGGCTGAGGAATTCTGGGAGTTGAAGTCCACAAGTCATAAAAGGGCCAAGTTTGAAGACGCTTGCATTATACGTTTGGATACACACTTGATTCAAAACACTAATCGAGAATGAAATAGAAAGCTGGTATGCTTGTTACAAGGCACCATGTTCTAGCACATTTGTTTTACAACAGTGTCTTTGGACCCAGAAAGTTCCTTGGGATGGGATAGTTTAAAAAATGTCTAGATGGAGGCTTTTGTTGCCTTTGGCAAATGGCTCTTTATAACTGGTCACATCCACTGTAACACTTATTTTGTGAGTAGACATGTCTCTCATGACAACTATTTTGTATGTGACAGAGGTGTGCTCTCAAAATTCCAAATCTGACCCATCCCTGAGCAATTGTCTTCTGTACTCTTCTCTGAGTCAAATGTAAAGGTTTTGCTTTTCAAAAATGCTTATTACTTAACCCTTTACAGTAGTTTATACCCAGGCAAGTGATACACCTGTGAAAGCAGATATGTGTTTTCACCTATATTTTCTTTGGTAGGAACTAGGGATAATGTAAAAAGTAAACATTTTTACTTTGCAAGCTTAAGAATTAAAAATATGTAGCCCAGATGCCTTCAGCTTAAGTGTCTTTGGATACATAGATTTCAGTGTCCTCAGTTCTCTGTATTGGCCACACTGGCGGGCCAGAGAGAGAAATTCACACCACTGGATTGGGGAAAGGTTGGTTTAACACTTGACCAAGTGATTTGTATATTAGCTCCTCTTTAACTCTTGAGAAGTTAATAGCAATTCAATGTGTTTTTTATTCCTACAGGAGAAATTTTAACCATAAGAGAGAATATACATTTTCTACAATGCACTGGCATCACAATGAAGTTATCGATCTTGCTTTCTCTGTAGAAGGTAAAATTGCCCGAGTTATGAAAGCCCAGTTTTAAGAGGGAATATTTTGGGGTATTCTATATGCTACTAATCTTTTAAGCATACACATTTTGATGACCGGCAAATATGCAGACTGCTGAAAATGTAACACAGAAGCATCAAACATATGAGAAAAACAGTTTGATATGCTAAATACAGGTAGTCCTCAACTTATTACCATTCGTTTAGTCACCGTTCAAAGTTATGATGAGGCTGAAAAAAGTGACTTATGACCACTTTTCACACTTACAACAATAGCAGCATTCCCATGGTCACGTGATCAAAATTCAGACGCTTAGCAACTGACTCATATTTATGACGGTCGCAGTGTCCCGGGGTCATGTGATCACCTTTTGCAACCTTCTGGCAAACAAAGTCAGTGGGGAAGCCATATTCACTTAACAACCACGTTACTGACTTAACAACTGCAGTGTTTCACTTAACCACCGTGGCAAGAAAGGTCATAAAATGGGGCAGAAATGTTGGGTTCCATTGTAGTTGTCAGTCGAGGACTACCTGTAAATCTATCAAAGACGAGGTTTTAGAAATGGTTTCACAGCAAAAACAGAATCAAGGTTATGGGTTGATTAATGGCAAGGTAATAAAATGGTTATGCCTGTTTATATCAGGGTATGTAAACAGGGAAGCTGAGCCATTCCCTAAGTAGCTGGGGGAAAATCAGCTGTCTCTGTTGGAAAATTCTGGACCTTGCCAAGCACTTGAGGTGGCCTCTGTGGTGTTTATTTTATTCTTGGCTTCTTATTTGAACAGGAAAGAGGAAGAATTTTGCTGTGTGGCAGCAGAACATATTTTTCTGCTAACGTAAGCAAAGCGTTAAGGTTTGGCTTGAAAATCCTGCTTCTTACGTGAAAAGAAAAACCTTAATCCCTTGTTAAAGCAAATGTTAACCATAGCATTATAGAAGTTGAATTTTGGTTTGTGAGACCTGTTATATACAGAGATAAAAAGATATGCTCATTATACACCTTTCCAGCAGGACATTTATCATACAGAGAGCTGGCACAATTTGGAGGGAGTCAGTTCACTGAGCTCATTCCTCAGTCATTTTGTGCAAGATTGTGGTCTTATAGCCCTTTTTATTTCCACTTAGTATGACAAGTCCTCATAGGATCCAAATACTTGTACTGGCTACTCAGCCAGAGCAAGAATTGGCTTTACTTCTTATTAGCAATGGCATAAATGTAAAACAATTTAAATCACTGGAGTACATTGAAAACAATTGAGAACCGCTGCTCGGTTATTCTTGGCTTCTTATTTGTTATTCTTACTGTAAGTTATTATAAGTTATTCTCTTATTGGTTGTTAATAGATTCATCCGCCCTCTGACTCATTTTTTTTTTCCTTTTGTTTGGAACAACAGGCACTAGCCTCTTGAGTGGTGGGATTGAATCAGTGCTGGTTCAGTGGCGAGATGGGTCAGATGCTAAAAAGGAATTCTTGCCTCGTTTAGGGGCCACAATACAGCATATCTCTGTCTCACCTGATGGAACTCTTCTTTGTACTTCACATTCCGATAACAGTAAGACCAGACCGGGAAGATTTGTCATTGTTTTTTGGTTTTACATACGAAATTTATTATAATATACGGGTAGTCCTCAACTGGTCGTTTAGTGACCCTTCAAAGTTACAGCAGATTCCCCCCCCCCATTACTTGGTCCAAAAATTATGGCTGCTGCAACTCTGCAGTGGGGGGCTGTTGGCCTCCAGATATTTTGGAGTCCAGTTTCCATAACTTACTGTGCTGATTAGACAACCTAAGCTGACATCTATCAAGCTCTGATAGCTACATACACCCGATCCATGTTGCACAGGAGGGAGTTAGCTACTTACAGTGACTTACAGTACAAAATGGTCCTGCTACCTTATTTTAAAGTAATTTTAATTTTGAACAGCCTTCAAGAATAGCTACACATTACAGTGGACTACTTTTGAGGTCACCTGACATTTGATTATCTTCAAAGCCTTATCCTAGAACAGGGGTGTCAAACTCGCAACGTGACGTGTCGTGATGTATCACGACTTTTTTTTTTCCATTGCTGGCAATGGGGTGGGCACAGTTTTGGCATGACGCATCCGGCCTGTGGGCCGGCAGTTTGACACCCCGTCCTAGAAAGAGGTTTGCTGGCCTCTGTGAAAGCTGCTGAACCAAAGTATTGTCGGTTGCTGCTTCAACCAAATTGTTCCAGGCCCAATTACAGAAATGCTACCAAGATTTAAACAGCCCTCAAAAGCAAGCTCTTCCCCCCCCCCCCAATAGAAGTATCTTCTGATCTAGCAGATATTCTGAATTGTCCAGTTGTAGATGATAACTTTTCTCTACCTTCTGTGAGCCTTTTTTTTTCTTACGTTTATTAACTTCTTTTTATACACACAGAGATAGTAATCATACATAGCAACCTGAAAGTTTCTGCAGTAATTCAAGGATTAATCAAAGGTATGTAGGGTAAAAGGTTTGGGGATGGGGGGGGTGGGGGTGGGGATGGAATTGTGTTTTGTGTTTTAGGAAAAAATGGCATTCTGCTTCAAACCATTTTTTTTTTATTTCAGGCAGTGATGTCAAGACTGGTTTGATAGTTGATCCAAGAACGAAAGCTTTGGTTCTAAATGGCAAGCCTGGACACCTGCAGTTCTATTCACTGCAAAATGATAAATTATTGTACAATGTAAGTTAAATTAGTGAATATGTGATAAAACCTTGTAAATTCAGGGAAGTTGCTAGTTTACAAAAGAGCTTGTGTTTCCATTCAACCAGTTGAGAAGGAAAATACCCAATATTGACCTCATAACAGGCTGAAAAAAATATATTTTATTAGGTAAATTAATATCAGGGAACTAGAACTGAGCAGTAGGTTTCTCTTCGTCTAGTCAAGGAGATAGTGGAAAAGAAGAAGAGACTCCAAGGTTGCTAATGGGTTGTTCTAATTACTTACCAGACAAGTTGTTAAATATATGCCTTTTAAATGCCATCCTCAAGGTACTCAACAAGGCAGGGTGAGCAATACCTTGGTGTTGTGGGAAGGATTTTTTGTGTGAAAATTAAGCGAGTTGTCTCTGTATGGGGTAGCCATAGAGTTGTGTGATGACGTGGATTGGGAGTGGGGATGGTGATGTGATAAGGTGAAGTACTGAACTTCAGGATAAGCTTTGCTGACGTTGGAAAAGGCCACGTGATAGGGGGGCAAAAGGTAGACTCTGTCATACATAAGTAGAAGTCACTAACGCCATTAGGATAAATGGATAATGGGCTTAAAGAGAATAAAGTCTCTGAGTTTCTATACAGAAGCAAAGAAATATGGTGATATCAAGTGATGTTGATGGTTGAGTTATACATAGAGGTATGCAAAAGCTTTGAATGGAAGCCACTGAAAAAGCATGGTAAAGGACTGTGTCCTTACGAAAAGACAAGCCCTTTTATTTATTTATTTTTTTAAAAAAATCAAAATACACTTTACAATTGCATGAGAGTAATAGTTATATATCCTCTTATTTTTACTCTAGAAAGGATAGTAAGATAATTAGTGGATTGTATGTTTTCATGCAGAATGTTCAGCAAAGCCTAATTAACAAAATTAAGAAGCTGTAGACAATAGGAAAGTAGTTCTAACACTACTAGTTTGAAGAGATGAGCCTGAATGGATCATGGGCTAAGGCAGCTTCATATATATATATTCAGTCTTCTTCCAGCTGATTGTATGTACTTGTTTCAATCTTTCTGAAGGCAGTGTTCTATTATATCAGTGGTTCTCAACCTGTGGGTTGGGACCCCATTTGGGGTCAAACGACCATTTCACGGGGGTCGCCAAACAACACAGTCCGCCATTTTTTCCCCCTTTTCTTTAGCTGTGCTACTCCCTTTTATTCTATTGGCTTTTGAAAGCCAACAGAATAGACTCTCTTGAATAGAGTCTAATTCTATTGGCTTTCAAAAGCCAATAGGAATTGTCCAGGCTGTCTCTGCCCTGCTGAGCCCGCCAAAAGTCCCATTCTGCAAACGGTGCTGCACCAGTTGAGTAGTCCTCGACTTACGACCGGTTGAGTAGTCCTCGACTTACGACCGGTTCGGGATCGCGGCATTAAAAAGGTTGAGAACCACTGTATTATATCATTTTATGGTGTTTTGGGGATAGGAGTGGCAACAATACATATTTTCTAAAAAAACAACAACCAATAAACGATAAAGAGTAAAATATTAAAAAACCTGGATAGATAATTGGAAATATGCCCCTTTCTGAATGGTAATGATGACAGAACTGATTTCAATGTCAGTGGCAATTTATTTCACAGCATAGACAGCATGGCAATTTATTTCACAGCAAGAAGTAGAATTAACTGTTGCTGTTAAGTTTGTAAGTGAAAGACTTGCAAAAAGTATTCCAGGGAGGACTGGAAGTATGGGATTGCAGATGTATACTATTTGCATACTATTTGTGACTAAGACTTTGTAAGTTAGTTTTGCATATGGTAACTATGTTTTTCACTTGAAAACATCTATAATTCCATCCATAGAATAATGGCAAAGTAAATTATGGCTCCAAGACTTGATGTATTTTCAAATACCCTTACATATGAAAAACAAATAAGAAGAATTCAGCTTGGAAACTATTAATGAATTTTAATTCTACGTAAGGATGGAATTCTTTATAAAAAGTTATATTGTAACTTTTTGCTTTGACTTAAGAATCATATAAGATATTGTAGTTAATTATTGATTTTAGTAACCTAAAGTTCTCAGTTGATACAAGATACTTTAATGTATAGCATTAATCTAATGCTATTTTGAAATTTTAATTTAACCTTATGCTTGTTTAACACAGTGAAAGATGAGGTGAAATGACCACATGTTATTATTAATTAAATTATTTAAATATATTGGCCGCCCAGCTCCAGCGGACTCTTATTGGTGTACAAAACTAAAAAAATGAATAAACCACTAGAAACATGAACATATTAAGCATCAACAAATTGAAATGGGCTGAAATTGAATACTTTCATCAAAGGGTCGCATTGTATACAACGTAAGACATGCAAAATAACAGAGATCATCCAAAATTTTGATCTTACTGACCGAGCAATATAATGGAATGAAACAACTGTTCATTTTTATAAAGAACGCCAACTACAGATGGCTTGGTAGCAAACCCTAAAGAATGGTGTGAATGCATTTTGGTATCTATGTCTCCTTTACTCACCCTAACTTTAGGTTGCCTCCTTCCTTGTACAGGTAGTCCTCAACTTACGACCACAATTGAGCCCACCATTTCTGTTGCTAAGTGAGACGGTTGCTAAGTTCATTTTGTCCCATTTTTACAACCTTTCTTTCCACAGTTGTTAAGTGAATCTGGCTTGTCCATTGACTGCTTGTCAGAAGGTCGCAGAAGTCGATCACATGACCTTGCAATTTACGACATTGCAACCGTCATAAATACGAGTCAGTTGCCGAGCATCTGAATCTTGATCAGATGACCATAGGGGATGCTGCAAAGGTTGGAAGGGTGAAAAAACCAGTCATAAGTCACTTTTTTTTCAGTGCTAACTTTGAATGGGTCACTAAACGAACAGTCGTAAGTCAAGAACTACGGATATTGCTTAGTTTAGAGAAGATTTGATATACCTCCTGCAAAGTCTTTTGTACTGATTTGCTTTTGACTTGCCTCCCAATGTACGTGAGCCTAAACAACTCTTTTGCCTCTCCCTCTTTCTGAAATGCCCAGCTGGATGTTGTGCAGCAGGAGTATATTCATCAGTCGGGTCTGGACCAGATTGACTTAATGAAAGCTGCATTTCATTCCAAAGGCGACTGGCTGGCTACTGTGGAACAACGGCAAGGAAGCGGCAGTGAGATTGAGATGCAGCTGAAGCTCTGGGCCTATAGTGAGCAGACCCAAAGGTAAACAGGTCTGAATTTGTGCTGGACAAAGGGAGTTGTATTCCTATAGTTTCTACCTTGCAGAGCAGACACATAACCCCGAGATCATTTTAAAGCATAGATTTTGCTTTTAGACATGGAGAATGAATATCAAGACTTCAAGTGTCTCAAGAGCCCAAGGACGGGTCATTTTTTTTTCATAATTGGCCTTTTTTACAGCGTTGTTTTGAGCCCCAGGGAACGGAGGCCCCCAGGGAAGCAGAGCAGTGACTTCACGACATAGTGCAAGTGGGCAGTAACATCGTTTATTTCAGGGAGAGATAGATTTTTGAGGAAAAAAAAATCTGTGATTTATGTGCTGAGCCTCCAATTAATCTTAACATTGTCACTCTGCATTCCCAGCTAAAACGGCCAAAGAACTGAAGTCCCAAGTTAACCTAGTGGGCATCAGTCTGGAGAAAGCTGGTATTCCATTTCTGATTTGTTACACAGGTTAACCTCGATAGGACTTGGATGGCAAGCATCTTCTCAGTGTTCCCGGTGTTTCAGCTACTTTTACATTCTGGCTTCTATTTTTGTACAAGTATAAATGTATATCATTTACCCTAAGTTGACCATGCTAATTATCAGCGGAGTACTTAGGAAACCGAATGATGACATGGAACGAGTGGCAACCTACCTTATTTCTCATTCCTATTCCATTTATATAATTAACATAATACAACAGATGGTTTCTGACAGTTGGGCAATTCCAGTGATATCTATAAATCACCTCCTAGATTCAATAAGTAGAGAGATGCCTTACAAGCCTTACATTGCTGTATCCTCTTTTTAATGTTCGAGGATATGAATTCGATAGAAGAGTATTAACTGTACAGGAAAGACACACTCTTCTATGAGGTCTGTTTAATGTAAATGAGAATGTTGAAACAACACTTCAAAATAAGGTAATGGCAAAGTTGTATGAATATTTATGTGTAATTCGTCAGGAGTCAAGCTCAACTCAGAGGCAACTACTACGTTTTATATCTTGATATATCTTTATAACCAGATCTATTTCTTATACTGACTATTTCTATCAGTGGTACAGTAGTATAGAATGCCCCACTTTTATTTGAGGATAAAAATGCAACACCATCAATTGGAAATTGTAATATCCAATAATTACATCATCCATTTACTTGATATGATCATTGTTCAGAATTAAAATATGTAATATATCAAGCCAGCATAATATGACAAGCCTTGAAGCCCATTTCCTTTATGAGAATACTTTAATATATACTTTTTTGATGTTAGCTTTACTCTAAACACACGAATAAATACACCACATGAGGACTGCATAACAGCGATGTGTTTCCGTGACACAGATGGCTCTGAAAATGTTACTCTGGTAACAACCAGCAATGATGGACACTTCAAGGTCTGGATGCTGCTGATGGATAAAGACAGTGAAAGTAAGTAAAATGGGGAGAGTAGCCTTCATTCATTTGCAACGTGAATAAAGTGTTCAGTTTGGGCTTTTTAATGAAATTAAGGAATTGGAGGAACAGCCGAGGATTGATTACAGTGCAAGGTGACCATTTCCTGGTTGGTTCTCTAAATCTGTAAAAGGCCATGCTAAAGGCTAAAGAAAAAAGGATCTTTATGACGTTTCTAAAACTCAGATAAGCAGCATGACTTACTTTTATTTTTCTGTTTCCTTCTGGAGTACGTACGTACGTATTTGTGTGTATTTGTATATGTATGTATTTAAATAGGTAAAAATTAGCTCTATGCAGAGAGACATGACTATGTCAGCTGTTCTATGTGCGGTCAAATTTGACCATTGGCAAACTTTGCAACTGGAATAAAATCATATATATTACAAGAGAAAAAGACTTTAGCGTAGCTGTGATTGAACTTCTGTGATTGATGGCAACTAGGATAGGATAGGAACTCTGTAACTGTAGTATTTTCTTACCCCTTTACATTCAATCATGAAAGCTTGCTAATCTTTATGGGACATTTTTGTGGAATTGTCAGATTTTTTTTGTTTCCCCCTTAATTTTAAGTTTCTGCATTTTTCCATGTGTAAAATACCTACTCTTGTAGAAAAGAGTGCTGTTTATACTTGAAAGTTATTTATGGTTTTCATAATCTGGGCATTTAAAGTGGCAGGTAGGAGCACCTATTTAAGAAGCATCTATCTTGCTATTTTGAGTGTTGTGTTTGAGCTTTTTTTGTTTGTTCGTTTCTTGATGTGGTATATTCAGATGTTGTATTAAATGTAATGTGTCTTTCATGACTCTAAATTCTCTCTTCCATGTGGTCTGAAAGGAGATGGATTCCAAGAAAAACTGCAGCCCTGGGCACAAATTAGTGATTGCAAATAGCTTATTAAGAAGCCTTTTAAAAGTGAAGTCTCTGGATTTATGTTTGCCTCAGGCAAACCTCTGCAGTTGTGGCTGGTAGCCTAGGATTTCTTTTGAACGAAGTGCCAGCAAAAATACAGTCACTTATATATGGCCGTGCTTTTTAGCAAGATTCCATTTTGTGTAGAAATAAACTTAAATAGCAAAGATTTGGTTTTTTCACTTTTTTGCTTGCCATGGCAAGTATTACTCCCACACAGTGGTCTCTTGGTTCAGAAATTTCTGTCTCTTGGATAGAAATATTCCCCAGCAATCTGTGGCTTTTCCTGCTTCAGAAAAAGAGAGAGTAACGTGCGGTTTGTGTGGAATTGATCCACTGGACTATCAACATGGACTAAGCTCTCCTTCTTCTGTTCCAGTGGAAAAAGAAAATGGGGTCTCGTTGGTCCCACATTAGTTTGATATTGCTCCATTGCAAAGAATTGGGAGTTTTCTTGCAAGGAAAGGAGCAAGTGGATACCTCACAAGCGAACCAGGCCAAATTTGTGAAATTAAAATTCTCCCATGATCTTTTCCATGCCATTTATATTCCTTTCCTAAATCCGTGTGCCTCTTCCCCAGCAGGTGAAAGCGTAACTTGGACCTGCGATTTTGTGGGCAGCTATCATAATTATCAAGCTACAAATTGCTGCTTCTCTGAAGATGGCTCTTTACTCGCTGTTAGCTTTGACAAAACGATCACCCTGTGGGATTCTGAAACGTGGGATTTAAAATGCACTTTCTGCCATCCTCCAGGGACTATAACGTATGTATTTTGTATGCTTGCTCTTCCGGGTCTTATAGCTTTGCTTATTTAGTATTTAAATGGCTTTTTAAAAAGTTCATTTGAAAAGTGTAATGTTGCAGTTTTCAAAAGTGAGTCTGAAATGCTCTTCTCAGCTTACAACCTGCCCTAATTAATTTTAGAACAGGATCTGACAATAGAGACAACAGTCTTCATAAATTAACTCATTTTCTGTGCCTGGAACAGCACATGCAGTATGTATAATTTTAGCTTAGATCAGGACCCTTTGGGTTAAGAATAAAACGAGGGAAGAGAGATAGCGGGGAAAAGGTTGAGATTAAAAAAAAATGTAAAATTGCTTTTCTATGAAACTAAAATGCGCATTGGAATAACAAGCAAAGTCATTGGGCCCTCTCTTGTATTCATTTCTGAACTTCCCGCAGCCAGTAAAAGGAGTCTGGTTAACATGAATGATTAAATCAACAATTCATTATAACTAAGGATTGTGGCTGCATTTGTGCTTCTCAGTAAATAGATCACCCTTTTGAAGTGTGAGCGCTTGTGATACAATATTCTTAAATAGGTAAATTGATGGCTATAGTTCTCAATGCCTCTCTGCCCTCAGTCGGCTTGAATTCCTCACGTTTGGTTGCTACCGCAGTCAAAGCCAGTTCCTCCTAATTTACTGTTCCGTCAGCAAGACAGTTTCTGAAAAGGTCTAAAATTGATCGTGACCTCCTGCCTGTCAGCACTTGCAGAGAGCCCTGTTATCTGAAATGGTTTCAACAGAACCGTTTGTTCGGAAGGTGCTCTTTTTTTCAAATGACTTCCTTGACCCTTTTTGGGTAAACATTTGCTTGATTGCTGTTAGTAGGCGGTTTGAATTGTACCGTTGTAAAATGGAATTTGTTCCCAGGTCTGTACATATAGTCACTGCTAGGACATGTAGGTTAAAAAGACCATAAAGTTGCTCAGTGGTGAAATTGGAAGGCTTTGGCTAACCTTAACTCCTGAACGTCCAGCTGGCCAGAACATCAGTGATGTCCTTCCTTTTGCAGGAACTTTTTCGATGTCCTTCTTGTTTACCTTTGTTCTCCAAACCACGATAGATAAGTTGCTGTTGAGCATACAGTATATCACTTTGAGGTGTATCTTTGGCCAGCATAAGAGTCTTATAACCAAATTGGAGAAATGAGTTTCTGAGATAGACCCTGGATAATGTAGAGGGGGGCATATTATGAAATATCTCGCTGAACTGGGGACGATCAGCTCTTTTTCCACCAGTTTCAATCCTGGATGCTGACGAATGTAGCAGTGAATGTTACTGGCGAGATTGGGAGTTGGGCAACTATTCTGACCTTTCCTTCCTTCCTTCCTTTAGGAGCCTATGCTTTGGGAGGCTCATTTCTTCCAAATATCTTCTTGGCACCACCAGCAGTGGCTTTTTGTGCTGCTGGAACTTGCTGAATTGTTCATGTAAGTCTTTGCTTTTACTTCTTGCCTCTTCTTTTCTCCCTCGGAATTTTATGCTGCAGTAACCCAATAGTTGAAAGAAGGGGTCCGTGCAAACAAAACCTTTTCAGTTTTCATTTCATCTGGGAAAAGAACATCCTTTTAGTACCGTATTTTCCGTCGCATAAGGCGACTTTCTAAAGCATGCAAATCGGCTCCGAAGTCGGGGGTTGTCTTATACGCCGAGTCGTCTTATACGCCGGAAATTACAGTAGTTTCCGGCATATAAGGCAACTTTCTAAGCATGCAAATCGGCTCTGAAGTCAGGGGTCGTCTTATATGCCGAGTCGTCTAATACGCCGGAAAATATGGTAAATGTTTAACAATAAATGGCAGGTTAATCCACTAGCACATGCCCTGGATTACTGTTACTAACTACCAGCTGCCTGCTATTATTAATTTGTGGTACATTTTGCCAAAAGATACTGAGTTAATCTGTGTCTTTTTGACAAATGGCCAAAATTTTTGTTCAGCTGAAAACTAAGCTGTTAAAGAGATGCATGAAGTCCAACTGTTAGAAGATCATTATTTATATAAATAAAAATGTAAATGTTCGTTTGTTCAAAATCTTAAATCTCCGAAAGTTCTTCACCAATTGCTTTGAAATTTTGACACAACGTTGCATTCGAATACGCACGTGTTTTTATATACTTACTAGATATCACACCTATAGATGTCACACCTGTGACAGATAAAAACATGCTCTTTTTGAAAAACAGCGCCGGCAAACCAAACAATCTCTATATCTGCACAGACAATGGAACAACAAAAAATATTGTATACCCACAAGCATTGTGAAATTAAACATATTACAAACGTGCGCTTTCTCTTTTCTTTCTTTTCCATTTAACCAGACTGAGCCACAGCAACGCGTGGCTGGGTACAGCTAGTACAAAATAAGATGGATTTTTTTATATTAAATACAAATTGAAATGAGTCATTTAGCATCAGCAAATTTATTCCGTAGTCTAGTTTAGGATGCTGTTAGTAATCCTGTCAGGAAGAGTTATTTCGTTAGTCTTACAACGAGGGAAACTCAATGCCACTTATATGCGGATAGCCTGCAGTGGAGTTGGGAGAGGGATAACTGCCTGTCCCCTTGCATTGCTCTCCTATAAATTCAGAGAATTGGAAGTTCTTCCAGAAGAGTTTTGAGGAGCTGCTGGAGAGGTGGGAAGAAAGACCTATTTTAGGAATAAATAAATGATTTACAGAAATCCAGGCAACTAAACAAAATCTGAAAGCCACAAGACAAAATATTCTAATAACCAAACAAGAGGAGGACCAGCAGAGTTGGGTGCCTCAGTAGAAAACATCCCATTTCCTAGCCCTGAAACATTGAGCAGGTCTCTCCTGACTACCTGAGAAGACTATGGTGTTAGACCAGCTGTCCCCAAACTTGGCAACCTGGCCGGGGGGGGGAAGGAGAGGGGAAACGGGGGGTGTGAGTTGGGAATAGGTCACGGCCTAGTAGTGGGCCACAGCCCAAGGGTTGAGGACCTCTCTGTTAAAGGGATCTAAATAGTAACCATTATATGAAAATTATGATTTTTTTTGTCTGTTTTTATTCTTGGCAAAGTGTAATCTGCCTTTGTCCTATGGATTTAGAGAAAACTAATTGTCTACTGGAGCACATTTTAATGTATTTTATTATTAAATAAAAGACTAATAGTAAATTATATGACTAGTTGAGTTCTAACGGTTCATGATTTCAAAATGTGAATCTATCAGGGTTATGCTTATCCCGTGCCACTTTGTATGGTCTCTCCTTTCCAGATGAACTAAACAGAATCTTTAGAGCTGATGGCGGCCAAAATGTGATTGATGGATTTCAGGACACTTTTTTGTTCTGTTGGGTAACCTTAGGCCAGCCATCATTGGGGAACACCCTCTTAGTCTCATCCCTTATGCAAACCCTACTCAAAATATTTTGAAAGTTGCATTTGAATTGAATCTGCCTCTCTTGCAAGTTGTGCCCTTCCTAGAAAAAAAATAATTCTTTGCATAGTCTGTGGTTCTTTTTACTGACCTGATTATTTTTCTTTTCAGTGGAATGGAGTGCCCAGTTACATGTCAACATTCTTCAGCCTGATCATCTGTCTGAGAATATTGTCGCAATTTCTCAGCACTCAGAATATTCAGATGGTGAGAACAAAGAGACCTCTCTACTTTGTGTAGAATGGTTGATCCCAGTTGTGGTATTATCATGCCTAGAAAAATATTTTAGATTTAATGCCACTTAAAACAAACTTTTTAACTAGGCTGAACCTGGAAACTTAGATCCTACCAAAAACGTAACAGGAAATTCAGTGTAGTTAGTTTTTCAATCTTTTCCTTTGCTTTGATACTGCCTGACCTTTCTGCAGAGGGCTGGGTCCTCTTGAATATGAGTAAAGGTACAGAGCGATGCTGAGGTAGAAGTGAATAATTGCCAAAAATTGATTAATGGTGGAACTTCTGAAATGAATTTTATCTTAGGATCAAAACCCAATTACTCACTGTATTTGGAATAAATAACATATAGAGGGAGTTGTTTTCCTTTGGGGGGTATCTATCTGTTAGTTATTACTTAATCTCTTAGTGTTAAAGCAGCTTCTGGTTTTCAGATTTTTGTTACAGAGGAAGAAAAGATGTTTTTAAAGAGAACCTAGTAATCTTGATATCAGTTTTATAATAATACTGTTTCGCTTTATGAACAAGCCATTTTGGTTGAGAAAATAACAGAAAAAGTACAGAGTTCTGTGTCTGAATCCCATTGTTAAAAAACTGTCATGGTAGGTAGGAGTGAAGGCCATATGAAAAAATCAATCTTTTTTACCATTCCTTTTCCTGAACAGTAGCCATCTCTACTTGATTTTCTCCAAATCTAGAGGTTAGGATTTTGAACCAGCATGATAGTTGGAAATTCAAGGAGTTATGAGTCCCAATCTATGAATGGGACTAGTTGGGGAAGGCTCAGCTAGCTTATTTCTCATCAAGAGGTGTCATCTGGCAGTGGTTTTCTCACACTATTACAACTATAATGATCCAGTTTGGCTCTTCCTGCCAGATTAATTGTTAAGTTGGCCTTATACAAGATTGATTAGCAATATCAAGGCTGGGACTCCATGCTCTTGGGATCGTTGTGGCTTTGTAACTCAATGACTTCAACTCTGAGTCAGAAAAACAGACAGGGTTGTTTTCAAAGGCTAAAGATATTCTTCTCTGCTTTAGTGTTTGTGTTCAAGCCCAGCGAACCACGGCCCTTGTGTATCCAAAGGAATGTCTGCAAAGGGAAAGTCCAGTGGGCTATCTTTGTTCCAAGAGATGTTCCTGAATATATTACCTCCGAAAAATATCAGTGGCTTAGCCAGTCTCAGTTTTATTTTCTCACTGAAACGCACGTAAGTTCCGAGTTTATTAAAATAATTTAGACCAGAGGTGTCAAACTGCCGACCCGTGGGCTGGTTGCCTCATGCCGAGGCCACACCCACCCCAGCTCCGGCAATGCAAAAAAAGCTGCGATATGTCATGACACATCACTTAGAGTGAAACTGATAGGGATGACTAAGAGATCTGAAAAGAGGCTATAATATTCATTTTTGCCAGTCTTTCCAATAGACTGTCACTACAATATTGTCCTAGTTGGGGTGGGAGGTAGAAACAAGAAAAAAATAACTTAAAGACTTTTGTGGTTCCTGACACTTGATCGCCAATGTACGATAACGGATATGGCACAAGAAGAAGAAGAATGTATATTTAATCTGAATGCTTTTATTTTTTCCAAAATGTTTTTAGTATTTTTAATTGCAATATATTTTTTTAAATTAAAAAAAATTATTGACTGGGATGGACAGCTATAGAAATTGTATACATACATATTACTTCTGCAAGTACTAATGACACACTCTGCATGCTTCTTTAGTAATAGGTCCTGTTTGTTCAGAGGCTCTTAACTCCATTTAGGATTGCAACTTAGATAAACTATATTTTGCCAGCTATAGAGATTTTGCTCTGTCAAATGTTTTGACATTTATGGGCTTCTCTGAGCAACCTGCATTTTGCATAACTCTTAACTGTGTCAAGATATAGATTATTTTCCTGCAATCTAATTCCAGCCAGCAATACTACGCCGATATGAAATTCGGCCTGTCTAAATCCAATATTGCTTTATATGAATGCTGTACTTGGTTTGTTGGTAATGTATTCTCCCCAACAGCACTAAAAAAAGAGTGTTATTTGGTCATTATTAGAGGGAAAGGAAATTCCCTATAATAATATTTAAAAGGAAAGGCATTGTTCCAAAGAGTAGCAAATTTTTTTTTTTACTACCCCCCATGTTTTGGCTAACAGCCACATCTCATATTTAAATTCACCTAGTTCTATATCCATATGCTTCTGGACTGGTATTTTGAATGGTGTGCGCCATTTTAAAAACTCATGTAATTATAAGGATACCTTTCCTGTCTGTAATCTTGCTTTTCTTTTCCCTTCTGATTGTGTAGGAATTAATGACTTTTAGCACAAAGACCCCAGAAGAGAGACTTACGCCTTCCAGTAGACAGGTATTAATTTTCATAGCTAAATGACTTATGAAATGAATGAAAACCCTTTTTTGAATGCTGAGTCATATTAAAATATTTCAGTGTCTTAAGGCAAGGCCTACCTCAGTGAGTGTCTCTGAATCCAAAAGGCTGTGTCAAAAATTTTTCCCCTGCTCTATCTACAACACTATCTCTTTTCACATTGTTCTTAATTTTTCATGTCTCATCACAGGACACCTATCTTTCACCTTCTTTGGCCAGGATAGTATTGAATCTTTTTCATTTAAGATGGCAAACACTATGGAAAAAGTTGAGACACCCATCTACATGGTGGATACCAATAAAGATGAATAGTGAGAGTTGCCAATTAAGTTTTGAATGCTTAAGTAAAAACGATATCTGCAGATAATTTTAGCTTTGTTTTAGTTGAAAGAGTGAAGGTTGCTTGGAAGAAAATACTGCATCCAAGGATTGATCCAAGATGGGTATGATATTTAATTTTTCCAAATTAAAAATCTACCTTAAATAGTATAAATATATATTATAATTTACAATTGGGTTAAGATAAAGCAATTCCAAATGACAATTGGCCTTCATCTCAAGGATTTATAGTATCTTTATTGGAGTTTTGGGGCTCTTAAAAATCACGGAGAAGGCACCAAGCTGGTTATGGATTGCACCAATCTTCTGGCCAGGTATTGCTAATTCAACCTTGCCTTCCTAATCTGGTACCTCCTAAGCAAGTTGAAGGATGCTTTCTACAATTCCCTCTGCTGGTGGCATAGTATAGATCAGTGTTTCTCAACCTTGGCAACTTTACGATCGTAAAGTTGCCAAGGTTGAGAAACACTGGTATAGATAGACACTCTAGTTCCACCAGGATACAAAGGCTGACCTAGTTAATGACTGCCTATCATCCTATTGCACCTGACTGCTGAACAAGCATATGCTCCAAAGATAAGTTACTGTTTTCTTGTTTTGTAGCACTTCTGTTCCTGTGCTTGAAAATTATTTGCCTATGCCTTAATGTAGATGTGGTTGTTTTTCCATCTCCTTCTTAGTTAGCAGTTGAGGAGAACATTTCCATGACTCCTTTTTACCTCTTGCTGGGGAAGCATCGGCAGCAAATGAAAGAGGGAATGGATATTGGGAAAGTTCCCGTGCAGAATCTGCTAGGTCAAGAATCACCTGCTATTAAAGAAGTAAGAATGGATCTAAGTCATACTCGGAATTTATACCTTTGCAATGACCTCTTAAGAAAGTGCTCTAGTCTCACTGGCTTGTGTTTTCTCCCCAGCTGCTTCATACTCCAGCACATGTGTTACCTTCAGCTTCTTTCCTATGTCCTCTTTTTATTCACTCTTTGCTGGTGCCTAGAACAAGGTAAGAAACCTGAGAGGTCCCTCAGATGTAATATACTAAAATGTATTGTCCAAGTTTGGTTGAGAGGGGATCCAAGCGCAGAGATATCCATGTAGGCTGCATGTATGCTGCTGTGTTCAGAGATTTACGAGATATCCCATCTGCCCTGGCAGGAGTTCTAAAAATGAATTAACTACTGTCACCTCTCAAATCAAACCCCCAAATCACCTGTTAGGATTAGATTATTTGCCAAGGCGCAGGATGTGAAACATCCGCGTGTCCTTCCTTTGCCCTTTTTACTTTGTACACTTTCCTTTTTTGTCCAACCGATGGAAAGTAAGTGAAATATCAGCTTAAGAGAGGGATGCTTCCTCTTGTATTTAGGATATATTTAGAACAGTGGTTCTCAACCTTTTTAATGCCGTGACCCCCAACCGGTCGTAAGTTGAGGACTAAACCAGTCATAAGTTGAGGACTACCCAACTGGTCGTAAGTCGAGGACTTTCCCTGCCCAGGAGCGCCGCGCATGCGTGGTGCCGCCCCCTGCACCGGCCGAGGCATAGCTGGCAAGCGGCAGAGACGGAGCAGGCCGACCACCGGCTGGGCCACCAGCTGGCCCAGCCCAAGGGAGGTAAGGCACCCACTGGAAAAGGGGAAAAAAATGGCGGACAGCCTTGCTTGGCGACCCCCGTGAAATGGTCGATCGACCCCAAATGGGGTCACGACCCATAAGTTGAGAACCACTGATCTAGAAAGTTTAGAAATTTGTGGACCCCAAACCTTCGGCCCTCTGCCAAAGTTGTCTGCAGGAAGGAGGCCAGGACACGCAATCATGCAATCAACATGTTCCCTTTTTTTTACAGTCTTGTATGTGGAGTTTTGATCACATGGCTTGTGACTCTTAACGTTGACTTTTTTGATCCTGTTTGGACATCTCTGCCAATGACCATAATCCCTTCAGGGCTGTTCTTTCTGGTCTTTAGAGGGTTGATCCAGGTTGTTTTGTTTTTTTACTCTTTGGAGCTTTTTCAAGGAGGGGAGGATTTAATCATTTGGAGTATCTCATTAGACACGATGTGGATTCATGGAGTACTTGGAATAGAGGTAGTCCCAGTTGGGTTCTTCAGATTACAATCTGGATTTGGTCCTAATCAAATCAATCTGGTATTGATCCGATTTTTTGCAGAGATTCTGCCCCAAGACCCTGGAGATTGTCAATCACCAGCCTTCTTGATTTCAACTTTTCAAATTTCAGCTCTACAAATGCCACAAGGGAATTCCCACTGAATTGCTGCACCAATGTAGCCTTGCCAGGAGGCAAAATATCTGTCAAAAACAAACGAACAAAACCCAACTCAAGGCCTCATTATTAATCTCCCAAAGCACAAAGTATCTGACTGCCAAGTATGCATATTAACCTAATAATAGCTCCTCCTCCCCCCCCCAGGATATATTGCAAATGCATACAATGCTGGCATCTCAAGGAAAATGCCTGGCTTTCCCTGATGTAGCCTGGTATATATATAAACTCCATCAGTGCCTGTTTAGAAATTTTTTTTTTTTTAAAATACGTATTTGAGGAATTTGTGGTGCTTTTTATACTAAAACCGTTCAGGAAAACATTTAAGAGGAAAGGAGGACTATTTGCAGTGGAACTGTTGACTGAGATAACTTGCTGGGCTTTTTTGGCATTATTTAGGACCTCTCTAAATTTGTTTTTGAGACAAATAGACGAATGGCTTACATAATTTTTTTTTTTTAAACAGCACTAGTGAAATTGCTGATGAAGTGGAAATGCTAAGTGACAGTGAAGAGAAGGAGTCCGAAGAGGAATCGGAGGTTACTGAAGTTTGCCCAGAGGCTTCACAGACAGCAGAATGCTTTGGGGAGAGTGTATCTAAATTATCAAAACTTCAGGAAAGAGAACTTCGTAAATTAAGGAAATTGGACTACAGCTGGGCCTCTGGACTCTAAACCTGTGACATTTGCAGACTTTCTTTTTTCTTTTTTACATATTTCTTCCAGTAATTTAATAAAATGCCAAATAAAAGTTAGCTTTCTTTGTCACTTTTGCTATTAATATAAAATAAATCTTCAGGGCATTCTTAGACATCACCCATCATTAGGCTTGAGCATGCTTGCCTAAAAAAAGAGAGAGCTTTGTGGTGAAAACAGGGCTTCAACTGTTAGAAGAGTCTTTCCTTTTATGTGTTACTTTGGGCCAAGATTCAAGAGCGTTGCAATTCAAGTGTTTGTGTAAATAAATGCATCTTATTTTAGACATAGGAAGCATTTACCTGCTTTGTGTTTTAAAAAAAATAAATAATGCTGTAACACGGAAGCTAAGGGATCTTTTGCTTAAGAAGAAAACCAGTAACCCATTCTGAGCTGAAAGACGTATTTGCTAATCTGCATTCCTAAAACGTCTAGAGATGCCTGGGGCAGAGTTTGGAAATTGTAAAACATTCAAAACAAATCCCCTTTTGTCAAATGCATACAGTAGAAATGAAATAGCTAATGAAGAGGTCATTGAGGATGCTGAAAAATAGCAGTCTGTGCAAAACAGTTGATCAGAAAAGAAAATTGCTTTAAGCATTAAGGCGTGTGTGACTGTGTATGCTGGGATGAGGGGGCTCTTATGAATTTGATACTGTAAACAACTTGTTGGTTCAGAATGGTTTTCCCCTTAGCACTGTTTCTTGCGGTAAAAACAGCTTCAGAAACAAAGAATGACTGCCCCAAAATGTTCTAAGTTGTATAAATCACCAGCAAAACTATTTTTTAAATGATTTGCATTAAAGTTTACAGTTCTAAAGATAAAAAAACTAAGGGGAAAAAAAGGAAAATTATTTCTAGTTCCCTCTAGCGCAGTGGTTCTCAACCTTTTTAATGCCGTGACCCCCAACCGGTCGTAAGTCGAGGACTACTCAACTGGTCGTAAGTCGAGGACTACTCAACTGGCGCAGCACCATTTGCAGAATGGGACTTTTGGCGGGCTCAGCAGGGCAGAGACAGCCTGGACAATTCCTATTGGCTTTTGAAAGCCAATAGAATTAACTCTATTCAAGAGAGTCTATTCTATTGGCTTTCCAAAGCCACTAGAATACAAGGGAGTAGCACAGCTAAGGAAAAGGGGGAAAAAATGGCAGACTGCGTTGTTTGGCGACCCCCGTGAAATGGTCGTTCGACCCCAAATGGGGTCCCGACCCACAGGTTGAGAACCACTGTTCTAGCGTCAAAGCTTGAAATTCTCATTATTTTCCTAATCAGCAGCATTTTCTTATGAGAAGGTTTCTTCTGTTTAATTTCAAAATCTTTATATATTTTTGATAGAATTCTGAACCACTCAACAGGAAGACTTGAAATTAATTTCAAAGTCTTATTTCAGATTCATCTGGCTTCTTTGTCTGGTTATAACTTTCCAGAACCAATGTTCTAATCACTCTTATTTCAAATTTCATCTAGCTCCTTAGTCTATTTATACCTCTTCAGGATCAATTTTCTAATCACGCTTTTGCTGTTTATTCTGACATAAGTGGGTTTTTTTAAAAAAATCCTTAAACTTGCATGAAATGTCTTTCCCTGATGTGATACTTGCTGTTTTGGAGATTCTTAACATCCCAAAAATTGTTAACAAGCAATTTTCAGAAGCGATTTAAGAAAGGAAGTGTGCCAACCTTGAGCCTATAATGGTGCCGATTGTGGCTTGGGCAAAGATGGCAATCCCTCAGCTCTCCAGAGCCCCAAGCCTGGTGGAGATTACTATCTTATGGTGTCCTCACAGGAAGCTACTATCTGGAGTGCTTGTGGATGGTCCTGAGTCCTTTCCTTTTCTGGGGAGAAATTCCAAGAAGCAGAGCCCTTCACCGGCTCATCATTCTGCCACAGTCAGTTCTGCTTTCAGTGGAGCCACCTTCAGTTTGCTATTGCTTCTCCAGAAGTCCAGCAAAACGATTTTTGCAATGAGTACATTAACCCAAAAAAGATTTAATGTGGATCTTCACGATAATGTTTTAAAAAAATTATTTCAGGATTGGGAGTAAACATGGATGCCCGTTATTTAAGACTGCACCTGTTTTGTCTACATCAGCTTTGGAATAACGGGGAAATAATCACTGTAGTACTGTATGAGAAATGTAATAACAATGACTGTCAAGCCTTTAACAGCAGCATATAATCAAGATCCATACAGAATCACATTAATTAGGTGTAAGTGCCAGGAAAAAAATGACTGCAGTGTTGGGAACTAAGAAAAACTACAGACCTCAGTTGTTAGTAAATACATTATTGGGAATAGATTAATGAATAGATTAAAGTCTATCAGGCATTTGAATTTCTTTCCCATAGATCCTTCAATTGATGAGTGATGGCTTCAGAGATAAGACACTTCCTCATCTGCCATCTTTTGAACAAATTCTTTTTTGGTTCCAGATTTCAAGAACACTCTTGCAGGAATAGGAATAATTATAGATGCATCTAGAACAGAATACAGTCTTATATTTGGCTGATAATCTGGATTCGTTAAAGATTGTCCTCAACTTACGACCAATGGCTTAATGTCTGTTCAAATTTATGACCAGTCTTCAGACATATGACAGTTGCAGCATCCCCGCAGACAACTGACACTGATTTACAATAATTGCATAATTGCCATTTCTGGCCTTCCCAGGTGGCTTCTGACAAGCAAAGAAGGGAGCCGGATTTGCTTAGTGACCATATGAT